ATCCATACCAGTCTCGAACCATTCAAAATGAGATAACGAAGCTTGAGCAGGAAATCAACCAAGCTACCCTGGACATTACTGATTTCGAGTCTCGAATCCGGAAGCGACACCAAGAAGATCCGCTACACAACATGAACCAGACCAAGTCTAATAGGCTACCTGGAGAAAGTAATCGTGAATACCTCATCCGAACTGGAAAGATCACCCCATTCTCCAAACTCGGAGGATCGCGCCCTGCTGGCATCGAGGGTCAACTGGCCGATACTCTCTTAGAGGCTGAAGAAGAAGCTGCTGCTGAGCAACTTGGCATTGAGGCTGGCGAAGGGCCGCAGTCTCACCAGTTACTGAGACGTCCTGGTTTTGCCGAAGAAGAGACACCATTGCCTGTGCCCAAGACAAGTGCAGCCGAAGCCGAATTCTCACTTCGACCACGGAAGAAGAGGAAGGTTGAGAGAGAAACTGAACGCGAGCCGTCTGCAGATTTTCAACCGGAAGACTCATCTGGTTCAGAATCCCATGATTCAGCCATGTGGCAACAGACAACGGAAGATGATCTTGTTCGCCAACAACGTCGCAAAGCCAAAATTAAAGAAAAGGCCGCCGAGCAAGATGCAATTGATCTTAGTAAGATTGACGACGGCAACGAGGCTCATTATAAGAGGCGGCTCAAGGACTGGGTTGATCGAAGAAGTCGAGCGAGACGAGCAAGGCGTCAAGCTGACTCTGCTACACACCCCGAAGATAGCGATGACGATGAAAAGGAGTGGTTCAAGCCGGCTCCTGGCGTTGCGGATCATTACTTTACCGACGATCTGAAACTCCCAGGCGACATCTACCCGTCGCTGTTTGGATACCAAAAGACAGGCGTGCAATGGCTTGCTGAACTGTACAAGCAGAGCGTTGGAGGCATCATCGGAGATGAAATGGGTCTTGGAAAAACTGTCCAGCTTATTGCGTTCATCGCTGCTCTGCACTACAGCAAGAAACTCAAGAAGCCAGTCATTGTAGTCGCTCCGGCTACGCTTCTCCGCCAGTGGGTAAGCGAATTCCATCGCTGGTGGCCGCCTCTGCGTGTCTCCATTTTGCACTCTTCCGGTAGCGGAATGCTTAATCCTACCGCTGAAGACGAGTACGACGTGGAACACTTTAGCCCAATGGCAACTAAATCCGAAAAGGCTGCAAGGAAAATCGTCAAAGGAGTGGTTCAGAAGGGCCATGTTTTGGTCACCACCTACACTGGCCTCCAAACCTATGCTGATGAGTTATTGCACGTCGAATGGGATTATGCCGTTCTCGACGAAGGCCACAAAATCCGAAACCCAAACGCTGAAATTACCGTCACTTGCAAAGAGCTCAACACGCCAAATCGAGTCATTTTATCTGGAACTCCAGTACAGAACAATTTGACAGAGCTTTGGTCACTCTTCGACTTCATCTATCCGATGCGCCTGGGAACTCTTGTCAACTTTAAACAGCAATTTGAGATTCCGATCCGCCAAGGAGGTTATGCAAACGCGTCGAATTTACAAGTAATGACTGCTGAAAAATGCGCAGAGGCATTGAAGGAGACGATTAGCGAATATTTGCTCCAACGGCTGAAAGTTGATGTGGCTGCAGATCTTCCCGAGAAGACGGAGCAAGTTTTGTTCTGCAAGCTGACAGAAAGCCAGCGCAAAGCATACGAGAGATTCATTGGCTCTGATGAAGTCGCTGCCATCTTGAATAGGAAACGTCAATCGCTCTATGGCATTGATATCCTTCGCAAGATATGTAACCACCCTGATCTGCTGGACAAGTCTCTTCCGAGCAAGCCTGGCTACGACTACGGAGATCCAAAGCTGTCTGCAAAGTTGCAGCTCACCAAAGACCTACTGCAAAAAGTGATGATTCCCAATGGTCACAAGATGCTGTTGTTTTCGCAAGGCAAGCAGATGCTCAACATCATCGAAAAGTGTATCAGGGAATGCGGAATCTCCTATTTACGAATGGACGGCGAAACACCCATCGATCAAAGACAACCGATGATTGACAAGTTCAACACTGACCCTGACATCCACGTGTTTCTCATGACGACAAGAACTGGAGGTTTGGGCACCAACCTCACTGGCGCTGATCGAATCATCATTTTTGACCCAGACTGGAATCCTTCTACTGATTTGCAGGCAAGAGAGCGAGCATGGAGATTGGGCCAGAGCAAGCCTGTCAAGATTTATCGACTAATGACCGAGGGCACCATCGAAGAGAAGATTTATCATCGCCAAATCTTCAAGCAATTCATGACAAACAAAGTACTCAAGGATCCGAAGCAGCGAAGTTCTTACGACCTCTCTGATCTTTACGACCTATTTACCTTTGACAAGCATACAGATGCAGCTGCGGCCAGAAGTGAAGTGTTTAAAGGCGCAGAGGTGAATCTGAAGAAAAATGCCGATAATTCTGATGCAAAGACCTTGATGCCTATTGGGAACGTGGGTCAAGTCAAAAATGAGGACGAGCTGAAGAATCTTGATCTGGTCGCTGCGATGGAAGAAGTCAAAGAAGACCCATCCGCCCATGAAGAGAAGCGTATGCTGGAGGGTATTTTTGCGCGATCTGTGAACAGTGCCTACGACCATGAACAGATTGTCAATGGCCCGCAGAAGGCGAAGGCCGACATGGCTGTTTTGCGTCAAGAGGCAAACATGGTCGCTCGACAAGCCGCCGCTCATCTTCGGCATTCAGGAGAAGAAGCCCGCCGAGTGCCAGTTGGTACAGTGACATGGACCGGCGAAGTTGGCACAGGTGGTCGACCTGGTGGCAATCGTCGTCGCGGCGGTCCAAGTTCGGCGGGCATTATGAGTAACCTTGCCGACCGTCAGGGATTGGACAGCGGCAGCAGTTCTCGATCAGGAACGCCTGGACTTGACAAAAACTTGAAGGCCAAAGACTTTATTCCCATGATTAAGACATTTATCAATCGACACGGGGGCAAAGTCCCGAGCAAGATGCTGGTGGACCATTTTAATCCTTACTGTCCTGGGAAGAAGCAGAGCGATGAGTTCAAGTCTGCACTGGAGATGGTTGGAGTGTTGAATCGGGTGAGCAGCACTGGGAGAGGCATGTGGTCATTGAAACCGGAATTCAAGTGAGGTTTAATGATTTTTTTTATACTCGGGAGAGCATGATATGCTCCATAAGCTTCAGTTCTTTGACTTGACCTTGAGCGAGGAGTTTTGGTTTTTATAATTCGAGGAACTGGAATAGTCCGTCGGATGCTAGAAGTCTTTCAAATAGAACTAATGTTTATATACTGCTTCAATTCGTTTCATTCATCCTCATTGAATCATTATTCATTATAGGTATCAAGACTAATCATCACAACATGTCACATATCACAGAAGAGTTTGGTCTGACAGGAAGATAACTGTTCATAGCCTTCTTCGGGCGAAATTGTAACTGTCTACTGCACCAACACCCAAGTATTTATCCCCTCTCTAACGAAAGACAAAGGACAAGAAAACTCGAGCGTAATGGTAGAGTTGGAGACCAGGCTTCAAGGGCCGTTCTCCTCGTTTTTTCTCAACGCCACATAAAAGAGCCAGATAGCGCAACTCCCGCCTTGATCCCAAACCAAAGCCAGGTGAGGTATGCAAATGTTGTATTTTTTTCTTGATAAAGAAGATACAACGTTTACAAACGACGACCACGGCGACCACCCTTTCTGCGGGTAGAGTCGGAGGGGGTAGGAGTAACGTCCTCAATGCGGCCAATCTTCATGCCGGCACGGGCCAGAGCACGGAGAGCAGACTGGGCACCAGGGCCGGGGGTCTTGGTACCGTTACCTGTGCGATGTCTTGTTAGTCTTCTGACAGCCTTCATGTCGAATTCTCCAAGTGTAAAACATACCACCAGTGGCACGGATCTTGATGTGCAGAGCGTTGATGCCGAGCTCCTTGCAGCGGGCGGCGACGTCCTGGGCAGCCAACATGGCGGCGTAGGGGGAGGACTCGTCACGGTCGGCCTTGACCTTCATTCCACCGGTGACACGGGTGATGGTTTCACGGCCGGACAGATCAGTGACGTGGACGAAGGTATCGTTGAAGGAGGCGAAGATACGGGCAACGCCGAAGACGAGCTCGCCTGTAGCATTGCTGTTAGCACGTCGCTCTCAATGTCTTGCGAGTCCCTCAATCTCCAAGTCTTTTTATTTGCGACTGTATAAATTTCGTGATAGCTGCCCCTCATGCGACAACCACCACCAAAAATTATCCAGAGCCGCGCAGCAACAAGACATGTATTTTTCTCTCCGCCACAAAAATCAAAGTTCAATTCCACATACCATCGCGGGCAGAGGGGCCCAGGGAGATGTTCTCCTTAGGAGCGGCGACCTTCTTGGGAGGCATGTTGAAGATTTCGGCGACGGTCTGGCTTTTCGTCACGGGGCTGTTGAGAACTGACGAGCTAGGAAAAGAAAAAGAGGCCTGGCCGTGATGCCTGCGCCGGAGTAGTGCTTCAGCGAGCGAGGGCGGTTAGAGGGGCGGTGGGGCGCGGCAGAAAAAAGACAATCCCACACAAAAAATAATTCGGTCGGTTTGCGCGCAAAAAAAGATGCATTTCTGGCGGGAGCAGTAATTTACGGCGCTAAAGCCCTGCCCTACCATCAAAAAATTTGAGGGTGGGGAACTTTTCGCTAGCTCCACCGAGGAGCTGTTCCCTCTTTTTTTCGTCTCTCTCCTCTGGCCGTTTTTTTCTTCTTCTCCAAGCACAGCTTCGACGATACAAACAGACATCGCCTTCAGCCACTGCCAAAATGTCCGCGTATGTGATTCCTCCCTGAACGCTCCTTGCGATCTGGGACAGAATGTCCGGTCTCGATTGTTTGCAGATTGTCGTGGTCCTCTCGCTGGGCAGCCGGTGGAATTTTCTTCAGGGTATTTTCTCGTGAAACAGAAAATACTGGAAAAGGATATCCGGTCTGCCAGCTCGATCCCTCTCGAGACTCCTCCCTCGGTTTTGCAAACTGAGAGATGGTGTCACGGGGTGTTGGAGATGAAGAATCGCTTTTTGCATCTTCTCTCTTAAATGTATTGTCGCATTTGGCAATTGGGCACGAGGTTTGAAAATGGCCTTGTTGCTTCCGCCAGCGATGAATCTTTTCTTAGACGAGTTTTCTTGTCCAAGGCGTTGTCGGATGAGTCCATTCAAGGCTTCAATTGCGCACTGCTGGAATATGCTGCCAATGCTGCCCCGTCTCACCGATTAAATTCAGCTCGAGTCAGCCTTGTCGAGAATGTCGCATTTCAGCTACAGTTCTTGCATCGGCGCTCTGTTCCATACATCTTGTATGGCGGACTACGTACTAATCTGAGTTTGAATATAGCACCGTCCCCACCAACGACCAGATCCTGGTCCCTGAGACTCTCCTCAAGAAGCGCAAGAGCCAGGAGAAGGCTCGCGCTGAGCGTGCTGCCGTCACTGAGAAGCGCAAGGCTGTATGTACACCCTGTTTTATTTTCCCATGGCTTCATGATGCACAACATACCACATTGAACTAGACACTTTGTGTCGATGTTGTTAATGTTAACCTTCTTTCGGGTCTGATATTTTATTTGGAATATGTTTCAACACCTCGCAGTCGTTGTTTTGTGACAATAGCTAACAAGACTGTTATAGGCCAACAAGGAGAAGCGTGGCGTCATCTTCAAGCGTGCCGAGAAGTACGTCCAGGAGTACCGCGCTGCTGAGCGTGAGAAGATCCGTCTTCGCCGTGCCGCCAAGTCCGACGACTCTGCGTACATCCCCGCTGAGGCCAAGCTGATCTTCGTCGTCCGTATCAAGGGGTATGTTAAATATTCAAAGGTGCTTGCTAGCAGCAGTAACTAATAGTTTTGCAGTATCAACAAGATGCCCCCCAAGCCCCGCAAGGTCCTCCAGCTGCTCCGTCTTCTCCAGATCAACAACGGTGTCTTCCTGAAGGTCACCAAGGCCATCACTGAGATGCTCAAGATCGTCGAGCCCTGGATCGCCTACGGTTACCCCAACCTCAAGTCCGTCAAGGAGCTCGTCTACAAGCGTGGATACGGAAAGGTCGAGAAGCAGCGTGTTGCCCTGACCGACAACTCCATCATTGAGGCCAGCCTCGGCAAGTACGGCATCATCTGCGTTGAGGATCTCATCCACGAGATCTTCACCGTTGGCCCCAACTTCAAGCAGGCCTCCAACTTCCTGTGGCCCTTCAAGCTCAGCAACCCCACCGGTGGCTTCCGTCCCCGCAAGTTCAAGCACTTCATCGAGGGTGGTGACCTTGGCAACCGTGAGGAGGCTATCAATGCCCTCATCCGCCAGATGAACTAAGTTAATAAACACTAAAATGGGGTTCATGGATGTCTTTTTGGGAGTGGGACTAGGGAAATACCTATCATGCATGGTTGCTCGGCGTTGGTATCACGACTTGGCTTTTGATAATTGACTATTCGATGAATGGCACTCGAGTTTCCATGCTGTGTGACAATCAAATGAGCTTTTAAACCTTGACTACTGTGACGTGCTATTTTCTATTGCATCCATTCTATGCATTCGTAGCATCTTGACCCATTGGAATCATTCATAAGTAAAAGTGGCGATCATTAGTCAGGGTCTCCACCTGTGCGGTTGTATGTACATAGTATACATGAGGATTAATAACAACGCTCTACATCTTGATGTCAAAGCTTGTCCCGCATCCGCAGCTGCTTGACGCATACGGGTTATCAACAATCTTGAACTGCGACCCAATCAACTCCTGCGTAAAGTCCACCTTGCTACCCTTGAGAAGCTCTAGAGAAGGCTCGTCTAGTATGACCTTGGCGCTGCTTTCGGATGAAGAGGAACTGGCCTCGTCCGGAACGTACTGGAAAATGCTGTCTTCCTCGCTCACAATAGGGGATGCTTCGCGTGCTTCTCCAGTGGGCATGGTAACGAGATTCATCATGTATTGAAAGCCGTGGCAGCCTCCGCTCTCGACTCGGATCCGCAGCGCTAGGTTCGGGTTCTTGTCTTTGACCATGATCTCGGAGAGGCGCTATGAGCATGGCAGGTGAGTAATACTGTTGACGTAGAAAGTACAAATGCCCAATGTCATAGTAAAAGCCATACCTGAGCTGCTCTTGAAGTGATTTCCAGCACCATATCCTTGCCATCTTCATCTTTCTGGGGGTTCTGTACGCATATCGTAGCGAGACGGGAAGCAGATGCTGAGAAAGGTCGGCCAGCTGTTTGTCGGCCTGTTGACAGGACTAGTGATCTCGAAGCAGGCAACATCGCTGTGCGACGCCCGAAATGAGAAGCTCTGCGCGGGACGAGGAACTCCAGAGGCGTTTGTTGTACATGGGAATTAGCGGTCGAATACCGTCGCTTGGCAAGCTGGACAAAGGATCGAGCGGCAGAGGCGCTGTCTGCGCATCGTAGGGGCGTCATGATAAAATGCTATGCAGATGCCGTCGGCGCTGCTGTTGGCGCTGCTGTAGGACGAGAAAAGGTTCAAGGCTGGCTTTTGCCGAGGGCATCGAGACTCTTATCCAGCCGTCTATTTCCGCTGCTGATGTCAGGCCAGGCACGGCGGCACATCTCCGGCTGCACTCAAGCCTTGACTACTGGCCAGATCTAGCGCATTACCTCAGCAGACCGCCAGCCAAAGCGCACTCGCTAAGCCCCAAGCCGCCGCCCCACCTCCCACCAAAAATCAGTGAATTTTTGAACCTTGAGTTTTGAACCAACCCCGCCACCTCGAAAGAGTCATCGAAGCCCCTGGCCTGGCTCTTGAATTCTTCGACCCGGGAGGAGAAATTTTACATCCAGAAAAAACCGAGAACACACATCCGCCAACATGTCTCGATTTTTCCGCGCCGGCAACGACGACAGCTCCAGCGAGAGCTCCAGCGACGAGGAGGAACTCTACTCCGGAGAAGAGGGTCAGGAAGTCGACCAGGAACAGTCTGAAGAGGAATCCGATGAGTTCGACCAGTCCGAGGATGAGAGCGAAGAGGCCGACGACAAGGAGGCCGGCGACCAGAAGCAGGGAGCGTTCCGATTCTTGAGAGACAACGTCGAGTCAGATAGCGAAGGCGACGATGAAGTCCGAGACAAGGTCAAGAGTGCGCAGGTCAAGCGACTGGACGAGCTCGAGACATCCATTAAGCAGATTGAGAACGGCCAGAAGAACGGCGACTGGTCCCTGATTTCAAATGGTATGGCAGCGGTCACTATACGCGGATGGGCGAACAGCAGCACTAATGATGATTCTCGACAGAGTTCGACAAGCTGAACCGACAGGTTACCAAACTGCCCGCCGGCAGCAAAATCCCCAAGCCTTACATCAAGGTCATTGCCGAGATCGAAGAGTCCGTCAATGAAGCCCTTGCGAAGCAAAAGGTCACTCCGAAGAAGATGAACGCCATTCAGGCCCGTGCCCTCAACGCCGTCAAGCAAAAGGTCAAGAAGACCAACAAGGACTACCAGGACCAGATCGCCGTCTACCGAGAGGACAAGGACACCTACCTGTGGTCTTCAGACGAAGAGGAAGAGGAGGTTCCCGCTCCCAAGGCGCCCAAGGCTGTCAAGTTCGAGGATTTTGCTGCTGCTGAGGAGGTCGCTGATGAGGGTTTCGCCACTGTTGGAAAGGGCGGCCGTACTCTCCAGTACACCCCTGAGAGCATCTTCAAGCACCTGCGGGGCATTATGGAGACTCGTGGAAAGAAGAACACCGACAGAATTGACCAGATCAAGGTCATGGAGAAGCTCAACGAAATCGCCAACACCCCCTACCAGCAGATCCGTGTTCTTCTGACTCTGGTCTCCGCCCGATTCGACCTCGGCTCTGGCACCACCAACGTCATGCCTCTGGAACACTGGAAGGCTGCTGAGAAGGAGCTGTCTCAGCTGCTGACCATCCTTGCCAACAACAACGAGTACGTCGTGCTCGAGAACGTTGAGGAGTGGGATGACGATGAGAAGCCCCCTACTCTGCAGCCTGGCGAGAAGCACATCAAGGTTGCCGGCAGCATCGTCTCCTACGTCGAGAGACTCGACGACGAGCTGCACCGATCTCTGCAGAGCATCGACCCCCACACCTCAGAGTACATTGAGCGCCTGCAAGACGAGGGTGCTCTGTACAACGTCATCTTCCGCGGTCTCCTGTACTACGAGGCCCTGAAGAAGGATGAGACCGTTGAGGTTCCCCAGGATAGCGTCAACCGCATTATCATGCGAAGACTAGAGCATGTCTACTTCAAGGTAAGAGAATCGCGTCACTGCTGATATAATTACGTTCATACTGACTTTTCATTTTAGCCTGCCCAAGTTGTCAAGACATTCGAGGAGAACTGCTGGAAGGCCGTCGGCGAGGACGTCGACTCCACCACCACTCCTCGTGCCAAGGCTCAGGAGCCTGCTGAGCTGGTCAACATCCTCTGCGCCTACCTTTACACCCACAGCGAGGGCATCCTCCGTGCCCGAGCTCTGCTCTCCCAAGTTTACTTCCTTGCCCTGCACGATGACTACTACAAGGCTCGTGACATGATGCTCATGTCTCACTTGCAGGAGACTGTCACTGGCTTCGACATCCAGAGCCAGATCCTGTATAACCGAACCCTTGTCCAGGTCGGTCTCTGTGCCTTCCGCAAGGGCCTCATCTACGATGCTCAGAACACTCTGCAAGAGATTTGCGGCAGCGGCCGCCAAAAGGAGCTGCTCGCCCAGGGCGTCATGATGCAGCGATACAACCAGGTCTCTCCCGAGCAGGAGCGCCTGGAGAAGCAGCGCCAGCTGCCCTTCCACATGCACATCAACCTCGAGCTGCTTGAGTGCGTTTACCTGACTTGCAGCATGCTCCTAGAGATTCCTCTCTTGGCCCAGACTGGCTCTTCTCCTGACGTCAAGAAGCGTGTCATTAGCAAGACTTACCGCCGCATGTTGGAGTACCACGAGAGACAAATCTTCACCGGACCTCCTGAGAACACACGAGACCACGTCATGCAGGCCTCCAAGGCTCTCGCCGCCGGTGAGTGGAAGAAGTCCATCAGCTTCATCCACAGCATCAAGATCTGGGATCTGATGCCCAACACCGAGGAGATCAAGGAGATGCTCTCCAAGCAGATCCAGGAGGAGGGTCTGCGAACATACCTCTTCACCTACGCCCCCTTCTACGACACCCTCGCCGTCGAGACCCTCAGCGACATGTTCGAGCTCGATGCCACCAAGGTCGCTGCCATCATCAGCAAGATGATCAGCCACGAGGAGCTCGCCGCTTCTCTCGACCAGGTCACCAACAACGTCATCTTCCGCAAGGGCGTCGAGCTCAGCAGACTCCAGTCCCTCGCCCTCGCCCTATCAGACAAGGCCAGCGCCCTCATCGAGACCAACGAGAGGACACTCGAGCAGCGCACCCAGGGCACATCAAATGCCTTTGAGCGACAAGGCGGCAGAGGCCGGGGAGGCCACAGAGGAGGTGCACGCGGAGGCAGAGGAGGCCCTCGCGGTGGTGGCAACACCCAGCGACAGGCTGGTGGCACACAGTTCACCGGCGGAGCTCTGGGAGCTGCCGTCAGGGGCTAGATTGGGTGGAACAGTTTTGAGCATGATGGGAGGAAAAGGGAGTAGTTTTGGGCTGGTAAAGAAGGGGAAGGGGCGTCCAAATTTGATCATCTCTCTTAACAGACTTTTTTTAGTTTTGGGTGTTTTTTATTAAAACGAGATCCCCTTTTATTTTCTCTTGTAATGGAAGAAAACAAAAGTCCCCGGGGCGACGAGCGAGGAAACGGAGGGAACTCGCTGCAAATTTGTTAGATTACGTCGAACTGGAATTTTCATTTAACTTTTTTTAAAAAAAAAATGAATGCATATGAACATGGAATAATGTACGTGTCTCTGTATTTCTCTTGAGCCATGTATGTGGCAACCTCAGGCTATGCTTTTCTACTCTACCAGGCTGTATTTGCCTCATTATCATCTAGATCCTTCAGACCTCATGTGCCCCCATTCATTAAACTACCAGTATATCTAGCAGATCTGCAAACTGAATCTACAAAACATCATGACATCCACCGAATCTTGAGTCTCGGCAACGCAAATCTCCACAACGCAAGCCCCGACGGCTAGAACCAGTCCCAATAATCATCCCAATCATCATCAAATCTGCCGTCGTACAAGGGTGTGGTATGGAGGCATTCTCCCAGCTCTTTCCTATGCAATCTCATGTCTTGGTGAATTTTTATCTCTTCTTTACTATCAATCGGAAAATCCACATAGCTGTGCACCATTTCTTTCAACTCCGACGGTAGCCTTTGGACAATGCCTAATCCTTGGTTGTGTATCTCAGACTCGGTCCACCAGCCATACTGTTGAGGAGGCACGTTGGCCGTGGATATGATGGGAATGCCTGGATCGACTAGATACAGCTTGAAATATTTGAGGTGTCCTTTCTTAGTCCGGTCGACAAGGGAAAAGGCCCCGTGGCGATGTTTGTAGACATTTGGATAGAAGACGGCATTATCGGGATGAACTCTGGCGCGACCTAAAACTTGGAAGTTACTTTCTTCTGGTAAGATACCAAATGCCCTATAAGCAACTTCTTCTGGGATTGATGAAGGGCCTGGGCCCAAATTTTCTCCATCTCCAACAGCACCAAAGTATATATAGCTATCCGTGATGTTTTCAACGTCATAACAGAACATGGCCGTGGATACAATATGTTCGTTCAGTTGACCATCTGTTTGCCATTCATCGCCCCTGTATTCGGGGTTTTCGGGGTTGAGCTGGATCTCAGCAAATGTGACCATTACCTGAATCCGTTTAGTTTGAGGCGAGAAAAAGCCAGATGATTTAACGTCGGATGGACGGAGACGGAAAGACTGGCCATCTGTGAAGTTTGGCTCGGGGAGCTGGATTGGGTGCTTCTCAATGAACCATTTAGAAACGAAACGAAGAGTTCCTCATGGGTAAATGCAGTTGCCCCTCTTTCATTGTGCTCCAATGTGAGGTTGAGGGATTGACAGTCTTGGCGTTTAGATGTTGTGGTAGTATCCATATTCGCCTGTGTACCCGTCTGTATACCTCGCCGTGTAGCATGGACTTTGTCTGTTTGCTCTGCTCTCGCCGTAACGCGCCTCTCATATTCGATACCTACGTCAATTCATCGTTAGCGTGTTGACGCATACAGATGATTGGAATCCGCTCACTGGCTTCTACAGATAAGTTGGAAGACCTGCAGTCTCTGTTGCGGCATGTACGACGAGCTTCGCATTTGGTCACAAGTTTTGCGCCCAGTATTCTCTGAAAAGAAAATTGCTGAGGCCATCTATACACAATGTCCCATGCTGGTAAAGCGTGATTAATGGCCTTTGAGATAATCGAATACAGCTTTTTGTCCTTGACAGGATGCAAGTTGTTGATATAGCTGTCTATTCTGGCGTTTCCTTGCTTGCTTATGGTGACATCAAAAGGAAGCCACTGATAGGTGTCATCATATAAGCGAAATCGGTATTCTGCATCCATACCTGTGTTGCGAGGTCTTGAGAGAATGTCCCCTTCGCCGCAAGCTTCCAGGCAGTTGTGGCGCTTAATGGTCCTATTAGGGAGAATCCGAGATCGACCATATACTAAAGGGCACAGAGAGGTGTGAGCTTGGCGAATTAGGAGACCACCATTGTATAAGCACTTGTAGCGCTTAACATGTTTGAGCTCTGTCGCAATACCGGCGAATGCCTTTTTGAGTCCATCGGATACGACCATGTCGGATTTGATGACACAAGCGGAGTAATCGAAGACAGGGATGAGTCCTGTCTTGTCATATAGGTCTGCTTTGAGCTTGAGCTCCGTGATACACTATTGCATTGCATCGAATTAGTGGGCTGGAGTTGTTAAAAACGAAGTCTAAGTGGCTTTGTAACGTACCATTCCAGCCATATTAGGAGTAAAATCAGCATGCTTCATGTACTTGCTCCAGTCAAGCGCTAGAATCTCCTGTCTCCAGCTGTTTTCGATGTGGGCTTTGCGAACATTGTTCGACCAGTCCGACTTTTTGGTTATCTCGTCAACGACCTTGAGCATACATAGCTCTCGAATTAGCAACGCCTTGGCAGTCCAGTCACGGCCCTCGTTGGTAATGGTGACGGGAAAATGATCCTTCTTGGCAGGCATCCATTCCAAAGGATATCCATAGCCGGGCAGCGCGATGGTTGCATTAGGAGAGGTCTCCTGCGACCATCAAGTTAGTTAAGTCACTTGAATGAAGAGAAGAGGCAATTACATTTTGAATATCAATGGCGATGTGGCATAAAGCTTCCCCTACAATTGCAAAATGTGCGTCGCCATCATCAGCCGGCACGTAGATATCCGTCTCTTCTGCCAGCCAGAGCGTCACATGATTGGGATGCAACCATGGAGTTTGTTTGAGCCATTCTTGGAAGTCCTTTTTTTCTTCTGCTGTGCCAGGAAACTGGTCGATGTAATCTTCATGCCTGATGCCAGAACCGTATCGAGGCATTGTCGACGTCAACTGCTCGTGACGAGAGGAACTTGCGAGGACGATATGAGGAGGCGGTGCACAGAAGTGGCAGTTCGAAGTGACTCTGAATAGAAGAAGATGGTATGCTTGAACGAGGTCAAGAACTCTATCCGCTTGAAATGAAAGATGTGAGTTCCAAGAGTCAGTTTTTGGGGCAGAGGATGAAGATTTGGAAGCACTCATTTGCTGATCAGGTGACTTGGCAACTGGCAGCTCCTTCCTCTGCAACTGGCCAAGCAAGATGCGGTGAAATGTACACGTGTACCAGCGGTGGCCTAGTTGAAAAGGAATAAATACAAGTATTTGATACAAAGACGTAAATGCCGGCCACAGGAGTTGATGACGTGCCATATACTGGTGCGGCATCTCATCGAAATGCTTGCTTGCATGATGCTCCTCGAAGAGTCGGAGAGTCGATATCCAGAGTATTTGAGGGCAGCATGAAGAATCGAAAAAAAAAAAAGCCGTGCATTGGGTGTAAAGATATTGATAGTGCATACAAGGTATTTTTGTGCATTGGTCCAGCTTGAAAGAAATATCATGATGGGTGCATTCGAAGCTGATATCGATATGGAAGGAGAGCACAGTGTGGCAGTAAGAATGAGCAAGTAGCTAATGCCTCGTTTGACAGCAGCCTCGAGATGGACGATGATGATCAAGTCAAAAGAATAATGAAAGAGAATGAATAGTTGTGATATTGGAACAGTTTATACCTCGAGAATGGATATATGCCGTTTGCCAATGGAACAGCCAATCCTGTCTACCCGGGTATGGCTTCAGTAAGGAAATTTGTTGATTATTGCCCCAGTTCCACTATTCTGCACATATGAGTGTTTCAAAAATATCTCGCACTCGGGAGAGTAGAAGAAGCAGAAGAAGAAGAAGCAGAAAGATCAAAGATACTCGTTATTATAAATTCGCGACTTCAGCTACGACTAGGGCGCTGGATAACGAAAGTGGCATATTGAACGACAATTCTCAAAGAATATTGTATTGATATGCGCATTTCCAACCGTTGCCCGCTATTCTATTCCAATACTATTATCCGTCCAATTGAACCAGCCGAAGCATCTATTCCTAAGATATTCAAACTTTTAGACGTCAATTTACCCTGCTGGCACATTGGTGAGATTCGAGTTTGAGTGGTTGAATTACAGCTTGAGCCTTTAGCGAACCAGCGTCCCCTGCAGCTCCATTCTGTGGACCCACGGCGGCTCTGACGGGGCCAAAAGCACAGTTGACACCACTAAAAAGCCCCAATAGATGCCGCACCGTTACAGCAAAGACTTGCTGCAATGCCGCCAATTGAGCACAACCAGCACGCATCATGAATCCTCGACTTGGTACATCAACTCTTACACGGCATTTACTCCCTTGAATCCACATTTTGAATTAATAATCAGCCACGTCAAATATACCCCATACTTGCCATGCATCGCCAAACGCCAAATCGCGGAGCTTGCTCGCCTTATCCGAGGTTTTGTGGGGGTGGACCTCGGCAGCCTCCACGCCGTTCTCGGTTCTGGCTCTCGGCTGAGGCATTGACAGGGACTCTGGCTTCCCTGCAGGTATTTCGCGAGGTGCTTATACAGGTTGCATCGCGTGTTGTTCATCAGGCCAGCGAAGCTCCAGCGTTTTTCTTTCTCCATCTGTGGGCAATTGAGCGTCCAGGTTGATAATCTCTCAATCCCTCGATCCGACCAGCCAGCTGCTATCGATAGCGAGCTCCAGCTCCAGCTCCAACTCAACCACCTCCTCCATTCTCCCATCATCGCCATCATCGCCATCGCCATGACCGACGCCGCAGTCGACACCGCCGTCGACGTCTCGGCCTCGACCGAAATCGCCGCCGCCATCGACTCGGCGCCCTCCGTCCCGACGCCCTCCAAGGCCCCGATCGGCGCCGTGCTCGCCGCCGTGCCCTCCAACGCCGACGCCTTCGCCGCCCACCTGCTGCGATGCATCCAGACCCGCGCCGGCGCCGACGCCGTGCTGCAGTTCCTCTGCTACTCCTTCAAGCTGTCCGGGTCGGTGCTCGAGACGCTCAGCCGCAACGCGCTCCGCCAATCGGCCCAGAAGCTCGTCGCCATGGCCTTCCAGCTGCCGCCCGCCACGACGGTGGTGCTCTCGTCCGCGCCAGCGCCTCCCGGGGCGGCGTTTGCGCTGAGCCTGGCGAATAACCTCAAGGCGCTGTCCGGGGTGCTGAGCGAGGCGCGGACCATCAACCGCCTCTGGGGCCTGCTGGGGCTGTATTTTGGACTCAAGAGGATCGTTGCGAGGATGCGCCCGAAGAAGGTTGAATCCGAGAAGGAGGGCTCCGTGGCCGTTGTCGAGGCGGCTGCGGCTCCGTTCGAGACCGTCTTCTCCCTCGCTCAGATCGTCACCCTGATCCTCTTCCAAGTCTTTGAGAACTTGGCCTTCCTGGGCAGCAAAAAGGCCATCGACCTCAAGCCCGCCACGATGGGCAAGTTTGGCCTCCTCAGCGTGCGATGCTGGGGCACATACGTCTTCATGGAGCTCTCCAGGCTGCTGGTGGAGCGCGCCCGCAGCGGCCCCGAAGTCAAGACCGCCGCCTGGGCAAAGACCTGGAACAAGAGCTTCTTCCGCAACTTGGCGTGGGCACCGTTGACGGTTCACTGGAGCATTCCCGGAGGAGGCCCTTTGCCCGATGCGCTGGTGGGCTTGTTGGCCATGTACCCATCGACGGGACAAATGGTCGATCTGTGGCGAGAGACGGCATAAGGACCAAAAGTTGTTGACTTTTGTTTTCTCTTCTTGAAAAGCCCTGGTGAAAGGGGCGAGTACATTCTGTTTGTGTTGCCCGAGCGGCTGTGCAACATACGATAGACTTGGGGGGGAAAGACTCACAATACACAGAAAGAATTGCCTGTCTTACGACACCGTATAGATAAACAGCGGGCACGACTATGCCCCGGAGTAAATGCTGGTACCAGGTGGGAGAAGTATGTAGGAGGTAAGCTTGTTGGTCTGTCTTTGCTTCACCGGGGTTTGCATGTAACAGCTATGTTATGTCATATACTTTTGTCATTTATGTTTATGATTTTATGCATGTACTTCTTTTTATATATTCATCTCATCTATACTGCTTGATATATGAGCCGCTCATACCCTCGCTAAATGAAGTAAAGAAAACGAAAACACACAAAGAGGAAAGCAGGCCCTCTACATGTTAAACCGCTGAATCTCCTGCAACGTCCAAAACTTGCGCATATTCTCCGCCCCCAACGACCGCACCTCATCGTCCAAATGCGCCCACAGCACGCCTCCCCAGCTCTCCATCTTGTCCTTCAACACGCTCAGCTCAAAGTCCCTTTCGCCGCGCTTGCACTGGCCAATGTACTCTTCAAACCCCTCCAGCCCCTCGTGGATCTGCGCGTGCTGCTTCACCAGGTCGCCGTTCTTGGGGTCAAACTCGGGCATCCGCTTGGCCAGCATGGGGAAGAAGTACGTCTCCTCGATGCGGTGGTGCACGGTGAGATGCTCGGCGAACTCGGTGCCGATCTGGAAGAGCTGCTTGAGGGACATGCCTTGGGGGCGGCGGCCGGTGGTGCAGGCTTGCCAGAGGACGTTCCAGGATTGGCGGAAGTTGTTGTGCTGGAGGTTTATGTGTGAGATGGTTCTCATTAAAGTGTGTGATTTGTGATGAGTTGCTGGAGTATACTTACAAACCAGTTCATCTTATCAGCCAGACGGTTATACACCCTAAACTCATGATCCGAGAGCTTTGGAAGCTCCTCCTTGACAGGACATGGCTCTTTTGTGTCCTTTGGCGCTTCTCCCGCTGTAGCCATGTCGAAGGCGTGTCTCTGACTCGCCGAGTGGGATATATAAAAAGCCTGCTGCTTTGGTGTTGCAGCAATAAAGTGTGCTCGCTTTGTCAAAACACTGCTGAGCAACAAGTTTCTCGTCAGAGTCTTTGTAACAAGCATCCGTCTATTCGAGATTTTCTACAATCTTCTCTTTTCTATACCACGATTAGAAGAAGTTCTCTGAGAGATGCCTATTTATCTTTTTATCCCAAAATACAAAAATCGGCTCTCGCAAAACCTGGAATCTCCGTGTTCAAGTAGCCCTCAAGGAAAGACTCCCAATGATTGGCTACTCTCGATGAGTCAGCTATATATGCAACTCCACCGTCTTACACAAGCTTCTGTAAGCAGCGATTTTAGATGAAAAATGTCTCCATTAAAATGCGCGGTATCGTTTGTGATTCGATCGTGAGGTTTGATGTGGGTCGCAACCGATAGTCCGGGTCGCGTTGTCGGTGTTGATGCGGAAGTACTTGTATCCAGCTGGAAACCGGCCTTGAGATCTGAGATTTCATTAAGAGTAACTGAACTATGATTAATCGGAACTTTCTGTTTTACTCTGTTATTGTTGATGAATAGCAAAAATAGCAAGTGTTATGATTCAGTTTACAGGAGTGTCTCTTGAAACTCCAAGTGGTCAGCCTGAGTACGAATGGTGCATGTAGATACAGATAGTCACCGGCTTGCTTCATTACCTGCACCAGCGGGTCTATCGCAAACGATCCGACTCTTCTCGGACATAATCAACGCCGATATACATGTATATCATACATGCCTCAAGTCCACGTGTAGCTAAAATCCATGGAAAATGCAAAGTTTCTTCGTCAAGTATAAAGTACAGGGATTCCGCAATGCACCACTAACCGCGCGGTAAACTTCTCAAGCAATCAATTCACATCTCGCTCTTATATCAAGCCTCAAAGTTCCGAGTTGAAGCCGAGATGCATCCTACATGAGAATCCCTTATTTTTATTCTTCTTCCTTTAGCGTAATACCAGATCATCCTCTCGATTATCATCCTTACAAACCGCCGAATCGGATGTAGAGTTCAGCCGCTTATTACCTATCTTGTACGATGGATCTGATGCCACTGCAGTTTTCGTGTTCTATGCGAGCTCATATGCACATGTAAGCCACTATTGTTTTATTCGGAACGTTCCACATCACGCCACGCCGCCGTGGAACCCAAAACACGTATCAGGGTGGCATTGTCACACTCTCATATCCGGAATAGATATCCGAAGTCAGACAAGCAATAAACCGAGAAATAGGCACAAGCTACAAGGCACTTTCTTATTGGTATAAAATTATAATTCACGCTCATTATCAGTCCTTGCACAATAAAGCAGTGCTTCACACCGTCGCCGGCGACTAGTTGAACTAACAGAGTATCACAATCTCAACGCAAAATTTAAACTCTTCATATCATCATATTATCAACACATCAACGTAATAGCTCCCAAGCTCAAAGCCACCACGTGTCGTGATACAGCCTAAAGCAAACACCCTTCAGATCTCGGAAGCACAACACATCGCCTGCGCACAACATCCACCAGCTCCGTCTTGGGCACAACATGCGGCCGAATCGTCCTGCGCACATTCGTCCTCTGCTCAAAGGCGTACGCCATCGCAAAGAGCTTCTCTTCGCTAAAGGCCAGGCCCGAAAAGGAGATTCCAAACGGGCCGTTGGGCGCTGACACCGCAAGATTCCCCCAGTCAGATTTTATCGTGGGAGCTCCGTCTGGACTGCGGCCCAGAGGCACGGAGATGGCGGGCAGACCGACTGGAGACGCCGCCAGGATCGCATAGGGCGTGGGTAGAACCATTGCGTCCAGGTTGTGCTGCTGAATCGCCCCTGCTACGCACGCGTTGCCGAAGAAGTATCTCTCCAGAGTGACATTGGGCCAGTAGGTTGGATTCGTGTTGTTGATGCCAAAGTATAGATAATCGTCCCAGCCGCTGGTGCTGAAGCCCGGGTAACCCTCTCGGAGGTCTCGTCTGGTGAAATCTCGAAGATGCTCAACGGAAGCGATGTTGTTAGGGTTGTGCGTGAGCAAACTGAGATACTTTTTGGGCAGGTCGGATAAGAAATCTGCGCCGACGGTGGTGAAGGAAGGCTTCTGAGGCGCAGAAACATTGGTGCTCTGGGCATATAACTGATACACTATAGAGCAGTTCATGTCAATGTTATCCACGACTTGGGCGCCAGCCGAGCGCATCACATCCAGCGCTCTCTCAAAGGCCGCCGGATCACTATCATACGCCGGATCGTAACCTGGTGTTAGGATATTGCGAGACACGCCTATCCGCTTGCCCCTGAGGCCCGAATCCTTACACGAGGCAACATAGTCGGGCATCTCGCCAAACGGGATCGCGCTGGTATAGTTGTCGTGCCCATCAGGTCCGGCCATGGCCTGCATCAGATACGCCGCGTCCTTGACTGTGCGCGTCAAAGTCCCGACGGTGTCTTGCCTCGACGAAAACGGAATCACCAGATACCGCGACGTCAGCCCGACGGTGGGCCGGAATCCCACGACGTTGTTGGCATGCGCCGGTGCGAGGATCGATCCGCTGGTGTCTGTGCCAACGGCCGCCCACGAGAGGCCAATCGAGGACGAAATGGCGCTTCCAGACGACGACCCTCGGGGATCTTGATTTGGGAAATAGGCTCCGAGTGCTTGGCCGCCATAGGCCGACCAGCCCTCGTGGTTGATGAGTTCTCGGGATGCTGCCCACTGCGACAAGTTGGATTTGCCGAGAATGATGGCCCCGGCCTTGCGTAGCTTGGACGCAATGGTGCTGTCTTCGGGGACTTTGGCGCCCAGCAAGGCGTATGAGCCGGCAGTGTTGTTCATCTTGTCGAATGTGGCAATGTTATCTTTGAGAATAACCGGTATGCCGTGGAGAGGCAGCTTGACAGGATTGATGCCAGCTCTTCGCTCATCATCACGCTCTGCGGCTATGGACAATGCATCGGGGTTGATCTCAGTGATGGCACTGAGCTGCAGGTTGACTTCTTGGATTCTGTCAATGTAGGCCCGTACCAAGTCAACGCTGGTGAAGAGATTCCTGTCCAACCCGGAGCGCAAGTCGGCGAGCGTGGCATCGAGTAAAGGTGGAAATGCATCATGAGCATTTGGTAGGCAGTGGGAGAGAAGAGAAAATGATGCCACTTGTAAAAGTGTGGCTAACACTTGAAGAGTCTTCATTGTGTCTGCAATGATGTGCCTTTTCGAGGTCAAGGACACAGATGTACGATTCCTGGGCAGTGAATAAATAGATTTTACATCAACCACTTCTTCCTAGTGCGTATACATATATTACGTGAGTGATGGTAATATCGCCACTATTACTACATGTATCCAGTGACCAGGATCATCAAAAGACTGCGTCGTGACTCTCCTAAATCGAGCTACGGGCCTTTGCTTCCGCCCGAGCAACAACCTATCAGCAGGGTTATTTCCCTTATCTGTCGCGTATAGTATAAGAATATTACTGGTAGTACTATGATCCTACAAGCCAGATCTTTCCGGATCCGAGCCCACTTACGTAGGACAAGCAGCAGGCGGCTGGCACAAGGTTGGAACGTCTCAGATCTACCGCACTATGATCGTATCTCGTGACTGTAATCACACCTCGTGTGTTAATCGCATGTCTGAGACGTAGTACCATTGCATTTAATGAGGCAAAGTGGCTTACAGTTGCTAGATAAGGCCGAGTGATGGCGACAGTAAGGACGACGTCGACGGTTTGAGCTACAAGTTTAATCAATGTAAAGAAAGGGTCATAATTAAGCAGTGAGTCATCTCTAGATACATCTTTGGTTCCATACAAGTCTTTGATAGACTAGATTGTCGAAGAGTCATCTTGACGATGTTGTATCAAGCCAGTTGCCCATCATCTGAGGATTAAAGTAGGCAGTACAAATACAAATAGTACATGGCTTTCTCGAGGAGTGTATCCACCCGTAGCAAAAGTCAACATTCTCCTCCCTGTATCTCCATTCTCCTGGAACCATCTTACTCAGACATGCATTTCCGAGGCTTGATCCCACGTCAATAGATCATGCGCCTTTGGCCCCCATACGGCTGTCCCGGCACAACTCCAGCCGAGACACGGCTCGCTTCTCCAGCACGGCCATTTCGGCGTCTACGTGGATAGGTAGCACAGCGAGACTATAATTTTAGAATGCAGCCACGTCGAAACTCGCCCTTATCTCTGCCAATTAGAAAGAAGGTTGCCCAAAAGTCTCAGTTGAATGCGACTTGGGTTGCGCAAGGGATGGATATCCCTGTCTTCAGCTGGCTGCTGTCCCCATTTCATCTCGCCGTGTGTCTATATCTGCGGAATTGTCACACTCAATGAGGCATGTACCTTACCGCCACAGCAATAACCTGGTTCACGGATGTCGCAGCGTTGAGGCGGTGAGTACGGCGTATGTACCTCTCTGTCTGCCATTTCCACGTCTTATTGCCACCACCAAGCACTTGCGTATTGATACGATGTCGAGTTTAGTGACAACGTCATGTTGGTATTTATAAAAATAGCAGCTACGGTGAACATATGGTGGCCAAAAGACAAATTGGCGTTGGCAATCCCGCGCCCGAGGCCCCCATCACTACATGTACCTTTAGTGAATCTAATTGCAAGTCGCGCTATACATCCCTTCATTGTAGATCATTATTTTGCTAAACCCTCCTAGTTAAGCGTCAAAATTAGCTTCTCGGATTCGAATTTGATATGAATCTCAGTCAGTGCTAAAAGGCTGGTCACTTATACCTAGCAGATTAGCGTCGGGTAGAACCGCTTGACAAGCATATTTGTATGCTTCATACAAGCAATCAATCATTACATGTACCCGAGTGTATAAAATGGGCCCTGACGTCTAGGGAATTTTTTGCACTAGAGGAAAGTAAATCAGTAGTGGAATAATGTCGGAAGATGAAGTCGGGCAAATTCTTGCAATGTCAGCATGAATCTAATATCGTATACTTGGCCCAGGATAAACATATTTACCTACTCATCCGAAATACCCGATTGGGATCACATATCTTGGGATCTAGATAGTCCTCGGCATGAAACGTTGCCTTTTATTCTTTGTAAACATGTACACAACTCTAGTTTCAACAAACAAACATCTTCTCACATCTACTCAACATCTTCCAACCCAACAATCTTCAGCGAGTCCTTCCAAAGCCTAGCCTCCTCCTCCGCATTATACGTATGACCCGCAGTCAACGCGCTCGTCATATCATGATCATCCGGTCCAGGCTTCGCCACCGCAACATCCGCCAGATACTTTCCCCCCTTGCCCTCCCATTCCTTACCAATCGCAGCCCACACCTGCGTCGCAGCACCTTGTTCAGGGCTCTTCCTCCCCTGAAGAATCTCGGGACTAATCGACGCCACCATGGCCTTGGTATCCTCTTCGGAAACGTACCGCATCAGACCAGTGGCGATGTATCCGGGATGAAGACTCAGCCCGTGAAGGCCGCGAGCGCCATACAGACGCTCAATTTGATTGGCCATGTAGACGTTTGCCGTCTTGGACTGGGCGTAGGAAACCCATCTGTCGTAACCGCCCTTTTGGAAGTTGTAATTGTCCGAGGCGAGGATACCGCACAAACGGTGAGAAGAAGAAGCAACATTGACCACGCGGGAGGCAAATTCAGGAGTGCTACCAGCGAGGAGAGCAGGCTTGAGAAGCTGGAAGAAGAGAAAATGAGAGAGGTGGTTGACGCCGAATTGCATTTCGTGGCCATCTTGCGTGAGCTGCAAGTCGGGAATGGCCATGATGCCAGCATTGTTAACGAGGATGCTAATCTTGTCAGTACCTGCCAAGATGGTCTCTGCCGCAGCTCGGACGCTCTTGAGTGAGGTCTGGTCCATCTCGACGAGTTTCATGCGGGAGGGCTCAAAGATGTCTCCAAGCGCATCTTTGGCTTTGGTGAGATCTCTGCCGGTGAGGTAGAAGGAGGCTCCTGTGGTGGACAGGGCGCGGACGGTCTCGATGCCAATGCCGGATGAGACACCGGTGATGACGATGACTTTGCCCTTGAGCTTGTCGGTCATTCCTTCGTCCTGGACGACCTGGAGGGCGGTTGGTCTGGCATCACCAGGGCCTTGTGGGGAGACGTGAGCTTCGGCGTAGCGAGACATTTTATGTGAATATAAAGATGTTGTTGAAAAATGTGAGTTGTAAGAGATGTAAGTGTTGTAAGTGCGTCTGTTTGAAGCTGTCTAGGATATCTCTCTTTCCGGTAGGACGCTACTGACTCTTATATATCTGCATATGCCCACTCTTTGACCTATCCGAAGCTCTCCTATCCCTTCAACTATTACCATGTTCACTACAGTCACTCGAAATCTCCCCAATGCATTCAAAGTCCGCGAATACTCTCAAACCCCGTCGACTTACACGCTGATGCTTTTTTCCCAAACCAGCCTAGCCCCAGCTCCAGTCCGCCATCCGTACTGGCGGGATTTCGCTGCGGCCCCACATGGCCGGCGGCTGATGGTTTTTGCCGTTTTGGGATGGCCCGCGGCTTCTCCCTAAACGCCGACACCTAGCTGCAGATGCATTCGTGGAGCAGGCTGTTCTTTTCAGGGGCATGGCTTGGTGAAGGCCTAGATGCACGTGGGAGATGTATTGTAATGACTTAATTCGGAACTGTTGTAGTGTATAGGCGAGCTTGATTCATGAAGCTGGGTGATGTCCATATTCTCGGTCTCGGGGTGTAGAGCTTTCCGCATTGATCAACAGTTACCATGTTATATTAACGGGACGCTCAAGTAGAATTATCGAGTAGGATCCCCCTAAGTAAAAGTCACTGATTACCACTCCTCATGCCTAGATATCATAATACAGAGTGCCATCTGTGTTGCTGTAAACGATGAACGCTGTATATGCAGACAATTAGCGCTATATTCTACCAGACGAGCCCTATTTTACAGCGGATAGGCGCTACACATCTAGAACGCGCTTATGCAGGTCTGGCGCTTTTTGATTATGTCCGGGCAAGCTCCGCATTTGTGGGTACCTGGCCGTGAGCCGATGGCGGGTGCTTGAAGAACCATCCCTTTTTAACACCCAATTCATGGGAACATGTACGGGTTAATAATTGGCTGTTCCAGTTGTTGATTGCTCCTTTTTATATGTTTATAATGGCTTCAAGTAAAAGGACGCAGTCTCCCGATATGGATGCGATATCCGACGAAGTCATACCTGGCATGACAACCAGCGAGATCCGCCAAGCCCGTAGAAAGATTCAAAACAGGGTGAATCAGAGAGCTTTTCGTAAGTATAGGGCTTTTTAAAACTTCTATTGCAAGAAGTGACTACTAACATAACCGGCCAGGATCGAGGGTCAGGGAAAAGAAGGCGGCCGATGGCAGCATAGCGCATCCTTTCAGAATCCATCGCTGGCGGGTCGATGATGGACATGACGATATGCCAGCAATCAAACCCAAACAAGACCCCAAAGAAACCAATAACAAGTCCGCTCTGTCCAATCAGCTGGTTCTCAGGGATCATCCACCACAGGCGGAAGAGCCGCCCAACGATGAAGCCCATCCGCATCGTGCATTAGCTTCCGTATCAGCAACAGCCGCAGACAGGCGTTCCTCTCCCTGGACTAACCTGCGTTACTGCCTGCTCTCGGAGCATCTCCTCCATCTCATCCACTTCAACGTGCTCCGGGGCCTCTCGTACAATAAAAAGGTGCTCAGGCCAAGTGCCTTTCTCGAGTGCAGCCGCACACATGCGCCAACAATCACTCTGAGACGCATCCTCCCGCATATGCCAGACGAAAGGATCCTCACGGCCCTGCGTTTCCCCGAAAACCTGGCTCCCACAAGCCTGCAGCTCTCGCATCCCCACTCCAGCTGGATCGACGTGTTTCCCTTTCCGGAGATGAGGGACAACCTGATTCGGTACGAAGGCTACTTTAGCCATGCCGAGTTTCTGACCGACCTGCTCGGAAATCTCATTAGCTGCATGGATGGTGCCTGTGACTTGCCCCGAAAGTGGACAAATGCGCTGCCGGGATCCAAGAACGGTGATGATGCTCCTGACCGCCGGGGGTTGATTCTGTGGGGGGAGCCGTATCAGAGGGAGAGCTGGGAGGTGACTCCGGGGTTTCTGAGGAAGTGGTGGTGGGTGGTGAAGGGATGTGGCGAGCTTATTGAGTCGACGAATCGATGGCGGACGGTGAGGGGGGAGAGGCCGTTGCGGATGGCTGTGCTGTTACAGTGAAAGAAGCAGTTAATTGGAATGGTTGTTGTATATAGAGTGTTTATTTGTATATATCTAGCTTTTGGCTGTCCTATAATAGCTTTCAACGCTGTTTATTCAAGTCGTTATGTCATTAACATGACCATGTTGGGTATCTTCCATCAAAATGGTCTCGGGGTATTTCACATCGTACATCTTCCTTTTTGTTTCTTGTCATTTCTTTCATGCCTGCAACCGTATCGCATCTCCAACTTCATACGCCGGCGGCGGATCCATGACAATCGTATCAAACGTCGCCACCGCATACTTGACGTCGCTGCCCAGCCCAATCGAAATGCCCGTCACAATCTCCATCGCATGGTCCAGCCTCACGATGCAAGACTGCGTCGTCGGCTTCGTGTTCATGACAAAGAAGTTGCCCCACGCGCCCGAGTCCAGCTCAAAGACTTCGCTGTCAATCTTGACCGCGCCGGCCATGCTGCAGCCGTGCCGTCTCTGGGTGGCTGTCCGCGGCAGCATGCCGACAGAGGTCATGACGGTGGACTTTAGGTCCATGGTCACGCTCCGCAGATAGACGCCGGACTCGAGCACGTCTGGAGGTGTGTGGATGATGACTCGCACGGGAGTTGGCTGGCCGCGAATGAGAACCGCCGGCTGAGGGAGCAGGACCTCGACTTTGATAGAGGGCGAGTATTTCGGGCTATATGACGGACACGAGCCGTCGGCGTGCTCCTGGTCCATGATTGCGTTTCGTTGGTGCGCATATCGCCGGCCAGACTTTTCATTCATCGCCACGGACAAGACGCACGACGATCTGGGCAGCGACGTGATGGTCGGGGTGCAGCTAAAGGGAATCTCGACCGCCACGCTCTTGACTTTTGTCATTGGGCCGAGAATGCAGCGGCCCACGGAGACGACGATTCCGTACGTCACCTTGACGCTCATTTCCGGCTCGACAATGTCCATTGACGGCGGGAGTTGGCATTTCTGCGGCCTGGCGCAGTAGCAGTTGGCCTCGGCGGGGAACTGGAAGTCGATGGGGGTGGTGTAGATGGATTCGCCAGAGGCTTCGTCTTCGTCCCACTGCAAGTCTCTGTATTCGATTTTTCTCGATTCTTCAAACAGCTGGTGATCACGTTAGCCATTCCATCGTACTTCGCTGCCTCCTAACAACATGGACTCACCACTGTTGTAAACTGTCCCGGACTGGCCCCGTTAACATGCGTGGGAAACGAGACGACCATGGTGCCGACGAATTTGACCGAGATGCGCGGCGATTTGTGAAAGGTAGGACCGCGGATTTCGAACAAGGCCCTTACGCGGTCTTGCGCAAGATACGGCCCCTGGTGGGCATCTTGCAGATCGAGATTCAGCTTCATAGTGCGAGAACTGCGAGACGAGCGCCTGGTGCAGGTCTCGTTGGTGTCGCGACGACGGTCCGGCGTAGTTGTACGGCAGTGGACTATACATCAAATGTATTTACGTGTAAGTCTGCGTGAGATTAGGTTATGTGTGATGTGGCTGCATTGAGTCAATGGTGGCAAGCGTGTATTTGGATGCTGAAGCTGTTCATGATTCAACAGCTTGCCAGGCACTTATATATATACATCTTGGCAGCCATGTATCCAACATATCCACCCACTCGAATTTAATGATGCAAGCCACCCGCTTGACCTGTCATTCATCTCTCACGATTACCGACAATCGCCGAGCTAGTTCAGCTTTTCTAGAACACTGCTAGGCCCTTTAATGAGACCAATGGCGTAAGAGAGGCTTGCCGGATGCCGGCAGTCGTTCCCCAGACACACCTCGAAAATGGCCTTATCGACGGACATGAGTCGGAGTTGGCGGCTCCCCACAGTGATGCCACGCGTTCGGAAATTCGGCGTCGCATACAAGTTGTTAGTCGTCAGCAGATTTTTGCCGGCAGAGCCTTTTTTTGCTCGCACTGTCGTAATGGCGCAGACGGAGATGCGCCGCCGCTGAAATTTTGGTCGAATGATTCCTAAATAGGATACCCGAGGTTATGCATTGGCAAATGAGCGTTCACAAACAATAATGTAGGTAAAAACTTGTTTATAAGTTGTGATCTGGTCAACCATAAATGGAAATTATTCTCCAAATGGGTATGTTAGAGTTCTATCCTCATTAAGCTTAGTAACGCCTCGCTGTCGGCAGTTCCCTTGTGGATATAAGCGGGTTGTGTTCCTGGCACATACTCGTATAAACGTTGGAACAAAGCATCGATATGTTTATCAATTAGAGTTTGGCTTTTATAGACAGAACTTCTATATTTACTTCGTATGTGTCACGGCACGGACTTGGTTCTTAAATCAACACATTCAGAGTACATTCCAGCCAATTTCTTCATATTATTCAACATACAAACTCCTGAGTCAACAAACGATGTTATCATAGCATCAACTAACAGTTTCGAATCCAACACTTATAAAGCATCTGAGATCGTCGCGGAGATCAGCTAACCAAAATGAGGAATATTCGCTGACCAAGTAGAGATGTATGATCCAGCAGGAAGAAAAAAGAGCGTCCGAAACATCTCCACAAGAATAAAGAGCCTTGCCGCGATATACAAACAAAAGAGCGGAGCCAGAGAGGAAGCAAACAGAATATACCACCCATTTTTGTAGAAATTGCTCACGATCATGTGCCGACGACGCAGCACCATATAAGTGAGAAATATAAGTGCCATGACAGGAGGAGATGCAGTCAAATAAACGCTTGCGTACCGCCACCAAATCAGCTCAATCCTTGTCGGGAAGCCGAAGTCCCATGCGATGAGATGGACTGCGCCAAATACAGCCGCGGCGATACCAGTTACAATAACTCTATCACGCTGCCTCCGCCGGTTTATAGTGTAACCCTCCCGCCAGCTATATTCTGGACGTGGCCCAAAAACTGGAGCGGGAAGTTCTTTTTCAAGGTCAAGCAGCAATTTTCGATACACGAAGTCAGCTGCTTGCTCCCACGAAGGTCTTTCTTTCAGAATGTCTTTTAGCACTCTCTTTTTGTCATCGTAGCGCATTTGATCAAGGATATCGATGGGCGTCAGGACGCGCTGTGGCTTTTCCCAGTATATGCCATACGTAAAGACGGCACAAACTGCAAAAGCCACCACGGCGACCTCTAGCGGAGAAACAGGTAGTTTCTGAACAGCCCGAGCTATAACTTGCACAATCGTCCAGAGTATTTGCCCAATCGCGACGGCTTTGCCAAGTACATCACTTTTCGATCTGTCTTTAAGCTCTTCAGCCGTGATGTCGGGAAGTGATCTGATCTGATTTGTGTATCGAAGTCCATGAACCTGCTTAGCAGAAAGACGGTAAAAAAATCTTTCTTTCGGTATTATCCGTATGACGAAGCCCCCCATCCCAGCATAAAAGCTATGAGTCAACGTCCATTTGACTTTATCTTCTTTGGCAAACTCTTGCATTTCTTTCTGTAACCGACGTGACTCAGTTAGATCATCAACCGCTTTGGACATGATGAATTCTGGAGCCATTATTGTGATAACCATCCAATAGAAACTCTTCCCAAACCTTTCGAGCTTCCATCTGAAGTTGTCTCGCTTTCTATCATTGCGGCCGTTGCATGGCTTGGGAATACTGAGATGCTGAACTGTCCACGTGCAGGCAAAAATGGTGAAAAGAGAAGTCCATAATATATTCAGAGTGCCACGAGTGTTGGGAGCTGATACAAACATGAACTCCGACTGTGGATCTGGGGCAGAGCATGTTGTTTCGAATACTGTATAGGCTTTGACAAGCGGCACCAAGCTCAAGAGGAGAACTCGTTTGAAGCAAGCTGAAGGCTCCATTGATTCTGGTGGTATTTCGGTGATAACTAAAGATGGACAGGATGTGGATGTTGGGAGTGCTTCTAAAGTAATGCAGCTGTGGTATTTATCAGCAGACCGGTGCTATATATGAGGTCCAGCCTCTTCAACAAGATATGGACAGCATGATTACTCCATAGGTCTACACCGCATTTCTGGCGGCGGCTACCATCACCGAAGACCAATTCTATTGGTAGATCAATTATCGCGATGCACAGCTGGCAGTCCTTGTTTGATTGCACTGGGGCGAGCTGAAGCAGGGGACAGGCTGAGGCCAGGCTGTACCACCAAACGAACCAATTATCTTTACGATTTTCAGCCTTTGTATCCTCTACAGCCTGAATTTTACAAAAGAATAATCTAATTAATGCAAAAAGAAACGAAATATTGGATAATTGCCAAGCAATGACGAAATAAGACGGGCAGCGGAAAGCAGAAGCATATTGTTTGTCAGACCCTTTTTACGAAAATTCGAACCCGAAATTTGACGACAGCAGATATTTTTCCCCTCGAGATGAAGATCATTTTTAAAGGAACTTGCTGAAGCCTAGGGTCGGTTTTATGGCAAATAGACAAATAACGAGCGGATGTTTATACTACATAGAAGATACGATCAGGCTGAGACATTGATCCTTCACCACCGTATTATGTGGAGCAATAATATTTTAAGACTTCATCTATGCACGCCACAAAAAGCAAGTTCAACTGATAAAAAAAAGGAGAAGTGGCAAAAATCTATTAAAAGACAGAAGAAGAAGAAAATAAACAATATGCATAATTGAAAGCCAAGGCTAAAAAGCCACTCAAAGACAAAATTGGTAAAAGGGCAAAAAGAAGACCCTCTTAGAGGGTTGGCGGTCTCTCCCGCCGGGAATTGAACCCGGGTCTCAAGCGTGACAAGCTTGCATACTGACCACTATACTACGGAAGATAATTGGCTGTGAGCAGCCAAGGTAGGTGGTTTGGTTGAGTGAAGCGGCCTTGTATTGGTATATAAACTGTTTATTTCAGCGCCAAGCAAATTTGCAGCGAAGTTCTAAAGCGCCTCATTTTGAATTACACCGCGTAACATATTGCATTGACTGCAACTATCTCAATAATAGCACAGTCAAATTGAACATTGCTATAATGTCCATTACTTTTAATCAGCTTGTTATGTATTTTGCTGGCCAAGAAAGAGACACCCGATTGAGTTGCGTCCACCGCAACTGATTTCAAGTTGTTGAGGCTATTCCAGGGTATGCAAACAACCTCAACTTCGAGACGGCCATGCCGCGAAAGCCGGATTCGCCGCCATCTGCAAGTATCCACCGTCTGAAGCATGCAATTACACCCAAAAGCTGCACAATCAAAGCAACAGAAGCACATGCATGTTCAAGTCCATCTTTTATTCCAGCTCAACTATGATAACTCATCGTCAAGCATCACACATCTCAAGCCTCATCCATCATCAATCGTCCACCACCACTCACAACCCCCCAAAATGCAACACCGTCAACGCCACCAAAAGTGTCAAAATCTTTGCAAACCCACCGGATCTGCCGGCCAAGTGGACCCAGCGCCACTTTCATATATCCAACGCCGCAGCTTAAAACATAGCATAGCTCTTCATCATGAAAACCTCCGTAGCTGTGCCATCCCGTCCCATCCATCCGAGCAATAAAACGTCCAAAACGATAGCCGATCGAATCTCACGCAAATGAAGTCATACCTTCCCACAACGCAAAAGCGCCTTCACACAGCTTCAGCCGTCCCGCATGACGACACAAGCTGAAGATCTCCAGCGATTCGGGAATAAAACCCGTAATGCACGTAACCTTGGAATGCTACATTTATCCACACCTTTAACAAATGGGGACAAGGTCACCACCCATTGCAAAATGTTTATTTTCAATCTTCTTCAAGCAATGATGAATTTGTTCATCTCGTGACCTCGTGTTGAAGATACTACAAGTTCTAGTAGTACTAGTAGTTGCCAGCATAATTCTCCATCCCTATAGCCCCAAGCCCGCTAAGCGAATCCCCTAAAACCACCAACACGAGTGGCTGCTGCAAGGGCCCCTCTCGTATCGGCACCTATTCAGCTACTATTTTCTCCTATTCTTTTCTCCGACCTCCTGCTCTGCTTCTAGAACCAACAGCCGAATAGACGGTGTAAGGGGAAGAAAAGTCTCAATGACCGGCTATAGAATATTCCTTTTCTTTCTTCTATCCCTTACCGACTGTAGACGCAGCACTGCGTTTCACAGTATTCACCATTGACACCACCTGCTAGGCGCATAGACCCGCTGCTATAATTATCCCAGCCGAGTCAGACCCTCAACCAGCCACGAACGAATCCTGGCCTGCCAGCAGTGCCTCTCTGACTTCCCATCTCACCAACCAGACGCAACGTGCCTCTTCCCTCGCATTCATCGCCACAGCAGCATCGTATAAGTAATCTGCCAGCAAATCATCTCATCCAATAGCATGTAACAGCACTGTACAGCACACACACATCTCAGCATTGCCGATCCCATAATCCCCGGCCACACGCCTCAGCCCTAGTCGAAAACTGAGCTCCCACCATCGTCATAACGTAGCGCCCAAGCGCTCTCTTCTTTGTTCAGTAAATTGAGCCCTGTAGCATAGCATAGCTCTGGTAGTGCCCACACGGGAACAAGGGGAGGTACCCAGACGATGTATCGCCGTAGTTGACAGCATACATGTCCCCGAATCCGGCAATATGATGCCCTCATACCCCCAGAAAAGAATCATCCAGATCAAAGAAAACAAAAAGAAAAGACAAGGGAGCAACAAACACGAGCTGCAAACGTACATTCGTATCTGGTATCCTTTTCGCCATGCGACAAACGAACGAGCCCAACAGGAGCCAAAACCTCGTGTTTGGCCGCCGATCCACAGTCCAAGGAGAGTCATCGATGATCTCATTCGCTCGGCCCGCTTCTCCCTCGACTCAAGAAAGATGCTGAAAATAACAGCTCGTAATTGGCATGTAGTTTTCTTTGTTGCTGCCGCCCACTATATAAACTTGTCAATCCCACTGATCATCAGAGAAATTCCACTCACCAACAAACCATCAACAGCCAAACAGTATAAATACCTTCATCTTCAACACTTCTCCCACCAAACAACAAACTCAACAGCCAACACTACAACTACCTTCATCTTCAACACTTCCACCAAACAACAAACTCAAACTTGACAACCTTCAACATGCAATTCTCCATCGCCGCCATCATCCCCTTCCTGGCCTCCGCCAACGCCATCATCAGCGGCATCGCCGTCCCCGAAACCATCAAGCCCGGCTCGCCCTTCCAACTCACCATCGAGACCGCAAACTACATCCAGGCCGTCAGCGACGTTGCCATTGCCATTGGCTACCAGCCGGGCGACGGCTATCCTGACTGTCTCGGCACAGTCCTCGGCTCATTCTACCTCGGACCCAGTACGTAAACAATTCATCAATCATAGGGCACAACATGCTAACACAGACAGAAAACTCAAACATCCTCACCAACATCACCGAAACCATCACCCTCCCCGCCAGCATCGCCCAAGGCGACGGCATCATCTCCGCCACCGTCTACAGCCTCTACGGCGTATCTCAGATGCCCACCCTCGTCAACCACAACGTCACCATTACCGTCGGCAGCGAGACCTCCAAGACGCTCAAGTCCAGCTCCAATTAAATTGGACGAAAAAGCGAAACAGACTGAAAATGGAGCTTGAACATGGATTGAACTACCTGGATATTTACGACCAAAGAGTGTGACGTGACGACATAACTACAATGGCATATTATATGAAGGCGCCGAGGGAATAACAAGGAACACTTTGATTTCGAGCATTAATATTTATGATTTGCATTTTTTATAGACTAGTATAGCTCCAAGCGATGTAATTGAATCTGATATTACTTGATACTTTCATTTCTCAAGTAAATGTAGTACATGGCCGTATTCAAATGAAAGCTGTTAAATTCTTAGCAAGAGCATATAATTCGTCAAGACATCCCATTAAACCGAGTCCCGCAATCACAAGATCAATTAGACTGTAGGTCATAATCTAGGTATATTCCATTCAGTTTATTCAGTATTCCACCCAGGTTCTGGTATTCCATTCGGTTTATTCAGTATTCCATCCAGCTTCTGGCATTCCATTCAGTTTATTCAGTATCCCATCCATCCAGTATCCCATCATAAGTAACCACCCAACGCACGCATATAACGCTCAATATGTATCATATCTATTCTACAGGGGTATCAACAACAACATCAAAAAAGTATCACGGCATTCACTTCCCATTCGGCCCCTTCACAGTCACCCCATTCGCGCTCCCCCAGACACTATCCGTCACCCGCGCAGGCACTTTGCGCCCCTTGAGCCTCTGATCAACCAGCCACGTCCCAACCACAAACTCGGCCCTGCTCAGCATCCCCATCCTGCTCCGGTCCACCAGGTCGTATATCTCGGCCAGCTCATCCAGCGGCAGCCTCGAGCGCCTCCACACCTCCCTCACCACCACGTTTGCCACGCACTGCGAGACGTCTCTGTCCAGATCGCTGCTGATGCTCGTGGCGGGGCTCATCAGCCGCGTGTCCGTCAGCAAGATGCCGCGGTTCGACGCCCACAGCGCCTCGTAGCGCTTCCTCTCTCGCGGTCGGATCTCCTCCCGCCACTTCTTCCGCGATCCTTCATGGTGCGCGTGCTTGCCTTTTCTCAGCAGAGCCCGATGCCCCTTCTTGTGAGAATCCTCCTCATCGTCAGATACCTGGTGAGGATTTCGTAGCGTATGCAGCATCCGAGGCGACTTTTGGCGTTTCGGCACCGGAGGAGGAACCAGCTTCGAACCGGTATGGTGCGGCGTCAAGCGGGACGAGGCGAGCGACCCGGCCATGATGGCATCGGTAAGATTATCCAGCTGCGTATGGCCGGGCGACGCAGTGCTCGCCATAGAGTGTCTCCTAGAAAGGAACATGGAAGACGGGCGCGAGGACCCTGAATGCTGGGGAGACACAGACTGCCCCGACCGCACTGCAGAAGCTATAGAAGCCCGCGACTGATTCGCCGCCGCCGCATCCAAATGATGGCTATAAGACCTGCCTCGTAGCTTAGGCTCATCCCCACTGTCTGTACGTTTATGGCCTTGCCCTCTCGGCTTCGGCGGCGTAGGAGGTCGCTTCACTACCAAAACATCGTGACGCTTCTTTGGCGGATCCGGCGAAGGTGATGCCAGAGCAACATGTATAGATGGGTTCAGCGTCAAGTGCGGAGAGGCCATGGGACTCAACGGAGTCTTGGTCACCCGCGTCGGCTGCGGGGACACGACCTCGGCGACAGTCCTGCTCATCAGAGGTTTGAGAGGCGGGGGCGTAGAAGGATGGATCGCTCGCGGCGGTGACGTCGTAGCTTCTGATCGTGGATGCGAGCTCGTGGGCTTGGATTTATGCTGCGGCAAAGGAGCTGGTGTTGCTGTTGATGTTGATGGATGCGTTGTAGCAGCTTCTGGAGTCATGGGCCTTTGAGGCGGAGCGACAGCCTTGTTCTCTTTCGATTTGGTCGTTGTAAGCTGCTGCTGATGTTTCTGCTGGGATTGACCATTACCATCATCATTGGACAGCCGTTGTTGTTTCTGCGTCTGCGACCCCAAGCTCCCCCCTCGCTGATCAATCCGCTGCCCACCCGACACCTCCGCCGCCGCCGACATTGACTTTCCGTCCCCTCCCGGAGCTGTCTCAGCCATCGGGTCTCGGCGCGTCCTGGCAGCGGGAGGAGGCGTCGGCGGCGGCGCCCGCGTATCTCGCTTGACCGCCGTCGGCGTCTTCTTTGGCTTCTTGGCCTTGTTCTGCGGCTGATGCTGTGCCACGACCGTCGCTTCCGGCCTGACCTTGTCTTCAGCTCCAGCACCGCTGACGACCGACTCTGGCGGCGACGGCCCCTTTCCATTCCCGCGCTCAAACATTGATATCAACGATCCTGCAGAAGCCAACGGGCCCGAATCCACGTCACCAACAAGGCTGCTCCCCCCAGCACTGCTCGCCGAGCTCATCGTCCTCACGCTCTCCGCCCTCCTGCTCGCCATCCTCGTTGTATTCGTCGCCGCAGTCGCCGCCGCCGCCCTCGTAGGGCTCGCACTCCGACTCGCAGCCAGCGTCGCCGCAATGAGGCTCGGATTCTTGACGTCCATCCGCGCAGCCGCTGGCGCCAGGCCCAGATGCGCAGCTTGAGAGGCAAACGCCCCCGAGGCGCCACCACCACCGGTGTGACGCTGCTGCTGCTGCTGCTGGGCCTCAAGCTGCTGCGGCCTCGAAGCACCTAATCCCACCACCGCCTGCTCTGGTGCCGAGGCTGTCGAAATCGTCCGCCCCGGGACAAGGTGAGCTCGTGTGCCGATCGTGTTATTGCTCGAGCCGTTGGCCGTCGATCGAACCGCCTCCGTCGCAGCCGTATAGGCGCCATTGTCTCTCCTGCCCGCAGCGACGTGGCTCTGACTCCGCCCCAAGGGCTGTCTCGTCGCCGACAGTTCTTGCTGTTGTCCCTGCTGCTGCTTCTGCTCGAGCTTGTCTCTCTGAAAGGCCAGCGTGGCGCCCCTAATTGCGGCGGAGGCGCTATCCGCGGGCTTCATCACCGAGAAATATCGACAGTTGATCGCGGGGCCGGCCACATTTAGATAGGAAAGATAAGAAGCGTAATAGGTGTAAAAGAGAATAAAAAGGTTAATGAAGAAGCAGGACTTATTCAAAAAGACACCATTCCGATGAATGATAAAAATGCAAAATAAAAGATACTTGCTAAAAAAAAAGAATAATTGTAAGAGCTGACGAAAACAAAACCAAAAATAGGAGACAAGCAAGCCAGGCTGCCAGCAAAATCCCCAAAAAAAAGATAAAAAGTCCTCCGTTTGACAAAAACACGAATACGTGGAACTGGAAGGATCCCCCAGTCAGCCAAGCCAAGCCAAGCTCACACCAAAACAGGGGGACCCGAAACAAAACGAGCCTCTTTTTTTTTTTTTTTTTTTTGTTGGGGTCTTCCAATGTTCTTTTCTTCACAGGTACGGTACGGAGCTTCGGTGCTCAGCTGCCGGACGCCCCGACTTTTTCTTCTTTTTGGCGTTTCGTCAATGGCGGGAACGAAGAATGTGACCCTGCAGAGGCGCTAAAGAAGACAGGCAGGGCCCCACGCGATCAGTGCGCATCCACTACAAGTGCCCTGCTGCCAGGGACGCATGCGCTGTGGTTTCGGCGCTCGACCACCTGCTACAATAGGCTGTTGGCTAATGCTGTACGACATCAGGTGAGATTTGTCCTAGCTCGGCCATCGTTGTCTGGATGAGGCCGACTTCACAGGGACACTTATGATCACTTTTACAAGCTCAGCTCAAACTTCAAACATTGTAACATTTTTTCATGCTGCAAAAACTGAAAAGAAATAGACACAAAGAGAGAGACAAGAGGCCCCTCAATCAACCAAAGCCATGCAAATACCACACAAGCAAAAATAAGCAGAATCCAACGCCATGTCCCTTTTCGCCTTTCCAATCCCATTCCCAAATCCATTGCCATTCCCTCTCCCTCCTACACCTTGGGAATTCCCCATATAGCCCCAATCCTTGAATATTGAAAGAAACGACAAAGAAGAAGAAGTCAAAAGAGGAAAAAAGTACAACAAAAAAAAGCCCAATGCTCAGCACAGCGCAGATATAACACAGAATAAAACCCAGTCCAAGAATCGGACAAATAGAATCAAGTGAAGCCGCATACATTGCGCCATTGACTGCCTGCAGAACAGACAATGGCTCCGCAACGCCGTTTGTAGATGGCCCGCATCCTCGTAAGCTCTTCATTCGTCTTGCTGCCAATGTGATCAAAGGCAGCGAGTAGCATAGACACATGTCTCATTTACACCATTTTCCAGCCTCAACTGTGAGAGACAAGACGTAGTCAGCGTTGGCTGAAACAGCACCGAGAGGCAATCAAGGAAAGCCGTCATCGTCCGTCTCTGTCCATTCGCCGCCTCCCGAGACTCGGTTACCGTCTTGGTCAATCATCACCGGTGGTGCGTAAGCTGCAGGAACTCCGCGCGTACGCTTCGCCGCGCTGCTAACTGGTCGGTGGCCCTGCTCGGGCTCCATCCGCTTGCTTCGAGAGGACCGAAGCTTGGCGTAGTACGAGTCCGACATATCTGGCTCTTCCTCGCTATAGTCATCGTACGTCTCCCAGTTCTCGGAACCGGTGACAACGGTTGAGGTGGTCGATGTGCTGGAAGTGAATCTGCTTTGGGCTGTTTGAGGGTACCGCGGGACCTCTCGGATTGAGGAGTAGCGGCTTGCTCCTTCATCATCAATGTAGCTGGGCTGGCGACTGTGCGACAAGCTCGACTCGCGGCTCATTCTGGACTGTGGCCTCTCATCATAGGCGTCTTCAGGCTCAACCGCACGCACAACGCTGGTGGTTGATCCATTCGATCCCATCGACTTGTAAGGCTTAAATGGTGATTCCAGTGATGCCACGGATCTTAGTTCGCGCATCTTGGGTGGAGGCAGTCTGACAGAGCCGCCCTTACGCAATGCCTCCATACTCTTTTGGAACTGTGCTCTAGGCCGCTCTGGCGAGTTGCTGCCATCCTTCATCTTGGACAAAGGAGCCCTTGTGCTTGGCTGCCTTGTAGGGCTGCTGGGCACTGCGGTGGATTGCGAAAACATGGGCTGAGACTTGTTGTTTAGGTTGTATACGCTGGCCGTAGGAGTTTTCGTCATTGAGCGAGGAGGTTGCGAGGCCTTGGTGGTGGTGGAAGGCCTGATTGCTGAAGATGACACTGATTTCGTCAGTGCCTTGGTGGCCGACGGAGGAGGGCCTGCTGGAGTCCTGGATCGGGTTTGAGTTGGCTTCTTTGAGTCTTCGGCATCCAACTCATCGAGGTATCGCTCGCCAAAAACCAAGTACGGTCTATCGTACTCGTCCTCCCATTGCTCGAGTGCTTTGCGAACGTCGGCCGTCACCTTGGGCAGCTCCTTGGCGATGCGCTTGCGCATTTTTTCTTCGCGAAGCAGCTTTCCGGGATCGCGTTTCTCGCCCTTTTGGCCGCGCAGCATAAGACGGGAGGCATCCTGGCTTGCTGCGAGAAGCTCGTCTCGGTCTTTAACCAGAGACTTGTGCTTAGCAACGAGGTCGAGGATCGGCGCGCGTTGCTCTTTCAATGTCTCCAAGCGAGCAATCTCCCGCTCATGGGCTTCCAGCAACGCATCACTGTAGACATCGGAAAAGGCAGGAGTAAACTCGAGCATGTCATCGTCTGAAAAGTACAGGACATCCCAGAGTTCTTGGAGCTTGACGCGCGCGTCCTCAATAAAGATGTGCATGTTCTTTCGCTTTACCACATTCAATCGCTCCAGCTCGTCTTCAAACTCGTTAATCTGGCGGATCCCGCAGCCTCTGTTCTCGCTGAGGAAGGCCTTGGTCTCCTCCTCATCAATACCAAGCTTCTCCCAGAGGTTCTCGACTGTAGCCTTGAGGTCGCGTAGCTTCTTTTCGCGACTCTTCTTCTCTTCCAATAGTTTATCATGCTTGGCTTGCAGACGCTGGATATCCTCCTGGTGAAGGCCAAGTTGCTCAGGGGCTTCGCGGTAATACTTGATGACGGCTGTATCTTGCTGGGCTTGGGGAACACCCAGCTCGGCCCACAGCTGAATGATGTCGTCACCCAATGTCTCCACCGTCGTGAGCCGGCGAGTATACTCTTCATACACTCGCGTAAACTCTGCGTCAAGGCGAGCTACATATGATGGTGACAGATCAAATGTCAGGGGGACAGATTGGCTGGGACCGGTAGGAGGGAGAGCAATCTTGACGAATGAGGGCTCCAGGTGCGATGAGTATGATTCGAGGGCTTCAACGAGCTCTGCAGCAAGCAAATGTTAGGAATGATGGCCGAAATACCAGCTGGGTTGCGGATGAGGATCCCACTCACTCTTGACTTGTTCAAGTCGCTCCTTGTGCTTCTTCTGTACCTGCCCCTGCTTCTCCTTGAGCCTTTGCAGGCAAGGGATCAGAGGATACGAAAGCTTCAGGTCGTCGCTGGTCGAGTTCTTACGTCGGGGCCTGGAGTCGTCCATGGAGGCTTCCATCTGTCGAATCGTGGTGACGGTCTTTTTGGCTTCGTCAATCATGTCCTTCTTCTCCTTTGTCACCGTGCGCAGGTGGTTGTTGAGCGCTTCCGACAGAGCTTGGAACAGCTACGGCGCCATTTCAGTCAGCATCACCGACGAATTAGTTTGGAGGAAACAATCGCACCTCTGCCTCTCGCGCCTCGCGCTCATGGTCGGGCACGCCGATTTCGTCAAAGATGCCGTGCAGCTGGTCAATGCTGCTGTTGACCTGCTTGGAGAGGTAGCTGGAGTCCATGGCGAGCAAGGTCAGCCACCCCAGGCGGCTTGAGTGCTGCTAAAGATGTTTCTGTTGTGAAAGGCTTGGAGTCCCCAGAGCCTCGTGGGTGCTCGGCGTCGAGCAACTGATTCTGGCGGTGATGGAGGAATAGAGTTGCCTGGCAAAGCGTCTGTGGGAGGCGACAAGGAAGAGCGCGGGGCTCTCCTGGGATCTCGCAGGGGTGTCCGGTCAGGTATGCAGTTGGGCAGCTTTTTGTGCCTTTCCTGGTAATGCTGAGAGTACCCGGCAGATGGAGGGGAATGATATCAATGTTGGATACCGATAAAGAAAAAGAGTAGTGTTGATCAATCTCGATATGCAATGGAGAGATCGTCAGGCGGCAATGGCCATTGATGAAGTACTATAGTCGAGCAAAGTGAAGAGTAAATCAAGAAATAAACCTTCTTTCCTTAACAAAAGCTTAGTATAAAGAAAAGAATAACGAGAGTCGGAAACGGCGCTGCGTCAAGCCTCGCCTCAATCAATGCAAGCGCTGCAAAGACGATGAAGAAGAAGGGAAAAGAAGAAGCGCAAAAGCGAGACCTGCAGCGGCCATGAGACAGCTTTTGGATGAAAAATAGAGCCCCAAACGGGTGGCATTTGCACGGCTGAAGATCCCCACTCTTTAGCCGCCCTGGTGCCGCCTCTGAGGGCTGAGCGTTGCCACGGCGACGCGATTGCCTTTTCGAGGTGCCCTGCGAGCGTGCCGCGCCGTGTGAGCGGCCTCAGCTGTTTCAGCGCCGCGGGGTGAGCGACTTTGTCGGCCATCTTGTCGTCTCGGCTGAGATCGGGACGATGCCGTGTGTCTCTCCCTCTATTTCTCCCTCTGTTTGAATGCGAAATTGGGCAATCCCTTGTGATTTACCGCAATTCGAGTGACAAATAATGCCTTTCGGAAGAATATGCTCGCCCGTAAATTACACAAAATCGATATACTCGTAGCACAACAGCCCAGCAGCCTTTCTTCTGCCATGGCAACCACATCACGAAACACAGAATTGTAACATGTTTACACGTACCATCTGCATCATCGTCTTCTAGCCCCGCGCAACAACTCCATTAGCCTCATGCAAAACATCACGCCGTCTGCCTTGTTTACCTGCATTCGGGATTCTAACTGGGCGCAGCGAAAAAAAAGAGAACAAGGACCAGGGGGGGGGTGCCCCGTAACCCCATGATTTTTTAGCGGCGGACAGGGCTTTTTTGCGCTCGTCTCACACACAAGATCGCCTTGTTTACTGTATTTCGGGATGGGGCCAATTCGACCAACGACAAGGTTCACCATCTTTTTGGGCCAATCCACGAGAAATCCTTCGTTGCCCATCAGCTGGTGGAGCCGTGTTGCATTGACTCCGTTTTGTATCAGAAGTAAACATGCATTATGCCCTGCTGCGTCATTCTGCAGCATCTATTGGTGTAAGTTTTAGTGCTCACTCTGGCCATTGTACGAATTAAAAATCAGAAACACACCCGCCAAAACAGACAACACAATACAGTTCCATATCATCAACATGGAGAAAATTAAGTCAAAAGGTCAAAAAGAAACATCGTCTCCGATACTGGGAATCGAACCCAGGGCTGCTCGGATCTTCATGAGAGCGAGCGATGTTAGCCACTACACCATATCGGATTATCTTGTTGAAAGCCACCGCCCTATTGCTAACTGTAAACGGCGCGCCACTCCAGCCCCGCATTCAATCCCGCTCCGCGCCGCGAATCCGTCTCACTGTCCGATGTAAGTGGGATAGTAAGCTTCAACAACTGTTTACTTCCCCATTCTCATGCTTCATGCTTCATTGTTTATTGTTTGACTCCACGAGGCTCTTGAAAGCGTTGCCTAGGTAGGCGTTGTTTATGTTCTCCCAGAAGGGATACCTGCCTACCTCACTGCAGTCCTTACAACCAAAAGTATTACAAGTATGAAATTCGCGATAGTCGAATACTTGCCCATTTGCCAGCTCCCTATAAAACAACCAACACTTAAGCACAAGGTCCCTCGCCTCTACAAGTATAGCTATAAGCTCAGTAGCTGTGTCACAAACTTCAACATCAAAAGACCTAGTACCGTCGCATAAATAGCCGATCACCCGAGCGACGGGCCGGCGCCATTGGCGATGAAGCGATCCAAACAACTAAAACTCCACCGGACTTGTTCGCCGGTCTCTTAAAACATATACTATGTGTACTAAGATATGTACCACCCCATTAGGTAGTGTATGATACGCCTTCAAAACGAATGCCCAGAGGTATCTTGTCCGTAATTAATCCCATGCTTGAAAAAGCCACCCGCCCATTACTTATATACCGATTATATTGCATCGCTGGACCCCGACCACGACCGCATCGTCATGTCTTCCGGCCCGTCGTCCGGAAGGGGGTCCCCCATGTCCATTATACCATACATATCCCACGATAAAAAGTTTTGCAAATCATCCAAGTCGAGTGCTTCGCACATTGGCTGCGTCGGGGCGTTTCGCTTGGGATAGGCTGGAGGCGACAGCTGTGGTAACGCTGTTGGCACCGGCTGCTCATGCTGAAGACCTGACCGTGATGAAGTGAGGACGTCTTGGCTAAGGCCGACAAGCTGCTGCGCCGCATTGTTGCGGTCCCATGCGGCAGCGCCTGGGCTTTCGGCAGACCAGCTTAGTCCTCGAACGCCGCTTGCACGATCCGCAGCTCGCCTTGTCGCAATACCTGTCCGTGCAAGCGAGTGAAGAGAGATGGAGGGGAGGCTAAACTCTGGCGTAGCGTGTACAGGGCTGGCTGACGTATGATTCGGTCTGTAACGATATATCAGTCAGCATGAGTGCGGTTGGAACAGGGATAATAGTCTTGAGCTCCTCACTTTTCGCCCTCGTGAGTTTCAGAGCGAACTTCAGATAGCATCCTGCTCACGAGATCATTCTGGCTAGTGGATTGCCGGATCTTGGACAGCCATCTATCAATTGTATTGGACTATGGCAAAACAGTCAGTATCTGCAGCTCCTTGCCAGAATTAGAGATGGAGACTCACCAGTGATTGCGCAATTGGAAATAGAGCAGACATCATCTTAAGAACCCGACGATTGCTCTCAACAGCATTGATGGCATCCCCCATCTTTGACTGGGCATCGGGCCTATTGGGATCGAGCAGACGCGCAACGTAGTACAGCATCACCCTGCTACTGTCGTACACGAAATATGGTAGCAAACTGTCAGATAACAGGTGAGCTCCATGATCGGCAGCTTCTGCCAAGATATCTGCAATTTGTTGTGCATGATGATAGCAGTTGGCTTGTGCAGACTGAAGAAAGTCGTGGTGTTCTGGTGGCACAGATAGAGGCTTGGGAAGCTTGAACAAGTCCGGCATGGATATCTTGTATAGCTCCAAATAGTTGTGGTGGTATGTGCAATGTATCAGAACCAGCGCTCCCAGCTGATTTGAGTCCAATCGAGCATAAATGGTTTCCATAGAGTATTCGACAAATTCTGGCAGCTCCCTTTGCCACAGGCGTAGATCGGCGTCAAGAGCAGCAAATGGCGAGTCGGGGAGCCAAGGAGGGAGATTGGAGTCCAGCTGATTAACATATCTAACGATTCGCTTCCAGAGCGCCACCACTCGGATGTAGTATGCCATGATGCCCATGTTCGCAGACGGCTTTCTCGGCACCACGGACGGAGGTAAGAATTGGAGGACATGGCCCACGCCTAGCGTTTCCGTCACCGATGCTATGCGAAGACCGAAATTCCTCTCATTTGTAGGCAGTTGGATCTTGATGTCGTTTTCGCGCAGAAGAGTCAGCTGGTCAATACCGCTACCCGCCCATGCATCGAGGACGTAGCACGCCCACATGAGCCTCCGACGACTCTCCCTGGTGACAACCGATGGAGCCGATTCGTTGGAGTCACCGCAAAGAACATCGGGGGATGCTTCGACGTTGATTTTCAGGGCATGAGCCATGCGGACAGCAAGACCACTTAGCATCAGGGCATTGGAATACTCTCCTTGTCGGAAGTGAAAGTCATGAAGTAATATGGCGACCTGAAACGGTGAGTTGGGATCATGATTATCAAATGATATTGAGTTGACATACCATGAGTCTTTGGACAGAAATCTTTCCAAAGTTGGTCAAGACGAGGAATTCGGCTCGCTTAGCCCACTGGTTGCCGGCCAAGCGGATGAAATCAGAGGCTGGAGGGTGGTCATGTTGATTCAACACGTAGAATCTGAAGATGGTTAATTAGTATACACATCGCATCGTATTGGTGAGGGAGTTGCTGAGATGGGCTACATACTTTGCCCCGTGAGCACAAATAATGTGCAGCAGTGCCGATTCATCGTCCGAGGTGAAGCCCTTGTCCAGCTGCCGCATGAAGGACGGCTTATGCACAAAGGCGAAGCAGCGGATGGGATGGACGTTGGCAAAGTACTGCTCCACGACACGGCGCAAGTTGCGGCCGGTGGGAAGACTTGGTGAGACAAGCCTAAGGAATTATGTCAGTCCGGTCTTCCATCATGCCAACCGTCAAACAGCCACCGAAGAAGTCCTTGTTTGCTTCCTTTGCATATAGCATCGCACAAGATTCCACATACCATGACAAGATATCTGATCCCGAAGGCTCAATAGAAGCAACACTCTGCAAGCTCCCCAGGCCCGGTACCTCGCCGGGAATCTGCGGCTCAGCCGATCCGTTGCTGGTCAATGGCGTCGCCAACTGAGGGTTCTCGGCCTCATCGCTGCCGTCGGCAAGCAGAGCGAGGGCAGCCAGCTCCCGCGACTTGCTCCGGCTGCCCTCGATCCTCGCCCCAGGGTCCATGTTGCGGGCCCATCGCGGCGCTGAGCCGCCGTCGTACACGCACTCGGTCTTCTTGGCGGTGCATCGCGAGCACTTCGGGCGGTCGCCGTTGCACTTTGTCTTGGACAGGCGGCAGCTCTTACACGATCGATAGGTGCGGATCTTGCGCAGCGCCATGGGCGAGTTGCGGCTGGCCGTCAGGCCATTGTCGCCGACGCAGTCGAGCTGGAGGCGCTCGCAGTTGCGACATCCGTTGGGGCGGCCATCACACTTGACCTGCGATGCGCCGAAGAGGCATGGGTTAGGAAGCTGTAGCTGTAGACACAAAGAGCAGACGCTGGGAGAAGTGGGGTGGTGATAGCGATAGGCTGATAGCAGCAGCTTATAGCAGCCGCAGTAGTGCTGAAACTCACCTTGCGCGCTCTGCACACCCGACAGCCCATCGTGGCGAGTGCCGGAATCGCATTTGACACCTGGAGAAGGCAAAGCAGATGCACCGCAGCAAAAGGCGCAGAACATCAACAAGGAGAGAAGGAGAAGCAATCCGGCGCAGGGCCCGTCTGAGAATACTGAATAATTGCGACAGGCCGGCAGGGCTTTTTGGTGCAAAATGGCCTGGCCGAGGGACCGATAGGGCGCTAGTGCGGGTGACGTGCTCGGGCGCCTCCAAGACGTTTTCGCCCATGGCCGCCCACGACCCCATTGCGCGATCGCCCAGCGGCCCTATCAGACGGGGCAGCAATTACGTGTTTTCCGGGGCTGTCGATGAGGCCGATGAGCAAGCGTTAGGGAGGATTTGGTGAGCGAGGAGCGCTGCTCGCGTGATGCCGGGCCTGGGTGGCAGAAGATGGCCTGGACGACAGCCGACTTCTCTGAATTTCTAGCGAGGGTACCCCGAGAATACACCTGACTGCGCTGTACCGCCCAGCGGCCCGTCGGTGCCGGCGCAAGTATGCCGCATGTACCGCTAATCGTCGGCATGTCAGCTTGAATGCGTCACTTCTAATTCATATGGCGACACTGGTGAGTGAGGAGTAGGCAGTATTTGCTTTCATGATTTACTGTGATACTAAAATACGCTGCTTTTACTTTATTGCGTAGTGGTATACGGGATTGCATGTAATATTTGGTGTTCTGAGGAATATCTTGACAGCCTGTAATTGCAGACTCGACGTCTAGACACAGCCAATGAAATGTTATATAGCCGTTGCACAGAGATTCAACTCAACCACATTCAAAGTAAAAGCTTCAATATCACCCCTCACAGACATCACAGATAACTTATAAAATGTCGCCCTTCATCACTCCGAAAACCCGAGCAGCCATAACGACATCCCGCACTTCCTGATGCAATCATGCACTGAAACACCACAGCGGCACCGATGGATACATCCAACCGTCTTTCCCCCACCCTCCACGCCAGGCCTCCAGCGAATCGCCGTCCATGCACGAACCCTAATTGGCAAGCCAGAGGGTCCCTAGCACCGAGACACTTGTATGTAAATGCTGCCGAAAAGCCAAGTCTTTTAGCTCATGATCTTCGTCGCATCGCTCTCCAGCGTTTATCTCGATACTGGTATGGTGCTTCATCTAGAGCCATGGGCGTATGGTATCTGGGGATAAATACCTACGTCATGGGCTGATCTGCATTACTGCATCTCATCAATACAGCCTCAAGCCACATGCTCCTTATTCTCTACTCGCTTATGGCTCGCCCGAGCAGATTGTACATGTAAGCAGCTCCTCGGGTGCGGAAACCTCCAGCTACCGGAAGAGCCTCCTTTCTGGATTACTCACCATGAACTCCAGAAAAGCTCACTAGAGTCAAAATGCTCATTTCTACTACATGTAAGTACACATGAACTGCTCAATATCTTCCATTTGACGAGCCGTAATTGTAGCGACTCAGTTCGCAATAGCGGGTGTCCGACGTTCCGCCAACTAGCCCGGAGCTTCGGAGATGTCGGCCGATAGCCCGTCAACGGCCGTTGACTCTTGATATACCCAGATGTTGAGAAGATGGAACATGCAAATTTGTAAAAGCTTCCTGGTGGTACGAAACAGAAACTATTAGGCATTTGCGTGTAGCTTTCCTACTAATGAGCTGATAATACGTCAAGTGAATTCACGCTTTTGCCGCAACGAAGCTTCTACCTGCCGAACTGCCGCTGCAGCAAATCCACTCCGACATCCGAAATCGTCTGATTCAAGAGCCAACAAACATGAACAAAAAAAGGTGTATGCATTTTTACAACTATTTACCAACGCCCAGCCTATCTAAATGGGCCGTCCATTTTTACATTATCCGCACATGGTTCTTTTTCCTTTTACATCTCTTCTCCCCCTCTACTCCTCCATCTCCTCATCCTCAGCCGCTGCAGCCTCAGCCTCCTTCTTGGCCTTGAATCCAGACGCCCACTCCTGCGCCTTGGCCATGACCCTATCCTTGCCCTTGGGATCGAGCTTCTCCTCCCACGCGGCCCATCTGCGGAACCACTTCTCTGCCTGCTGGGGCTTGAGACCCTTGACTCTCGTCCTCCTCTCGAATACGTCTCTCACGGCGGTGTGATCGGCGCTGGAGCTGGCAATGCCGATTTCGAGATCCAGCAGCTGGTTCCAGATATCGCCCTTCTTGGGGAAAGCGGCGAGAAGACCTTCAAACATGGTTCGGCCGCGCTCGGGCTCGCCGTTGGGTGACCGGAACTCGAGAGCCGCAAATCGGCTGACCATGTTCTGGCCGTTGTGGCTGTCGAGCTGCTGAGTGGCTCTGGGGAGCAGGGCTCGGGCTCGGGCGGGCTCGTTCTTGGTGACGTGCAGGAAGTGTGCGTAGTTGGTCCAGACGCTGGGTGCCTTGGCACCGAACTTCTTGAGCATGGCTTCGAAGAGCTCATCCGCTTGCTATAATAGAAATTAGTATACATTCCCAAGGTAATGGTTAATAGAAAAGATTCTTACCTTGAGCTTCTCTGACTGGATGTAGATACTAGCCAGTCGCTCGTAAACCTCTTGCTCGTCATTGTACTGGCAAGCTCGCTTGAAGACATCCTCAACCGTGTGCTTGCTGCCGTACGCAACCTCCAAGTTGAGATAAGCAACCCAGACGTTGAGCTTCTCAGTCTCCTCGCGAATGTTGATGCTCTTGATGGCTCGCTCGGCAACCTCTCGCGCCTTTGGTAGCTCGCTGACCTGCATCTGGAACGCCATGTAGGCAATCCACAGCTCTGACGAGTCAGGCTGACCCAAAAGCAGACGCTCGTAGTCGCTAGACGTCTGAGGGCCGTGGGCATCGAGCTCAGCAGTTCGGTCGACCTGGGCCTCAGCCTTCTTCTTCCGCTTCTTCTTCTTGTCGGCGTTTTCGGCCTGGGAATCGTTTTCGGATTCTGAGCCAGCGTCATCGAACGGATTTGTTGCCCACGCTGACTTTTTACCTCCGCCTAGACCACCAGTCTTCTTAGTGGCAGCGTCCTCCATCTCTTCGTCGCTATCACCCTCCGCTTCCTCCTCTTCCTCGTCTTCGTCCTCGTCTTCGTCATCATCTGAGGAGTCGCCTTGGTTATCAGTGCCAAGAATCTTGAGTAACGCTTCCTGATCCAACTCCATGCCTTCACCATCATCCTCATCCTCATCCTCGTCGTCGAGTGCTGCGCCAGCATCAGACTCCATGTCAGTGTCCTCGTCCTCAAAGAAGGATGGTTTGAGGCCAAAGCTGATTCTTCTCTTTGTAGGATCAACCTCCAAGACTCTAGCTTTCACCTTATCTCCCTCCTTGTACAGCTTGGTGGCATCCTTGACGGCGTTATCGGCCATCTGGGTTCGGTGACACAAGCCACTGACATTGGCCGAGTTGTCAATAACAATAAAGGCACCAAACTCTTCAACCTTGCGGACGACACCGGTGACGATTTGGCCCTCCTTGATATCGTTGTAACCTACCGGAGGCTTGTAGTCCTCATCAACTACGGAAGACTTCAGGCTGAGCTCAAGTTGGCTAGTCGCGGCATCAAGGGCAATAACGCGGCCCTTTACTAACTGATCAACCTGGAAGCTGTCTTTCCACTCCTTCAAGAAGCGATCAGAAAGATTTGAAATTTTGACAAATCCAGTTACCTGGCCTCCGAGCAAGACAAAGACACCCTTGTCGGCGACATTCTTGACGAATCCTCGTACGATATCACCAGTGGAAAGCTGTGCAATCTTGCTAATCTCCTTGTCCGCAACAGGAAGGGTAGAGCTCATGATTCGAGAGGGTCGCATAGAGAGACGGATTCTTTTGTTGCTAGCGTCGACATCAACAATGGAAACGCGAACAATATCGCCCTTTTTGTATTTGAGAGTATCGACAGTGCCGTAATCGTCGACCATGTCGGGGAGATGGACAGGGCCGGAGACGGCTTCGCTCAGTTTCACCAAAACTTGTCGTTCATTGACCTTGGTAATCTTACCAGGGAGGACCATGTTCTGCTTCAATGAAGCCCAAGTGATGGTCTCGGAGGCATTAGGTGATCGTGCAGAGAGGTCGAGACGCTTGTTTTTGGCATCGACCGATGTGACTCTAACTTTGATGGCTGATCCGACCGGGAAATTGGCCTCTAGGTCGTTTAGCAGAGACAAGTCGTCTGACGCGTCCATGATGGAAATGCGGCCTCGGACGTTGGGAGAAAGGTTCACCCAGAGGTATTGAGATGTTACGTTGTTGACAAAAGCAATGCGGTTGTCGCCAACCTTTAAATCTTCAAAAGTAATTGGCTTGGGCTCCTCGTCGCCAAGATCGCTAGGCTTAGAAGTAAGCTCCAAAACCGAGTGGGCAGATCTATGAGAAAATGGCAGGTATCGATGGTCTTTGGCATCGTGGACACCCATAATCTTGACACGGAGAACCTGTGTCTTGCTGAATTTGCCGAGGGGATCCTTTGGATCGAGGATATCCTCCCATTTATCAAAGATCTGAGACACATCAAGACGACCTTGAGTCTCGCTGTCGACGAGCTGAACGTTCAGCTGAGTATCCTTGACCGATGTGACTTTAACCTTTGTTGTGCTGCCAAATGAAAGGCCATCCTCTGGGGCCGGAGCCTTGGAAGACTTGCCCTTGTTGCCCTCGCTCTCGATAACCAGAGGAGCGTCGGCGGGAGCAACCAAAATACGCTTCAGCTCAGGAATGGTCGCAACGATTTTCACTTCAATGGATTCGAACTTGCGCATGCCAAAGTCAGGTTGTGCCTGAACATCGGCTGGAAGCCTTCCTCTCGGCAGCAATGCGTTGAGATTTCCAGCAAACTGAACAAACACAGCCGTAACTGTAATGTTGCGCACAAAACCCTGAACAATAGCACCCACTTTGGCGTCATGGAAGCTCTTGAGCAGCTTGTTCTCTTGAGAGGCCTTGACCAAGCTCGGCTTCTGGGTGAGAGTGATGGCCCGACGGTTCTCGTTCTTCTCAAGAACCACGAGATCTGACAAAGTTTGTCCAGTAGAAATTCGCTTCCACGCGTATTGGTTCTTTGACGAAGACTTGTCAGTGAGGTGACCCACTGGCAGGATGGCCTTTAGTTGGCTGTCAACAAGCTCCACAAAGATTTGATCCTCCGTCTTCTGGGTGACCTTGGCCGATACAACATCTCCCAACTTCAAGTCCTTCAAAGCTGTTTGCTTGTCTAAACCAAAAGCGCTCGGGTCTTTGCAAGAAACAATAAATCTTCTCGCTTCGGGATCGACCTCAAGAGCGTGTACGCTCAGGACCTGTCCAGCGCGGAAGTGCTCCATAGGATCACGGATATAGGCCTCGCTCATCTCTGATACGGGCAGGAATCCCTTGAGATGTCCGTAGAACTGAACGTGAGCTCCGTTCTTTTGCACCTTGACAATGGTACCAAGAGTTTGCATTCCAATGCTGACCTCGTCGTAAGATTTGATGGTAGGAGCCTCTGAATTCACTAATGTCTTCTTGAGGGTAAGGCGCATTTGTCTCTTAAGAGGGTTCGTAGAAAGAACGCGAGCCTTGACCTTCATTCCGACGCGGAACTTCTTCTCAGGGTTCTGAAGGCGGATATCGGATAGGTGGTTCTCGGGAACAAATCCAGTGATGCCCTCTGCAACCTTGATGATGAGTCCAGTAACACCCTGCTCCTTGATGACCAGCTTCTCAATTTCGCCATTGATCACTGAGCCGATGGGAACGTCTTCAACACGGATGTACTGCTGGTCAAGAATGCTCTTCGCAAAGGAGATACTGAAGAGGCCATCCATCTCGTTGTATCCAACGATTCGACCGCGGTGTACAGTCCCAACCTTGTAAGGTCCACTGGTTTCGTAAAGGGCGTCGACCTTTCCGTCTTTGACACGAGAGATGTGAACAAATCCGCCCAGACCAGCGACACCGGTATCAACGAAGAGACCAATGTTGTCTTCGACATGACGAACAGTGCACTTTTCGACGAAAGAGGAGATAGGCATCACTTCAATGGGCAGCGGCTGCTCAGTTTTTGACTTGGTATCTTGGCGTTTCCGGGTCAGAGACATGATGTGAGGCAACAGCGAGATGCCCAGCTTCGGGTCTTTGGCCGTGGGAAAGTTGCAAATGATTCTCGCCTTGACCTTGGATCCGACCTTGTACTTGGCCTTGAGGTCAGCGTCGTTTGGACCAACGCCGGAGTGGATCAAGTCCGCAGTGGCATCCACTGCGCCCATGATCTTTCCACCCAGACCTCTGCCCTCATTTTCTGACACCAGAATGTTGACGAGTGTGCCGGGGAGGAATGTGTTGATTGTGGTGGCATCGCCGGGCAAAGCCTTTGTGCTTCCGAGCTTGTCTTGCATCAGGGAGAGCTGCACAGTCTTGGCAGCGCCCTTGCCTGTGACCTGGCAGAGGAACACGGCGCCTGGCTGGAGTCTCTCGTGGTCAATGAGGGGGTCGATTTCGCTGTTGGGGAGGAAACCATTCAAGTTTGGGATTCCGAGATCCATGACACAGCCACGATCTTCGACGCTGACCACCGAGGCCATGACGGTGCTGTTGGGCACAACATCATCTTTTTCTAGTCCAGTGTTGGTCTCGCTGGGTCGCAGAGAAAGCTCAATCTTCTTCTTTCCCTTTCCGCTGGCGGTGCTATCTGATGTCGAGACCACATAAGCTCGCACATACTGTCCGACCTTGAAAATAGACTGAAGGTTGATATCGCTTTCATCAGATGACTCTTCTTCGTCGCTGTCGCTCTCCTTGTCGGCGCCGCCTTCAAGTCTGCTCGTCAATTGCTCAGAAATAGTGACAATCGATGCATGTCCGGTAAGGTTGTTCGGCAATGAAATCTCAAGATTGAGTTTGTTGATCTTCGTCACCTGTCCGAGAACCAAGGAGCCCTTGACCAGTCTCTGCAATGTTCATTAGTTTGAGTGTCCAATTCGCATCAATTGCCCACGCAGAAGCCCTACCTTGAAGTTCAAGCTCTCAATCTTAATGGTGTCCTCATCTGCCTTCTTCTCCGTCTTCTTATCACCCTTGGCCGCAGACTTCTTCACCTTCTTCTTCTGCGGCTTGGCGCTCGTCTCGAATTCCTCTTCCCGAATGGCGTCCGCTTTGGCTTCCATCTGAATCTTCTTCTGTTCGAGAGGCGTGAGGACGCTTCCGCCTCCACGGGGAAACACGGGCTCATCATCTTTCAGGACGGAGATGATTGGAGCCTTTGCGCGCTCTTCTGTCGCGGCGTCTGATTTGCGATGCGCCTTGGCAGCTGGCTTCGCATCCTTTGCCGGTGCTTCTTTTTTCGTCGGTCGAGCTTCTTTGAAGTTTTTGGCCGACTTGGAGGGAGGATTGCCTCCAGGGGCATCCTTCCGCTTAAGGGTGCTCATTGTGGTTGTCAGCCGCAAGATGCAAAGGCAATCTCGTAGCCTTTTGCATGGACGACTTTGGCTTCAAAAAATGACCTGCACAGCTTCGACTTCAATCTCGATTTTTTTTTCTGGCGGGACACCGATAAAAGTAGCGTCGCGATAAGGAAAATAGAGTGGGTCTAGAAATTGAACCAGGCCCACTTGAGCCAGTCAAGCCACAGCCCAACCGAAGGGGGCCTTGATGGGAGGCTCTAGCACATGCCACAGGGCATCCCTGGCCCTTTTAGGGGAGAGAGACCGCTATTGGAGCACCCGGAAACGCGCGCTGTGGCGCTCCAGGCATCGTCATCCATCATTCTTACGGAGTCCGCCGAACAAAGTAGCTCCGAGGTACCATCAATTACAGCTTGAACCTTCCAGCCGCTTTCCTGCCTGCCAACCTTGCATCATCGAAGCCTAAACTGCGTGTCCTTTACCTTCTTCCTCATCCATTCTATGGCCTGCCTTTTATCAGTATTGCGTTCGTGATGCCGCCGCGAAAGAGGCAACGCCCCAATCCCGCCGCTCTGAGCTCGTCCAGCCTGCCAACCACGGCTCTGTCGCCTGAGACGTCACTGTCACTGGCGTCATCTGCCTCGGCGCAGCAGGCTAGCGAGCAGAAAAGGCCTCCACAGCCTGGATCCAGCAGCGATCACAGGCCTTCGGATGCGTCACTTCGGGTAAAAGAGGTGAAGAAACCCCCCTTCCTCTTCATCTGCCCACGGGCGGGAACCCCTGGATCTGAATGGACAGCCTCTGACGGAGCGCAACAGGTTCGGAAAACCAGCAGCTGGTACGCAACGTGGGCGAAGCCCGCAAAGGCCACCGCATCGACATCCATCGCCCGGGAGAACATTTTGGGAGACACCGTTAGATCCAGGAACGCACCCGATTTCTCTCGATTCGACACGAAGCGAAGCGAAGACACGCACCTCCCCGACAGCCCCGATTCAGCTGCGCCACCTGCATCACTTTCGTCCAAGTCTAGCAGCTCATCTACGAACAAGAAAATAGAAGAGAACAAGCCGGCAGATTCTTCACGTGCCGGAGATAAAGACCCCAGGGCGTCGGGACCTGCTCCGGAGATGCCCCCGATTCCCAAAACAAAGCCGGCTACCGAGCAGCAGGAAACCCCGGAGCCCCAGCCTTCTCAGGAGCCGCAATCTGGGCCAGAGGCTTCCACCAGCGAAGGTGTACAAACAGCCGATGCTAAAGATGCTTCACAGACACAAGCGGCCTCGGCAGGCTGGTTCGGCTGGTGGGCTAGAGCTCCACCTGCCGAACCTCCTGCTCAGGCCGCGCCAAATCCCCAGGCGATAAAAGAAGAGGAGGCATCCAAGCCCGCCGAAAATGTCGAGCCAGCTGAGCCAGCTGAACCAGCACCCTCCGAGCAAGCGCCCCCTTCTGAGCCTCCAGCTGCCGAGAGTGCTCCGGATGCCCCAAAGACGGCCTCTTGGTTTGGCTTCTGGTATGGCACTCCTCAGCCGGACGCGAGCGCAGCTTCAGCGGCTGAGCCAGACGCACCCAAAGAACAACCAGCAGTCCAAGACGCCGAAGCATTTTCGAAGCAGGGAACAGCTACAGGATCAACAGCTCCATCAGGCAAAATGGCCCCACTCAAGAATGAACGCTCGAAAGGCTCAGCTGCTACCGTATCGCGATCGTCCAGCAAAAAATCAGAGATTGAAGAAGAGTCCGCAGTAAAGGCCAAAGACGTATCAACAAAAGATGTCTCTCCGCCTGAAGCGCCGTCGCCACAAAGCCCTCCTCCCAAAGTCGGCTCTACTTGGGCTTTCTGGTACAGAGAGCCCTCAAAAAATAAGGATAAGGCGCCACTACCGGAATCAGGGCAAATTGCGGTCATGGGTGAAGGGTCAGAGGCCCAACCAACGCCTATGGCAGAAGGAGCTATCTCAGAAGCGCCGGCCAAAGACCCTAAAGATGATGCATTGACACCAGAACCGCCAGCAAGCGTATTGTCGTGGCGCAGAACCAAACGGATTCGACCGATATCGATGGATCTTGATATCCAGCGGCCGCCTTCTGCAGACAGTACAAAATCAGCTCCTGTAGAACAGAGCTTTGCCGCTCCCTCTACCAAAGCAGGGGCCGAACAAGAGCTGCCTGCTTCGAACTCACTGGCCAGGACCGATTCTAAGAAGAAGAAACAGGTGCCTTCGAAGAAGGCCGTCGCTGAGATCGAGTCCACCGTAAAAGAACCGCCCAACGTGCTACTTCCATCGTTTTCTAGCACATATCAAATGAAGGAGAACCCCTCTATCCTGCGACAAATTACGAATCTCGTATTACGAACCTCGCAGCAACCTCCAAATCATGTCTTCCGTGTCAAAGACACCCCAAAGATCCGCAAGGCAGTTGCTATTGGCGTTCATGGCTTCTTTCCAGCGTCATACCTACGTCCTATGATAGGCCAGCCCACAGGAACCTCTCTGCGATTTGCAAATCTTTGCGCTGAGGCTATTCGCAAATGGACCGATAGCCATGGCAGCCCCAAGTGTAAAATTGAGAAGGTTGCCCTCGAAGGAGAAGGCAGAATCAATGACAGAGTGGCAAATCTGTGGAAGCTCCTACTAAACTGGATTGAGCAGATTCGCCAGGCCGACTTGGTTATCATTGCTTGCCACTCCCAAGGAGTGCCAGTCAGCATCATGCTGCTGGAGAAGCTGATTGATATGGGGGTGCTAACAGACACCAGAATTGGCGTTTGTGCCATGGCCGGCGTGGCCCTCGGCCCTTTCCCAGACTACAAATCCAGCATCCTGATGGGCTCTGCTGCAGAGCTGTGGGAGTTTGGTGATCCTAACAGCGCCAACTCAAAAAGGTTCGAAGCTTGTCTCAAACGAGTAGTCGATTTTGGAGCTCGTGTCACATTTGTGGGCAGTATTGACGACCAGCTCGTCCCTATGGAGGTAAGATGATGTCCATTTTTGCCAACTATGAACAGGAGTAGCTAATACGTTTATAGTCTGCTGTGTACTCGCCTGCAAATCACCCTTACATCTACCGTGCTGTCTTCATCGATGGTCGAGTACATGCTCCCGATTTCATTTCCCACCTGATTGGATTCGCACTCAAGCTTCGCAATCTGGGTATATCAGACCACGGCCTCATTCGTGAACTCTCCGTTGCCCTTGCCGGATCACTCTACTCTGGCGAAGGCCACTCACGCTTGTACTATGACGCAGCCGTATATGACCTCGCCATCATGCACGCTTTAGAGACGACTGCCACGGCACAGCCCACACCTTGCGAAATCCCAAAGCGAGAGACAACACCTCTAGCTTCATCCAATCCCTATGTGTTGCCATGGATCATGCGCGGACTTTTGGAAGAGGATTTTGTCAAGACGCAGCTCAGTGCTGAAACGGAGGAGCTGCTGAGACAATTTGACGACTGGAAGCCAACGAATAAGGCACTCAAAGACGTCAAGTATCGCCTAGAGGTTGTTCGCTCCAAACTATAAGCGTAGACGATATCTCCTTGTTTATTTTGCCATTTGACGTCACATTTACGACCCTTCTTTCAACGCTCTGGGAGAGACGTTGCAGTATGACTATTGATACACTTTGGGCACGCCGTACGCGCAAGCGACAAAAGCAGTGCATAATATTTTTTGAAGATTAGCGAAACAGCATGGTTAAACACGGATTTTGAGTTTAAGAGTGAGATTTATTTGGATTTCGTCTACCTTATACATAGAACGGTGTAGAGAGAGGCGAAATGGGAACCACTTTATTGTATAATCCACTGAGGGCAGTCAAGAATTTGCGGTGAAATATGACTTTTATTCCTCGTAACTGCTCTCTCTCTACTTTATTTCTAGCACAGTAAAATAATAATACATGATTTGTTTTACTGTTGATATGAAGAACTGGTGGCTACTGTAGTATATTGGATGGTGATAGATGCGGAGCAATTTTTAGCAGCATTGGATACTAGTGAAAAGAGTATCCTTGTTTGCTTTCTTATGCTTATGCACGTAGTACAAGGCGAGTTACACAAACATTGCTTCATATCCTTATCTAGAAAGTACTTGAATGGTGGCCAAGTTGCCTGAGAACGAAAGTGTTTGCTTGCTTGGAGCTAGAAAGACATGGATAGCCAGACGGAACTCATCTACCCGGGTCTAGTTGATCTAGGCCGTAAATTGAGGAGGTTTAAACATACCTAAGAGAGCATTTTGTAGGTAAGAGTAACATTTTACAGCCACTCAGAGCAGATATACCTGAACAATTCCCAAAGGATGAAAGCAGGGTTGGGAGGTTTGACCGAGTGGTGCTATACTTGGAAGTAAAAGGCAATGTCTTGGTTCACTTCTCAATCCTTCAAGGATCAGCATCGGATAAGTCGGTCTGCACTGGCCTATGCAAGGGGTTCGGCCATTGGTAGGTTATGGAATGGAGTCTTGTCTCACCTGGATGTGAGGTTTGCCACATTGGAACTTTTGCAGCTGTGATATAATGCACGTTGGAGAGACATGCATGCTTCTATTAATACTCTGCATATATAAAGGGAGCATTTCTCACGACAAACTTGCTTCTTGTAGCACCAATAACTCAAGCTAACAGCTTACTGATTCTCATCTACTATTTCTTTCACCATGATGTTTAAGCAAGCTATGGTGGCATTGCTGCATGCAGGCCTGTGAGTAGTACGCGCTTCAGTTTATCTCTTTGGACATCCATCTAATAGCTTTAGCTGCATGGGCATCGTTATCCCGATTACCCCCATCCCGATTCCGACTCCCTTTCCAATTGGCCCTATCGCAATCGATCCCCCCATCATCATTGATCCCTTTCCGATCCCGGTTCAACCCTATCCAGCGGGCTGCCCAACTCACACGATTAACCACAGCTGCCCTGCAATGACGTTGCACTGTGGTCCCCAACCAAACTGCGAAATACTAAAGACGGTTACTCAGCCGTGTCACTGCCCACTGCCGATGCCGACGGTGGCAGCTCCCTGCCCGACTTGCCATACTGGCTGTGGGACGATCGTGAGGACGGTGACGGCTGTGTGCACTGGGCATATACCGACGGCGACTGCAGCATGAGTGCGCAAAATGATGTGGCTTGTGGGAGGAGAATGAGTTTGTTTGTCTATCTGGTGGATGCTGGAAATGGTGGAACTTGGCCGTTGTGGGATTGATACGATTTTTGCCGATGACTTGGCTATTCAAGCCGCATATGTGTAGTACGCAGGGAGCATAAGAGAATGTTATTCGTTTGATGTGTCGTACGATGGATTTGTGCGACAAGGTTGTGTATAGAGCTATTGCCGTTATATCCATAGGTGCTATATCTATAGACATGATGCCGACATCGCTACACATGGTGAAACTTTGCTTGCCAGTACGCTTTCATTAAGAAATGTTGAATGATGGGTCAGTAATTTTGGACAAGACGTGTGTCCCTACCCATGCAATCAGTACTATTAGTAAGGCAAGGGGCTCATCGAGATACTACCCGGGAAGTTGTCACTCAACATCCCGGATAGATTATCTGATACCCTGGAGGTTAGCATAATATTTTCAATTGACTAATTCTCTCAGAATTTGAGAACTGAAGAATTAAAGCTACAAACTAGTCTTTTAGAGTAGATTTCGAGATCAAACTTAATCACTTTGTGGATAATCCCGCGGTCAACAGTTACAATAGACAATTCAGGCCTCATGATTTAGTGTCTTACTTTTGCTCGTAGCTGCCGAGAGCTTATTTGCTTTCTTGATAAAACCACACCTGGCCGCTAATGATCATCATGTATCTGTCGGTAAGAATTGGATATATGTTTTTAATTACTTGGACTGTATGAGATCGAATGCGTACCAACACGTCGCTGGATTAAGGAATACAACTTCAAGTTGTCAACAGTACTAACAAGCATTATAAAATCCATTCCCAAAGTGCAAAAGAGTCAAAAACGCTTAACCAGAGATCAAACTACTAGACAATAATCTAAATTCTTTTCTGGAAATCTACACACATCATACCGCTTGCAGTTGATGCAATGAAGCGAGCATTATTAACCATCGAGCCAAATATTCTTACAAGAAATCAAGTCAAATCTACTTATAATTATTCAAGTACTGTTAACCACTTAGAAGACTTTATTATAATGATATGGCCTCTTTTACAAATGACTCCCTCGAATATATCCAGTCTAGTGGCCCAGACAGCGGTGAAGCCAAAGGTTGCGCACGCCGCCCCAGCTCATATTCTATAACCGCACATGGGGCAATCAGATGTTGAAGTATTGTAGGCAGCTGTCAGTACCCTCGGCTTGAAGTGATGCATCTTCGCTGGCATTGCCGAGTTAGTCCGAGACAATTTGAAATAATCCAATAGCTGTTACTGTTGGTTGAATCAATACGCTCCTTAACATAGGCATCCATGACGGAGGTCAACGTATAGTAAAGTGGCTGAGTCGAGTTTGCAACCAAATCGCGCATGCCTTTTGATAGGTAGCGTCTATGCATTGCCAAGCTTCACCGTTGCCCCTAATTGCAGAGAAGACTATTTTTTTTTCCTCTTTCGGCTTCTCCCGTCAGCAGGGCTGAGGCTGTGTTGTGGGATCTAGCGTCTTGTGAGTTATAAGGCGTAGGCGTATAGCTGACAGCGTATTGCGGAGCGTATAAGGTGGGCGTATGACCGCATCTGCACTAAAACGCCATTTGGAATTAAGCTTTATTTGAGTTCGGAATAAGCGTATTTTGGAACCTTGGCAAGCTTCTTGAATATCACGGCGCAATCATTGTCTATTTATTTGCTCCCTTTCCCTGCAATTGCTTCTTCTAATCACTTGCAACTCACCAGCATTCGCTTTGACACATAAGATTGGGATTCCTGAATTACATCATTTCCTTATCGACCAACTTCAACCTAGCCGGCAGCTCTTTTCATCTCTCGGCTGACAATGGCGTCTAAACTCCTGCTCGGCACCCTAATGCTCCTTCCTGGCATATCTGCCTCGACAAATATTATTCTTGAATCAAGACCTCATGGATACTGCAAACAGCTCAACATCCCACTGCCTATCACTGCAGAGACTGCAGTCTATGACATACCCAAGGTAGACAATGATATCGAAGCAGTATCTTGGGCAATCTTCGACGCCACTCGAACTTCCATACATGGACCCGGCAACATCATCAAGAACACTACAACTTCTGCGACCTTCAACATTCACGCGCAGCTGTGTATTCCCAACTCTGCCAAGAATTCGAAGAAGAATACCTTGCAGATTGCCACCCATGGAGTACACTACGACTCCAGATACTGGGACTCAAAGTACAAGCCGGAGAACCACTCCTATGTTGAGGCAGCACTCAAAGCAGGACATTCGATCCTTACATATGACCGTTTGGGAGTCGGTGAATCTGATCACCCGGATGCATACACCGTTGTCCAAGCTCCTCTGGAACTGGAAATCCTCCGCCAGTTGACTTTGATGGCCCGTAATGGCACCCTGTATGAGTTTGCGGGTCATGCACAGCCCTCCAACTCTTTGTTCACATCGTTGGCCACTCCACACAAAGTCGTTCACATCGGACACAGTTTCGGATCTTTCCTCACTTCTGCATTCATTGCCAGATACGGCCCCCTTAGCGATGGAGCAATCATTACGGGATATCTGTTGACCGAAAACCTCGGCAGCGCTGGTTCGACTTCATTCAGCGTCGAATATGCTGCTACTGGATCCCCTGCTTTTGATCGCCCAAGCGGCTATGTTGTGTGCCAGAGAGATGGTATCCAAAACATCTTCTTCGGAGGAAACCCCAAGACCGCGTTCACCAAGGAGTTGCTCGACTACGGCATCAGCCTCAAACAGCCAGTCCCCATTGGAGAGTTCGCTTCAGCCTGGTCACTGCTTGGAAATCCCGGCCCATCTTTCAGAGCCCCTGTGCAATTCTTGCTGCCCGAGTTTGACTTTTACATTTGCCGAGGCGATTGCCGTGGCTTGGCCAATGTGACCATGTTGAATCAGACTTACCCCAATGCTGCGGCCATTGAGATTGCCCTACAGCCAAATACCGGCCATGCGCTGCCTCTACACAACAACGCCACAGCAGGTTTCCAACTCATGTTCGATTTCTTTTCTCGACACGGACTGTAGTTGCCCTATACATGTGCACTGTGGATGCTGCAACCTACGAGATAGTGATGGGTGGTAATAAGTTAGATTTCTCATGGCTAACGCTATCAAAATATTCTACAAGATGTTATTGGATAATTAGAAAACTAGATACCTGAATTAGGAATTAAGATTTAATTGAATGCCACAGTTTTATACACTTCAACCTTTTGGTCATTTTGAGGGAGGCCACCTGCCCGTAAACTTGTAAATGAGGTACATGAAGATGGTCTAGATGGTCTTCATCTCATATTAGCGTTCAATGCTCTTTTCCACAGATTTCGTTTTCAACGCAGCGCGAAATAGGCCCTGATGCTTATGGAAGCCGTATAAGTCAGGCCTGAGGTGGGCGGCCCTCCCCCTTCTCCGCCCACATCGCCCACCCAAATGGGGAAAATCCTTCTTGGCAGCTAGGATGGACAAAAGGAAAGAGCCTCGCCAACAACAATGTGCACGTTTTATTTTTTTTATCCTCTTCTTAATCCAAAATTTTCCCGATTTGGATGGGCGACGTGGGCGAAGAAAGGGGTGGGCCGCCCGCCACTGGTCCTTTTATTCTATCCCCGCTTAGCGTAAGCCAGGAGGGTAAAAATTCGGAACTGTCACGACCCGTCGTGACAATGGGCCTACAGGGTAGGCGGAACCGGATTAACTTAGGACCGAACCACCAATCAAAGATGGATCGAGAAACAGATTCTCGATCCACCACAGGATCGATAATACAAACATCGATCCTCAACCAGATCGAGGAATCTTTCCTCGATCCCGTCCAGACCAACTGGATATATAAGTTCACTTCACTACGCTCCTTAGATAACTTAGATAGCCAGTTGTTAACACAGAATCAAGATTGCAACACGCTCTGCACTGCTTACACTCTGGTGACATTTGTTTACTATTGCCTACATTGACTACAGGTCTCCTAACCGCCCGCCAACATAAACCCAGGACTGAACTCTAGGTTTGTCCCTTGGGAATCCCTCGTATTACTAATTATCTAGTGTACGGTTCGTCACAGGAACACCCCGTCTAAAATTATTCACGTACATCAAAAGCCATCTAGTGTAAGAGTCGTTCCTGTCCGTACCATCACTTGTTTTTCACTTGTTTTTGATCCGCATTTGCATGCTATCGGGTACCAACATTGAAGCTCAATGGCTTATCCTCACATGTATGTATAGAGGTACACGTGACCTTAGGTAATCAAGCATTCGCTCATCTTCCCCGGAATACAAGAATTAAGACCAAGCTTCAAAAGGTCCATTGGATCATCTGCACAGCTTCAGCCACCTAAGACAACCGGATTATGACATGTTATAAGGGGGTCTGACATAAATTCCAGCTGAACAAGCGCGGATTCACAATGGCATCCGTCGTGCCTCGAAACACGTACCATACGTACAAACGGGACATGCAGCGGCTCTTATACTGGATAATCCATGCTTCCAACACAATCCTCCAGTCGTCGGCTGCCGCTGAGCCAGGCAGTGACGAGCATCAGAACAGCCAAAATGTGACAGGCCAAGTGACGGTCAAGGAGCTTGTAGCAATGGCCAAGACGATTTCCAAGCATGCTACCCGCGTCCCAGGCGCCATCTACCGCAAGCTGCAGTCGGTTATACGCGCCAGGACAACTGTATACGAGGCCTTTCAGCAGCTCGCAGGCTTGGATACGAAGCCTGACCCAGAGATGGAGGAGAGCAATGTAGGTCACAAGTACTTCATTGATGCTCTGCAGGAGGTCTTTGAGGTTCTCGGTGGCCCTGCTTGGGCGCGGGATCAGCCGAGTGAGACTGGGAGCCAGGGTTCCCGGGCCAATGCTGGAAAAGAAGCTGAACTCGATGCCGAACTCGACGCCGAGGTTGAAAAGGCCAACTTTTCCAACAAATTTGCAGCACTTGGTCTTGGAAACTCTGCGTATGACGGGCCTGATACAGCTGCCGCAGACTCTAGTGACGGCGAGGAATCCGATGAGCCAAAGGCAGCTACCGCCGTGCACCAGCGCCGCCAAGCTCGGCCAGGGAGAGGCAAGAAGAAGAAGGGCGGCAAGCGAGCCAAAAAGAGCAAACAAGCAGCCAAGCCTGAGCCCGCGACGTTGGATCAGGTTCCGCTCGAAAGCTACCGCATCATTGAAGATTCGGACGGCATCGTCACCGATTATCTCCTGGCTGTCTATGCCCTCTTCGAGGAAAGTATCGACTTGCGACTATACATTAGCGGCGTGTGGCATGATGTTGCGTACAAAGGCCTCAACGGCGCCGTAGCCGCTACCCTAGCAGACCTGGCCACGGCCATGGTCAAGCGGGCTGAGGCGGCTATCATGATCGAATTTCCCGGCCACGAGTCGTACGAGACGGTGATGCGGACCATTACACGTGGCAATATAGAGAAGGCAATGAGCAATTTCTCAATGTCGCTTCACAGGGTCTCGAATGGGGATGGGCGGACAGAGAAGATGGAAGAGGCCAATCTGGATGTCAAGGAACAGTTCCTCATCTACGCATATCAGGATCTCGTAGACTTCGTGACCGATTTCCAGACCACTCGCAGCGGTAAGCCGACCAAGCGCATGCTTGAGCAGATAGACAAGTGGAATCCAACCCTGGATCTTCGGCGCGCCACCAAGGAGCAGAGACTGCGCTGGCGTCGATCCTATACCATCAACTGGCTTTACGACCTGGTCAACGTCTACTCCAGCATTGTTGTCCAGCGCAACACGATGAGAGGGGAACACCATGTGTACGAAAAGGTCGACTGGGCCGCCGATGGTCAGTGGCGTGAGCATGTGCGACTCTATGGCATCAACGAGTTTGCCGGCATTGTGACGTGAGCCATTTCTTTGCTTAATTCACCCTTTCCTTCTCTTTTCCCCTTGCCAATACGACAATATTTCTAACTCTTAGAGGACAGCTCTCTTGCCATGCAAAAACCCGGAACCGATGTCAAAAAGCGTATCAGCCCAAGCTTGGTGTTCCAACTGCAGTGTATAGTCGACTCTCTGATGGTCTCACGGGGTTGGTCCATCAGCAGCTTCAGGGGGCATGTGTTGGAGCCACCAAAGAGTGGGTTCCGGCCGAGACGAGACGTCGACCTGTTTCTGGATCGTGAAAACCAGAGATCTGGCAAGGGCTATTTACAGGGCACCGATGTCCTGAAAGAGCTACTGGAGCGAGACAGCATGCTGCACGGCGACCCCAGCCGACACCAGGGACAAATTGCCGTACTTGAAGGCCTGCTGTGGGACTTCCGAGATTGGCTAGGAGAATCCAAGTACATGTCTGGGCTGCAAACGCTGCCACCCTCTCGCTTTTCCAATAGCAACCCTAATGGCCTCTGGGAATATTCGCCGTTCCTCTGCGGCGTCGGATTGGCCGAAGGTTTGGAGCTTGGTTACCGTTTCGGCCAACTGCTCTGGGATCAGATACCCGAGCCAATGCTCATAGTCCACCTACACAACATGCTCGTACAGAAGAAATATCTCGACCGGCCTATTGGACTGTTTGCTAGTCTGGGGGAGACCTTCCGAGCTGCCTTCTTCGCCGATGGCCGGCCCCCTACCTCAGACTTTCCCCAGGCTCTTAGCAACAGAGTTGACAAGACGGGTACCCGTTCGGCACAGCGCCAACGAGCCAGACGCAGGGGGCAAGCTAACTCGTTACACGCCATGCTGGATGTGACCGCGAACAGTTTCTTCAGTCAAAAATCCAATCTCTTATTGTACCGCGAATCTGGATGGAACCTCGACCGTATCCCCAATGAGGATCTCGGCAGGCAAACCCTGCTGCTCAATTTGCGCTCAGATGCCGAATCTTCCAGACAACGCTCCGCTGACATGGGTGGGCCCCATCCACTCCGCCTAGAGTCCGACAATGACCCCATGCCAGTGCTACCCAGGCGTCCAAGACTAGAAGGTCTGTCACGGCGAGAGTTGCTCGAGGCCATCCGAGTAGACATCTACTCGGATATCTGCGGCCCTTTTCCTTATTCAAGTCTCAACTTCCCCTGGGTAACGGCGCGCATAATGATGCTGTTCATGACGTTTGAAGACCAGCTAAAGAAACTTCACAACCCCACGTATAACCAGATCTACCTTGCGAATAGCGGGCGCAATCCTGAGAAGCGAGTCTTCTTGGTGGTTGCGGCGTTGGCTGAGACCGATGAAGAGTGTCTGCGAACCATGGCTAGAGTTATGGAAGAACAGAGAGGAGGCTGGATGGACCACATTTACTGGGAGGACCTTGACGTCTCCTTGGATCAACTTCGCGGCCAAGGGAAGAGTGGTAGAGCTAACGTAATGGCGGCAGATGCATGTAGTATTATGTAAACTGTGATAGCTGGGCTGTATCTAGTCATTATTTATGACGGATCTGGTTCGCTGGTGAAAAGCTGAGCTAAGCGTGGCTTATATGTATACATATATCAACGGTCTAAAAGTTCTGTAGGTGTAATTGTCATCTAATCTAATAACCTGGTATGTAGTTGAAAGCAAGCCATTGCTTTCTTCATACCAACATCCATTGACGCTCAAGTAGATACGCTTACAAAAAACAAAAGAAACAACAACGCATGCCTCTCTCTAACCCCCCACTCCCAGCTCTCAAGAATGCTATTATGAACAATCCAATGTGTACTGATTGTTCAAATTTACACTTGCACGGCCTGAACCTTTGCAAACATGTTTCCGATATCCGTATTTGTCTTCTGGGTCTTGGGCTTAGTAAAAGGGAGGCGTTCGAATTCTACTAAAAGTATCAGCGCCAGTTCTACCACACAACATTTGTCAATCAGGCAGCAGGTTGACTTACCAAAGAACATCTTGATCCATTCCTTGGGAGCAGCTCCTACAGAATCATCCCACAGCGTTGTCAAATACAGAGCCGTCGTGCCGGGGCTGCCCTGAACCTCAAGAGCCGAAGCATTGAAGGTCGGGTTGGCCTTCATGGCGTCTGCAACGCGCGCAGCCCTCGCCTTGGCCGCTGTTTCAATAGTGACATACTTTGACATGGGGTCCTTCGTGACCTTGTTCAAAGCCAATCTCTCTACCATGGTGGCCCAAATCTTGGGATCAAAGTGCTGGGCATCTCCAAAGTAAAAGTCATTGCGCGACAACGATCCGTCAAACTCCATGTAACCATGCTTGGTCACGTCGGCGAGATTGAAGGTGGAAATGTTCCCCGTGGTTGAGAGCTGCATGGCTTGAACCTGCGCAAAGACGTCGTCAAAAGTGTTGGGGGCGTAGTTGTATGCGGCTGCGACGGCGTTTTGAAGAGTTGGCAGGTCGATGTTCTTGCCATTGCGTGGAAGGTAGCCGTGGTTAGCAAGGACGTTGATGCCGGGGCAAGGAGATCGACCTGTAAACGCCCTGTTAGTTTCCAGTATATATAAGATGTAATTGATGCTTCTAGAAACTCACTATCTTGCGGTCCTGCTGGAATCCATTCATGGCCCTTGACGGGGAAGTTGGGCATGGCAAAGCCGGAGGCTAAGCTTCCCAGAGTCGAGATGAAAAATAAGCCACGCATCTTGGTTGATTTAAGTATATGCTGGTTTCTAAGTACAGTTGAGACTGATAGTAGAGCTACTTTGTTTTAACCTTTCCTTTCCATCCGTAAATCGTGGCGTACTTATACATCATCTCGAAGCTGATATCAAATACTTGCTTCTTCAAATATTCCAATTCGGGTTAGCTCGACAAGGCGTATTTGGGGCGCAGGTAAGATGGAAGGTCTGCAGTCCGAAAGTCTGGAGTAGCTACAAGCTGCATTCAGGGGCAGCCAATAGGGGTCTATCCTTTGGAAATCAGCAGGAGCGTATCCCATAGGTGCGGCAAAGCTGTGTTAATTCAGTGGCTCTCTTCAGACTAAACGCTCTGGCTAAGCCGGTTACAGTTAAAATTGGCTGTTTAATCGTCTTGGTGTATTTGAGTTTGGGTTTGGCACAGACGCACTATGCCGGTTGTAATAAGCGAATACGCTGTGGGGCATACGCCTGAAGGAATACGCTCGATGGACCCATCAGGCAGACCATTCGCTATGGTTTATGCGCCTGATGACTTGACATCTAGGTATCATGATGCTATAAGAGAATTAAAATTTTTTATAAATACGATCCTGCGAAGACGAGGATTTGAGGATTTGGAATTGAAAGTTGGCAATATTTGGAATTCATGGTCCTCTGCAATGAAATGACATGTCAACGTTTACATGCCTGTGTAAGCCAAGTCCAAGGCAAATTATTGCAAATACACTAGATGAGCATGAAGTACGCTAGATAGAAATGCAATGCACTAGATAAATGTGTAAGCTTTGTTGATGGAGTTTCCTCCAAGAATCATCAAGCAAAGTCTGCTCAAAACAAGTTGCTCAGTTGTTGGAAGGTATCGCAAACTGTAAACCACACACTCCCGCGCCCGATAACGAAGACACACATATAACATGCATATAACGTGCCATTGTACTCCAATGAAGAGCCATTTTATGTCAAACCTCCCAAGACTGCATGCAAATACGCTGTGGATGAAGACGGCGAGCGTATTTGAAGAGGCGGCTTCGGCCCTAATATGGCAATCCACAACGTTTAGATACCTAGTGAAAAAGTTTCAATGGCAATTTGAACATCTATCCATGTTGATCGCAGATGATTAGATATGTAGCGTTTGGAGTTTGCAAATATTTAAAGTGAAGGGTGCCACTGGAACCTCCATCTTAACAATGTAGAGCAAAACTCCAAGGAACGCGTACCCGAATGAACAGCTCAGTGTTGATATTGGAATTGAGAAGACATTCGCCAGAGCTCTCGATGAGTTGACTGTCCTACAATTTCTCAAGTCAAATACTCAACTGAACAGCGAAGAGGCCTATATTCTTGTCAGACTTCAGCAACTCTACTGCAAACCGCAGACATCATGTCTTCATCTCAACTATACAGCTGACAACTTCTCTGTGCAACATGTTCTGGTCTGCTCAATGCTACCTACAGTCCCTTGGCGTACCGATAGGCTTGGTATACCGATAGGGTTGGTATATCGATAGGCGCTTGATTTGCCGGCAGACACTTAGTTTGCCGACAGGTACTTGATCTACCGATGCGTTGCGACGATAATTACTAATTTAGGAAAAAGGATAGTCAGTATACCGCACGTTCTACGCTCCTCAAGACAAGCATCAGCCCACAGCGAAAACACCCGATGCGTACGAATCAACCATATTCCTAGACTTATAGCGGCCTGAACAACATCACATGTCACATGGCTTGTTCATCCTCACCGCTCAAACTCTTGGCGACTATGCCTGGCTGAGTCGTCCATGGCGAAGACCTTCCAGAAGGAAATGCAGCTTACGCTGTCAGCGATGCAAATATGATCTGCATCAAGCTCAATCTCAGCAAAACGTCAACCTGGTCTAGGCTACGGCTATTGTTCCCGAGAACATCTGACCCCTTGGCAAGTCATTGCGCGGTGAGTTGCATTCGAAGTGGCTCCCTTAATAATACAAGCTCCTAGGAGTGCTAATTGCTACATACTATAGTAGTTGCCACTGATGTGTTGCGAGAGTTAAGCGAATAGCGGGCGTATAAGCGATTAGCGCTCGATCCTTTGCCGACATGGAGATAAAGAGATACGTTTCAGGATATTGAATTCGCGAAGTCCTAATAGGAAGTTCATACCGATGCAAACTTACACATCTCCAGCAAAGCCTTTGAACAATTTTTGAACACTTGGCAACTCGAGCAAGATGTCGGTTAACTCTAGTTTTAAGCATGCGAAACAAGCATGCGAAGCCACGGAAGCTGGCAGGTCTCACGGCTCTCTTATTCATCATTTATTCAAATTCACAATCCATGCCATTACGCGGCGTTACTCCGTGCTTGTCCGGGCTGGTCCGCGGGCATTCCGCTCAACGCGTAATGTCGCTCGACAATTCATCAATCTATCGGGCTCTCGGGCTCTCGAGTCTGCAGGCCTTCCTTCTTAAGCTCAGCCCCAAAGTCTAAACAGACTATGCTTAGGCCCAAACACAGCCGGATTTCAAATTCCAAATAGCCGCCAATTCCAAATTCACTTAGCGGGACTTTTATTGCGGTTTAGCGCATGTCTTTTAAACCGTCTTTAAATATAAAGCACAGTTCTAATGACTCGGGTTACTGTCACCAAGGAGTCAATTCAAAGTTCAACGATTACATACCGCGAAAATGCCCACGCTTCTCACTAGTATTTCGAAAGAATACAAGCACCGCCGTTCACATGAAAAGTCCAGAAAGGGTTGCTTGAGATGCAAGAAACAGAGAAAGAAGGTTAGCTGCATTTAGACAATGTTGAGACACCGAAATAAATGGTCGCTGACCGCCCAAACAGTGCGACGAAGTACTTCCTGTTTGCACACGTTGCAAGAAGCGGAATCACGAGTGTCAATATACCTTCCAAGACGAGCGCTTCAGGCCCAAATCAAAACACATCAGCCCTGACCCGGACTTGCTTGCCCCAGAAATCCCGGGTCTGGGATACTTGAGTCTCATCGAAGCCAGCCCAAAGAGCTTCGAAGCACGCTCCGACGATGCTTGTTCCAGTGTTTCGGGCTTCACTTCCGCATCGCCATACCTTGCTTCAAGAGTTCCGGAAGGGCCGCGGCTATCTCACACTCTCAACTCTGAGGAGCTTGAGTTGTTAAGTCACTACATCACCCATACCAGCCGCGTGATCCCCTATAATTCAGAAGATCTATACGCTCTCCATGTCGGCATTCCGAATCTTGCCTTTGGCAGTAGGCCTGTTATGGAGTCCATATTGGCTTTATCGGCTGTGTGTAAGTGCTACGACATTTTAAAGCACTCGTCGGCGCCTCTGGAGAGATTGGACGAGATACAAAGGCTGCTTGCCCTAGCAGATCAACATCACAGAACGTCACTTCACCAGCTACAGGGCGCTATATATGACGATCTCTGTGATACAGTCTTGGCTAATGCTGCGCTGATGGTGCTGTATGCATTGTCCGATCACACTGTGCGGGTGTTGCTAGCTAAGAAAGCCAAGCGAACCGGGGAAATATTATCAAACGACTTGTTGCCAATGCAGTCACAGTGGATAACTTCAATACGTGCTGCCTCTGTAGCGTATATCGGGCTACTGAACAGCACATACGATGACGCAGGAGACGAATTGCTCAGCCCGACTTTGACTGTGGAACAGGATGGTTCCTCTTGTTCAACCAACTTGCCTGGCGATGATGTTTATTTCCCCGAAGACGGCCCTTCAGAGGAGACGAAGCAATTACTACTCCCAATAGTGTCTGCTACATACAGCGCCGCCTTGGAAAAACTCGACGCTCGAGCGCAGGCCGTCTGCATGGAAGAAAACAACTTATTCGCTCACGATCCAAATGTTCATAATTCCGATCTACAAGTCTGCCTTGCATCTCTCAAGCTTCTAGAGCAACTTTTCGCAAAGGTCTTCTCTCCCTGCCAGTCAAGACCAGAACCACCACAATCATTGTATGCTACATCGGGTTTCTCTCAGTGTGGCAAACTGGACAAAGCCTCTCCATGGTTGAGGAACTATATGGCTTCCGCGACATCCGCCAGGCCATCTAACCTACTGCGACGAATCATCATGTCTTTTGTGAACAAGGTGCCGTTTGAGTTTCTCCAGCTCGTTCAATCAGCCCTGGATTACATGCCAGTGGCGGTAAATCAAGCCAACTCCAATTCTCCCCAGCAAGTTGTACCACTTACTGCAGCGCAGCGGCTGGCTATGAATATCTTTGCCCACTGGCTCGTTCTTGTCATGCTGTTAGATGGCGTGTGGTGGATTGGTAGCATTGGGCAATGGGAGCTGGGACGGATACTGTCATTTGCAGAAACCCAAGATTTGACTCTGGGATCTACAGAGGCGGATGGGACTTGGTGGCCGGAAAGCATGTATGCGGTTCAGAAAGCAATCGCCGAACGTATAGAGTAATTATAATGCCTAGTTCTACGAGGTCACAGAAACGTCTAGAAATTAATAAAGAAACATAATCGTGTCATATTAATAGAGGAAATCTTCCAGCACCCTAACCGTAACTCAACAAGGCAGCCAGTCCACGTAGTAAAATACACAACTGCCAAATAGATTTGAATGTATCAGCAACAGTTGCAACAGCAGAAACAGCAGCAACAGCAGCAACAACCGAGACTTTGTCTGGAGTGCTGGTCGACAGAATTAAGGTTCCAAATGCATGTAACGTTTCCCTACATCTATTACCCCAGCCACTTTATACTACCTTTTGACATCTCCAGTACATATTTCTAAGCAAGGGTAAGCTATATTCTATAATCCCACTTTATCCCCCCTGTCCGCTCTGTGACCTATCTTGGACACTAAACAGTCATCTCTTTCATCCTTGTTCCCTTCTAACTCAGGCCAGACTAGTTGGATAATCTAGTACACTACCTGCAGCCGGATCCGTCTCAGCAGTCGCTTTGTTACCACCTCTGAATCGAACGCTCATTCGTTGCGGGATAGTTTTGGTATATTTTCCGATAGTGTATCCCCAATCCTGCTCTTCATCTTCTCCTTCCCTTGTCCGCATCTTGTTCATGGTTTTTGAATAGTCTTCGTAAGCATGTTCCCAAGGCGAGACACTATCCGCCATTTCAAATAGTTCTCTGCCAAACTCTTCCATCAATTCCATTACCAAGCCCGAACCTGTATACTGATTCAGAAATGGAAAGTATACATAACGTGCAAAATAATAAACGCACGGACGAAACCGGATTTTGAGTGCCGAATAAATAATTTTGAGGGGTCGTCCGACAGACGAGTAAAGAGTTCTTCGTGAACTGCGTAGAATCGGACTAACGATTTTATTATCCAATGTTTTAGCATTAGTCAACGCAATAACAGTAACCAAAATGGCGATAACCGCAGTAACAGCCATACTGATTAACGTGTGCCTAGAGGGCGTATCGCTCATACTGAACAGACCAGTAGCAAAGCCGATTGGAAGAAAGACGACGGTGACATACGTAAACAGACGAATATCATCTGCACCACGAAGTTCTAGATCGCCACGCATTTTATCCAGATTCGTTGAAAGAGATGCATTGAAAGAGGTGATATTGACGTAGCACCTCTGCAGTTCATGATACTTATGATTATTATTAGCCTGTAGCTTAGAAATGATGGGTCTGTAATCGCGTTCATCGCTCTTAGTCCATCGAGGCTTGTCATGTCCCCGTGCTCTTTCTCGATCGTTCCAAAGTGTTATCTTTGCGAGATTCTCCTGGAGATCGTTTTCAACTATCTGAAGAATATGCTGAAACTTATACCATAGTCGACTGATGGCAACGAATCTCCCATTGTCTATTTTTGTAAAAAGGTCGAATGTATCCAGAAGTGCGGATGCAGGTGGCTGTTGACGAAGGCCCCTGTAGGGGCCTTTGGCGCTATTTTGTATGCTTTTTTTAATCTCTTCGAGAATTTCTTGCGAGTAAAATAGTATTTCCTGTAGCATAGAACCAACGATGAGGAGTTCCAGTACCCGCCGCTGTCTCCATGGATTCGCTTTCGAGATGGCGCCGAAGTGCTTTTCTACTACCTTACGCGGCTCCCATTTTGACTCAGACAACTCTTTTGGGTTGAATTCAAAGAAGTGGCACGTCCAATAGCGATCAAAGTAGTCGCCATCGAATCTGAAACTGATCACAGCTCGACTGATCCGTCTCCCATCTACTAAACGAGGATGCGGGTAGTTAATTTCCTCTAATAGGGGTATTCCAGTAGGCTTGGAAATGTCGCGAGCAAGAATCCTATAAAACGATAAATGAAACTCAGTTACCCATTTGTTTGTTTCAGGCGTAACGTCGTCGAAGAAATATTTATCATATGCCGCGTGCCTGTCAAAGAAGGATGAAATATTAGATTTTTCAGACGAGGCAAGGTAACAAATTAGTGCAGTCGCCAAGTCCGCTTTAAAAAAGTGAAACAGTCTCTTTTTAGAGAGCTCAGGTGTTCGCTTTCCACCAACATACTCGTAAATCTTGGGATTAGAAATGATCAAAGGTTTTGTGTACTCCCTATTGGCAGGGCTACCTCTTGGCACGTCAACAATGTAGCCCATGATTGGACTCTCTGGGTTTAGAAACTTGTTGTCTTGCTTAAGCAGGTCGATTGCATTTGCAATGACATTCCCAACTCTGTGGAATGTCTCTTTTTTGGACATTGCCAAGACTTCATTACCATAAACAACTTCACTCAAGTTGCAATCTCTTGATAAGTTGCAATTGAAGTCGAAGAATTTAGGCTCAGTGTACATCCATTCGTCTGGGAGCTCAACAATATTGTTCTGATCAATGAAAGTCTTGAAGGGAACGCTCTTCTTTATAGCCAGCTTTCCATTGGTGGTAGATAGCCCAGGGCTAAAGAAAGCAGCATTCAGATGCTCGAAAAGTTTATCAAATGCTTGGTTAAACTCCGTGGAGGTTATATATGAAGCTGGTGGTTTTGTAGATTGGGCGTCTGTAGAGGCTTGTATAGTAGAAATGTTTGAATAGCCAGTGTTGTTAGCTTCACTTGTTGATGACGCCTTCGAATATTTCCATAAAATGTATGGCACTTCAAATGTAACGCGCCAATAAGAATCACACATGATGTCCTTCATAAAGATAGCGGGCTCTTTATATCCATCGAGCTGTCCTGGAAAAAGACCATTGAGTGAGGAACTGTTGAGTAGGATTGTTTTTGAATGATGCATCATTTCCGCTGAAGGCTTTGAGTTTATACGGATGCCATTTGAAGACATTATTATTGCAAGGGCAAACTGAAGCGGATGGTCCCATTGGGTGTTTTGGTTATCTTCGTGCTGTGCTTGACAAGCCATAGTATTCGCCCAAACATCAATCTTTTCTGAACTGTTAGACTTCGACGGCGAGAGAGACTCATCAAGTAAGCCCTGATCTAGAGCAGAAAACAGCACAATTTCTTTCTCTCGGATCAAGAATCTAGTCTCGATTGTGTTGCGCGAAATGGCTATCATGCGTTTTTTCAAGACAGGATTCTCTGTAGTAAATCTTTTGATAATATTAGTTCGTATATCGTCCGATGAGTAGCTCATGTTGCGCGGTTTGTGTTTAGCAGCACATGCGCTTGTTTCGATCTGGAGCTCCTGACCAAGGCCAAGATATTCCACTGATTTGGCAGCCCACCAAATAATAGCATGATCAGGGAAATAGAACGAATGTATCGGAGCTTCTTTTCTAGGTCGGGGAAACGCATACAAGCCATGCTTATTTTCCCTATCAAGTGTTTTGACCCAATTTCCGATAATCTTAGTATTCCCTAAGTTTTTTCGCATTTCTTCGAGTGCGTTTTTGTCTTTGGTTATTCGACAGAATTCTGCGACTTTAATGATATGGAATGGAGTTTCCATGAGAGACTTCTGAGGCAGTGACGAGCCATATTTAGCCTCTATTGGTTTACCAGTAGCCCAGTAATGGGATTCAACAATGCCAGCCTTTGCTTTCATCTGGCCAGTTATCCACTTCAAATGCCCTCGACATACTTTCCAGATGCGGGAACGCATCTGACAGTCAAAGCTGTGACAAGTATTATTCGGCGTCAAGTGAGAATTGTGGTTGATGTCGAGTGGCTCATGGAAATGGCGAAATGCTAGAAGCAAGAATTGAAAAGCAGAACTTCTTTTGTTAGTTTCAAAATACATATATAGATATACAATCATGCTGAACTTACAAGCTTGCCTCGTTTGCAACTCTATGACCAGCCATATCACCACATGTAATTGCAATCGGCGGAATTTTATCCTCAGTACTGTCCCTAACAGGGATGCAACAGACAGATAGCATATGTTCCAAATTTCTCTTTAATGCAATGCCAAGGTACCCATCGTCGGGAAAGAGCGGTTTTGCGAATGGAGTTTTAGTGGTTTCAGCGTCTGCTTTCAGTTTTCGTAAAAGTTCCATAGGAGGGCTGGGTGGTAAAATGTCCCTCTCCACTTGGGAAGAAGGGCCAAAATGTAGCGTGTAGACCAAAGTTACCGTCACAGACTCGTTCTTACCGCCGTTCAACACCTGGCTTCCATGGATTATTTTGTATTTAGCGGTATTTCCCTTAGGGCAAACACTCTGAGGGGAGTCGCCTATGAACGGCCATATAGCCAAAACGACGGCATTACCATTGTTCTGCGCTGTCTGATTGGCACCGCCATCTTGTTCTGTTCCAATTTCATGTATTCTGAGTATACAATCTTTTCTCTGAGGCGAGCGGTGCTTATAGGAATTATTGTCAGCTTCCTGCATATTCCAGATACAGCTATTCGAAAAATCGAGGTTTCGAATAAGTAATTCAGCGTTGAAAGCCATTTCCGGTAATGAAGCTGACGATTCGCCGCAAGAGGTAAATGTGTATGTCTGATACACAGCCTTTTGATGAATGAAGTATTGGATTTCGGTACTGAAGTTTCCAGATACAGCTTCGGATTCAAATTTTGGCCAACGGTTGCTGGGAAAGCTTAACTTTGGAATATTATCCCATAGTTCCGACGTATTAAAATTCTCAACCTCCAGTCGCATCCCTTTATCAGGGTGAACAATGTAACTTTGGAGGTGTTCCATGCGCTGTGTAACCAAATATGGTTCGGGAACATCTTTTAGGTCAACACAATAGAACCCAGATGGGTCGTTTCCAAAATATTGAGTTATTTGGAGTAAATGTCCATAAGCGGTGGCCGTCGCTGTAAGACCATTTTCCCCAAAAGAGGCGTAAGTCGGTCGGTGGCGAGCTTTGTCCTGAGTTTCGAAAATCGAGGTAGTGCCTGCGGTAGACATGATGTTTGGAAGCTTTGATGTTGCTTTAAATAATTGTTAATCGTTAATCACATAATCCAACATCTGAGATCACATACCGGTGGTCAAACTATGAGGACGAGTTCAAGTGCATACAACAGACAATGAGTCGATCACAAAGATAGCACTTAAATTTCTACAACTCAGACAGAAGCGTGAGTATGATTTTGTAGTATAATTTTGTTGTTGTCGCTGTTATTGTTGGTGATACGATGACGTTTAGTCCGGAGTATTCTGAAAGAGAAACGATTTGAAATGGTGAGTGAAAAGAAACGAAGGATTTGGAAGCTATATACTACAGCTGGCCGTACACACTACTTCTGTATAGTATTTTAATTTGTCTGGGATTTTGTATATTATATATTACATCGACTGTTACACAAGCCTTCAGATAAGAAACCTTGGGTAGGCTGCGCCAACCTCCTCTTTTTAACCACCATTTTCGGTATCCCGAGCCGCGTTGCGTCTTTTAGTGCGGAATTACTCCATACTCATTACTGATCTAAACAGGGAGGGAGGAAGGAAACAAGGCTGAGGCTGAAAGTCGGCACGCCACCGCCGCAGCCACTGCTATGTGGCACAATCTTACTGGCAGACGTGAGGCATGAAGTAAGCTTCTCACCGGCATTAGACCTATTATCAAGGGCGGAGTAACATGACGCTTTGCCGAACGTTGTTTTTCCTACCTCTCATTTGCCCGAAAATATCTCGAGGACAAGTTTAATACAGCTATGATAGATTTTCTGGCTTCTCTATTGCTAAACATCAAGGCTAAGCACAGATCCTTGGCATGAATGTAATACCTTCCATAGCTCAGAGAAATATACTATAATGATTCTATATTGAGAAGTACCAGTAGCTACACGTATTAAGTGAAGTCGGTTGGGGGACTGTGCACCTCCCCCGGTTCATTTCCCTTTCTGCGGGCTGATTGCATATAAGCGCCAGGATTCGTGAGCAAGCTCTGGAAAGCTACAAAATACGGCAGTGCACATGATTACATGTATGCGGCCTCGTACAGCGATCCTGTAGTCGCCGAACCAATCAAGCCTTGCGACTCATCTAACAGCGGGGAGAGTGGCGGGTTCTTGATTAGGTTGCTTCGTGTGGCCTAGAAAAGGAGTTGGCTATCGGGAGGGATTAGTCGTGGTTTTTGGTTAGGTTCCGATGATCACAAGCTCATCTTATTTAAGCAGTGAGATAACAGGCAATCGCTGAACGTATAAATTAACTGTATCGACTGGCTATCCAACGAGCATATAGTAGCGTCTAGAAAGTAAAGAGGCGGAAAATAAAGGCGAACCTGTCATGATTTTGTATGCGAATAAAAAAAATTTACATAAATTCTAAACGAAGGATGAACTCCACCTATCTTCTTGCTGCTCAGCGGGATTCAACGATTTCCCATCTCTAGCGCACCACCATGGTTGAAAGCCGATCCGTTTTCTTTCATCTTTGATTTCCTTTGGGCTTCTTCTTTATCTCTCCGGTTTTTGGAATCTTTGAAGGTCTCGCGTGCCAGTTGTAGTGTATTGTCGAATTTAAGAAGTAGTTTGCATGCCTTTTCTACAGAATTTGCGAAAACTGAATCTAGAGAAGCTCCTTCTTTTGTAGTAGATGCCTTGGCTGAGGGTTTGTCTGATTCATCCTGTGAAAAAGCCGGGTAATAGATGTAGCGTGCGACAAAATAAATGCACGACAATGAGACTGGAGAAACAATAGAGAAAAAGTCTATGAGTATGTACCGACAAAAATGATAAATAGGTCTCACAATTTTCGAATCCTACAGCTCGTTTAGCAGGGAGGAGAGCTGCGGGTCCTAGTTTGGGTTGCATCGCGCGGCCCGGAAAAGGAGCTGTCCGTCGGGAGAAATCAATCTTGATTATGGACTGGGATCCAATCATCACGATCTTATCTTATTTAATTAGTATAATGTGATATGTCAAGTATGAATTGGTCAGGTGACAACTTGATTGTAACTCTGGGAAGGCCTTATTTACGAAGCGTTGATCCACAGGTGCATATGAACAAGTCCTAGGAGCAGACCAATCACATATTGCCAAGACCATGCCTATGAGGAGCACCTATACTGTAAGTATTTGCGTTGAGGTGGCCCCATGAAAATTGCTCAGTCGCACCGCTACCATTTATGGAAGAACATGCGTTAGCTCATCGGAACGGTGGTGGCCGAAAAGGCTCGGCTGCAGCCGAGTGTGAAATCAGGCTGAGGCTGAGGAGACCCTGGTCGTGATGTACCTTGAAGTCCGAATGTGGGACTATGAGATGCGCGTACTGTAGAGCAGTCTTGTCTACTCTACTCCTTGCCGCGTCTCGCGACGATAATTCGATTGGTTGGTGACATGAGCGTATGTCATCAATGGCTCCATACCAAGCTTCATATCTAGTATACTTGTTCAATGTCCCTCGTTTCGTGATTGTTACCGGCAGTGTCTTGGTCTAATATCCGATACTATACAGCTTGCAAAGCCGTTATTTCATAGTTCCTACGCACATCCGCTGCCAAACACCGAGCGAGGATGTTAATTCAAGGCATGACTAATCCTACATGAGCTTCAGGCTCAATTCGTATATTACACGAATACACAATGTGCTCACTCAGTCTTACGCCTTAATGAATGTGCCACTATGTCTAACCTCTTTAGCAAAAGCATTGGTGAATTCATTGCTGAGTTCTGGTAATTGTTTCCCACTAGACAGGAGCACGTAAAGGCTGGTGAATTATTGATCCCATGTTTTTAATAAGTGGCCCCAGACAAAATTATCGTTTATTGCTGTCCAATTTCTTTGAACTTCTTTCATTTTACCTAATAGAAATTTCCCTTTCAGCGTGTATCATCTTTATCCTGTTCCTTATACATTTATAGCCTGATGCCGACTCTCGTGTAAAACACTTCCTCTTTAGGACGATCCCATTTACTAATACCCATTTACTTGATCAACATCCAAGTCAGATGCTTCAAGCCACCTCACACAGCGACTGCAAACGATACCGCGGAGTCGCAGTGTGAAAGTGAACAAACCCCTTGGCAAACGCCTTAAAGTTGTCCTGATACTCGGGCGCATGAGCAAGCGCAGCAAGAACACGTTCGCCAGCTTCTACACCCTCGTCGGCCACCTTTTGCAAGGCCGTCAAGATATCGCACTGTTCCCTCTGGGCCCGCTGGTCAATGTAGTTGCCCGTCTCCTCCGCCAGCATCTCCTTGTAAAAGGAGAGAACGTCGTTGACAATGTTGGTAAAGACAACGACGTCTGGGATGACTTGCGCGTATTTGTCAAGGCCACCTTTGGGGAGCTGTGCATCTGTGGCGCATCCAACTACTAACAACGAATACATGGGTGATAACCCGGTCTTGAAGCGCAGCCAGTCTGGGTACTTGGGAGCATCAGGTTTTACGTCTTGGCCAGCCGTCAACCCCTCGATACCGACGCCATTGCAAAAATCGTAGACAGCCGTGACGCTCATGCTAGCAACGGTAGGATGGAGCTTCTTCCACATTGTTGGCATAATCTCGTGGACGTACCACTCGAGAACTGGATCTCCAAGCGGCTGGCCTGTGCTGAGATTGAGCTGTAGGTTCCGTATCGTATCCGGCTTGTTATCGAGCAAGTCGTCCGCGTGGAAGAAGAAGATAGTTGAGTGTGCCACCAAGACTTGGTGCTCGAGAGGATGTGTCGTGGCAAAGTCGACCGCCGCGTAGCACGACATTTTGAGGTGGTCTTTGTAGTTGAGCAGATCGATTTTGTCTCGAAGACTTGATGTTTTCAAATCCGCCATGACGGCTTCGTATAGCTCGGTAATAGGTGATGGGGTGAAGGCATCTTTGTCCATCTTGCCGCCATTTGTGATCTTATCAACAAAAGTTACCAGGGTATCACGAATGATGGCAGCCGACTTCTGGTTACTTTATTAGAATCGCTCATACGGGTGGGCTAAAGGATGTGTAACCTACCTCTGGAACAGTTAACATCTTGACGAATGTGGGGAACTTGAAAGCTAATGTTTATTATTGACGAACATGAAATCACGGTTTGACCTAGCTTATTATATACTCGTCCATTGCTACGATATCTCCGTATCATCGCTGAATCTCCGTGCCCTGCCCCTGACTCCCCATGATTACTCACGGCAAATACTTGTAGGAATACGGATACGCTCAGGGGAAATGGTACGATTTCAGAAACAAGCTACAGAATAGCCCTGCTGTACCTTGCAGAGATACTGCATAGTGTGCTACTAGTTGAATTACAAGCATACGGGTAGGGCAGCTCGACGAGTGGCGCGTCTCGCCATAATCAAGTTAGACCTGGCATGTGAGAGCGGAGTTCTCGTGGGCAAGGGGGATCACGAAGAAACCACCGTTGTTTGCTCTCTAGCATATACCAGGGAGAAATCAGAGCTACGGTGACGGGTTGGCGGCACTCTCTTCCGCTCAATGGAAGACTAACGATAGTAGGATGAATGATCGTCATATCCGGGACGGCAGCTAAGGGAACTTGAAATTACTAGTAATAGTCAATGCCGCGTGTGGAGTACGTACGAGTGTAACGGGATTTGCACTACTGAATATACTAAGAAGCTCTATTCCATAACTGCTTAGTTGTGACGATCTATCTTGGCAAGACCAAGTGTTTCGAAACTACTACTATAAGGGTATGTGAACAGTCGCGAGCACTTTTAAGGCAGAAAGGGATTCTAAAGTCGGCCTATGAGTTTTACAAATACTGTAACAAGCAAAGGGGAAACAATAACGAGCTGTCACTTACTCGGATTTGAACTGCCGGAACCCTTGCGCTTATCCATCAGGAACCAACCGCGATAGCCGAATTCTTCTCCAGCTTTTCCTAATAACGTACATATATAGCTTCCCAGTTTAGTGTAGCGTAGATAATATTTACTTAGGCGAATTTCGCAATGTGGAAACACTGCTAGCTTAGCGTTAAAGTTGGGATCTTTGCCAATAGAATAGCTATCCCTGACCTTGGGAAGGGAAGATAACGAGGAACCTGGCCGAAATGGTCGGAGCAGGATTAACTATTTCGACATGAGGGGCCGCTGGCAAATGGAGGAATACTATTTGTTGTATGCAAAGCTGTTTTGACAGTCAAGCAACTTCCGTCAGACTCAAGTTCTTTATCCGTCCTATTGACTACAGTCGTAAAGACTAGGACTGGCACTATGAGGCGTCGTCGTTTTGGCGTTGCCTCTGATAAGTAAGTATCGGAGCTAGCAAAGGAGTTCCAGGCAGCAGGCAAACAATAGTCTCATACATTAACATTCCGGAGAAAAATCTGCTCATGGAGTTGAAACTTGGTCGCAGGGTCCTATCGTCATCGCACCATCAAAACTTTTTGCCGCGTCAGGGGTACCATGCCGAAGCCCCATTAAAATCTAACGTTTTTTCTTCCTCATTTGGGAAAGTGTAGAGAGACCTGCGCGGAATCTGAGTAAATCGCGGATCAATGCTCCGTAGGATCGGAAAAGGTATATTTGGCACTCTCCGTCGCCGACACACCTACCATACGACCGCAGATGAGTCATTTGTCAGAGCATGGTTTCTCCAGAGTACGTGGCTTTGATAGACAAATTACTGTATGAGTATATCGATCATCAAACACTTTCAGTAAGACCTACAAATTTAAGAAGGAGACTCACAATTCGGAAAACTCACTGGAAACAGCAGGTTGTCGACATCCTTGTTCAACTTGTACACTAGCGCTGTCTGTATAAAGGGGTCTCCGATGCTCATCCGCCCACATTCCGAAGTAGCCGGCCACGGCCCGAGGGTCTAGACTTACCTGACGCTGCTGTAAGAGGCCGCACGGTTGAGTTCCTATTGGAGGGAGAATCTCCGCCGCTGTTGAACCCAATGGCGATGAGACAAGAGACAAGAGCTCGATGATGACTTACTGTTATTGGGGCATGCAAGGGCCCCGACCACATACGTTTTTAGGAAAGTAATGGGCTTACTGTAAGGTAGGGTTACATGTTAAAATGGCGAATAATCAGTTTACGCGTCGCAGGGTGGAGATATCTCTCTACTCTCCTTCTCTCCACAGGATCATTACTATGTATACCAGATCAGGAAGCAGGCGTAACTGTTTACCCAGTTCCAAGAGTTTAATTGACATAGTTCTTACTGCTTAAACCAAGTATGGGAGGTTATTTCTACTCTATCTTTAAATTATAATCATAACGTAATCTGCCATCCCTGCAAGCTCAAATGATTGTCTGAGAGATACTGTATACCGTAATCCCTCGGGTATGTTAACTCCCGACTTCAACTAATAAGTCGCCTCATTGAATGCTCTTTATTTCACTAACGCATAATAAGAATTGGAGAGACTTTCATAGAGTATTGTAGTCGAAATTCGCGAGAGAATGAGGCAATCTTGCATCCAATTTGTCTTGCCCCAGCCGCTCTTAGCTTGGCCATCCGCGGTATCAAGAGCCAATAATATGGGTAGGGCTTGTTTCCTATCTCCCTGTCTCAAAACAGTACGTACCTGAACTGAATTCTGAATGAAGTCAGATTATCAAAATGCTGTGGGGATGGGGAGTAGACTATTGCCCAGTAGTATTTTATGTTCTTGCTGAGTAATGAGTATGACATTGGGGTAGAGTAAAAATGCTGTGAAACAGATGCAGTATTCGTTAGAGCACATCTATGCCGTCAGTACAGCAAGATTAAGCAGTTACCAAGTAATCGACTAGCTTTTATCTACGAATCATGCTACTCCATGCAACACACGACGCTCGCCTCGAACATTTGTTTCACAACCTTTACGCTTTCGTTTAGCTGGATCCCAAGCACATCCTAAGAAGCAACGGTTATCCACATCTATCACAACGCCGTCTAACAATGCATTTGAGAAGGGTATTTGCTCAAGAATGTCCTAGCCAGCTTATTTCCAGCGATACACTCTCGTCAGCTTTGTATTTCTCAATATGAATGAGCCAGAGACTGTCTTTTGTCATTTACATCTTATGCCTAGCGCTAGCTCAGACCAAACTTCACACAAGATCTATCGCAACCTCCCATCTTCCACATCACCAATCCAAGTACCCACCAATATAGCACAAGTCATAACTGAGCATGATATCCCATAACATAACCCTATACAAATACTCTTACAATGCCGCCATCCCACCAAGTTTGCGTACGTATGTATACATGTATATACCATCCCAATACCGCCCGCCCATGCCAAAACATATATGCCACATCTTTCATCTCCATGCTTTATATCCCTTCTCATCCATCATCCAAACAGACAGAGTTCAGCCCCTCTTCCCCAACTTCCACCCATCAATCCGATCCTGAATCTGATCCCACGTCATCGCATGCGTCGTCACCCCATACGCCTGCGCCTCCTGCACCACCACCGTCGGCGCACCGCTCCCCCCTCCAACATTTCTCACCGCGCCGCCCATCACCATGCCCGCCACGCGCTGCAGGTCCTTGACCGTCAAGTTCTCGATCCGCCGGCACATCTCCCTCACGGGAATCTTGCGCCGGTGCACCTGCACCGACCGGCCCAGGTCCTCCAGCTCGACCATGCGGCTCTCTAGGTTCATCAGCAGCGACGACCGCAGCTGGTTCTTGGCGCGTGCCACCTCGCCCTCCTGCAGCTTCGAGATGCCTCGTTCGAGCGTCAGCGCGCGCAGCTCCTGGCACATAACGTCCAGCATGGCCGACGTGTGGCCCGGGAGACAGGATGCCGCAATGCCAAACAGGCCCGAGTCGGTGTAGGAGTGGTTGAAGGCGACGCACGATTCCACCCAGCCATGCTGGTTGAGCACGTTGGTGTACAGGCGAGAGTACATGCCCTTGCCTGGTCCGCCGGCAGAAAAGGATCCTCCGCCACCGAGCAGCGTCTGCAGCGTCGCCAGCGCATAGATGTCGTCTGAAGCAACAGGCAGTCCCTCAAACGCAAGATGAATGTGTGTAAAGTTTGTGCCGGTAAGAGAAGGCGGCTGAGGAGGGAGAGAGAGGAAGCCGCCAGTGTACCGAGAAGGTTGGTTGATGTCGATTTCTGAAGGAGAGGAGAGAACAGAGGCGTTGCGGGGCGTAGACGTGGAGATGTTCTTGAAGAGGGGAATCTTGGACATTAATCGTGACGAAGAGTTTGATGATGAGGATGAGGAAGACGATGCTGATGTGTCGCTAGCAAGAGAGCTCACGCTTGTTTCTGAGCCTGTCCTCGGCAAGGCATTCATACCTCCAAAGTGCTCTTCTGCCAACTTCACAGCAGTGCCGTGATCCACCCCCGCAAACGCCAGCACCATTCTCTCCGGACGGTAAAACAGATCCCTATACAGCTTCACCGTATCCCTATCAATGCTCTCCAGCCTCTCCTCCGGACACAGCAACGGGTTCCCCAGCGTATTATCCTTAAACGCAGCCGTGTGCACCAGCTCCGGCAGAATCAACTCGGGCTTACTCCAAATCTCCGCAATCTCATACCGCGCCGTCTCAATCTGCTCGGCCACCTCCTCCTCCGTGATGTTCGGGTCGCGAATCGTCTCCGCCAGCAGCGCAACAGTCTCCGGCACCGCGCTGTTGAACGTGGCCGCCTGGTACATCATGCTCTCCCGTGAAGATGCGCACTGGATGTTTCCGCCGAGGGTTTCCACGCGGCCGAGCATTTCGTCCGCAGAGTGCTTCGAGGTGGATTTGAAGGCCAATCGATCCATGATGTGGGATACGCCTCGCAGGGAGTCATTTTCGAATCGGGACCCAGCTTCAACGTATACTCCGACTCCGGAAAACGAGCCCGGCAGAGCTTCTGAAGCAACCCGCAGTCCATTCGGTAGCGTTGTGATTTCGTCCAATTCTGTAGGTTCCTACACCAGAAATCCCAAAATTAGTTTTCAATCATCGAGTATCATAAACATCAAAACTCACCTTTGGTATCCCCTCCACAGCCACCGTCGCCAAAGACCGTCTCGGCACCTTAGTCTTGAGACCACCAAAGCTATGCCCACTCAGCAACCTCGAAGTTCCATGGGCCTTTGCCGCCCGCGGCTGCAACCGAGCCGCAAATTGTCGCAGCATTGTGTATATTCCCCTACGCGCCTATTGTGAAAGAAAACGATAGAGAGTGAGGGGTGTCGCTGAAAGAAGAAAGAAAAGGCGACGTAAAGCCGAAGCAAAGTTGCAAGTTCGCCGGAATTGGTGGTTGACGGCGGGCACACCAGGAAAATTGTGGTGCCGTCACTTTTTCTCTCGGCGATAGGTCGGATCATCGCGGCGCCGGAGCTCCGACCGGGACGGACGGCGGCGAATGAATGCTGGGCATTTGAATGCTCTCAGCAGAGCATTGTAGAGTATTTGCATTTCCAATGCATTTGCTTATCGGTTTCATAAAGCAAAATGCAACATTACTCATGAATCACGCTATACAATTTGTCAAGCCTTATTCAATCCCATCATCAAGTGAATCAAATGCTAGTCAACACCGACCGCCACTCTTAACCTCAACGCCCCAGACCCTTCATTTCCGACAAACCTGCTCAAAAAAGCCCGCCAAGTAACCATCCAATAACAAAAAAAAGAACGCTCCCTTGCATTTGAAATTCTTTCTAAAAGTTCCGGTACGTGCAAGGTACCTGCAAAGCCCTCTTTCTCACACGCCCCCCTCCAATCAAAGTTCCAGCCGCCAATAGCCTTCCAGACTGACATCATCTCACAGCTCCGGTTTTGGTTCTCATCACAAGAGCAGTGACCAAAAAAAAAAGGCCGAGACAATGCCATGAATTCCATTTTTTTTCCTTCACCGCAAGAACGAAGCCGCTCAAATGCCACTTGTTGCCATCGTTTGTATAATCCTAAGCTTGTTTAGCTTACAACGCCCCCTTCAAGCAGCGTAAAGGATAATCCCAGCTGTGATATGCCGCGATGAATCAAAGTCAAGGTATGTGCTCCCTATCAGTAAATACCGCGAAGGGCAACAAAAGGCACAGCGATCTAGACCAGCCGCAGTCATTCAGAAACACCCAAAAACGCCCAGAGAAACACAAAATAAGTATTTAAAGACATCTCTGAGAGAAGAGAATATAAAGGGAAATCACAATTGTAGCTTCTAGCCATAAACCCGCGCTAAGTTTGCTCAATGCTTTAACAAAATAAAAACAAGAGGACGCTTTCCTCTCCATTCCTCCCTTCTCACCCTTTCCTTTCCTTATATACCCTTTCCCTTTCCCGTTTCGCTTCGTTCTTCATACTCCCGAAAGATATTTGTTTTCGCGGATCGAAAAGTGAAGAAGCAAAGCCATCAAATGCTTGATTCCTGACGCCATACGCCAGAGAAAAAGTAAAAAAAAGAAAAAAAAAGAAAAAAGAGAACAACCTGCAAAGCATATATGCCGCCATGGTTTATGGAGAATTCGCGCCACACTCCATACTATAAAGAACGCACGTAAAAGGGAAAAGAAGGAAAAAGAAAAGATTGGAAGAATTAAGACCACCGGAAACAAAGAGAGCCAGACCAATACACACAATGTCCAAGTTCCCGGTTATGACGCAATATGGGCGTTGAGCTTGCCCCCTCCCAAATGCCAATGCCAGTAGTAGTAGCAGAGAATTAACATGAGACACAAAGTCGAAAACCCAGTTATTAGCCCCCAAAGTTTGAAGCGCCTCTTTGCCCCATATACAGCGAAAAAAAAAAAGAGTAGACTGATGCTCGACACGGTACTTTTATTATGTATTGTTTCTTGCCCTTTTTTTTTTCTTTCTTTTTTGGTTTAGTTTAAACTCGAAGCTGGGGCCTCTGCTATCGGCTGGCAGCATCGTCGCTAGACTCATGTGTGGTGGTGTCAGCCTCTGCCGCCGAATCGAGGCTCGTCATCTCAGCCGTGCCGTTGGCCGGTTGTCGGCCTGCTCTGCCGTCAAAGACCCATGGCCCAGCATTGTTTCTCGGTGTGATGATTCCCTCTGCCCCGCCGCTTGGTGGCGACGGAGTTCCGCTATCTCGCAAATGACTAGCCCGTCCAGCACCCCTAATAGGCAACGGCTCGGAGGTGGCATGTAGTGCCGTCGGGCTGCTTGTGGGACTGGCGGCCGAAGTGATGTTGACGGTCACGTCCATGGCATCTGTTTCCTGCACCGTCGCCTCTACTGGATCGTCTATCGGTGAGGCGAAAGGGGATGCGGCTTCTTCTTCAATATCGGGAACAGTTGCATGGACAATCGTAGCGAGCACCGGCTGCTCGGGCTGCTCGGGCTCCTCAAAGTCATCCATGTTCTGCCACTCTTCTGTGGGTTCCTCGACATCGGCTTCCAGGTCGGCACCTGCGCGGCAATTGGGGCAGATGAAGATGGGATATTGAGGTGATGTGAGTAAGGCACGCACGCACTTGAAGTGCCACGTATGAGAGCAGGGAGCGACGAATAGAGATTGGCAGGGCTGTTAATAATTTTATCAGTAAAATTTCCTGAGAGCAGCAGAGGAGCCTTTGCTTACCGCAATCGAATTGAGGCAAATGGAGCAGTCCTGAGAGCTGGAGCCTGACGCTGAAGCTCCTCCATTTGATGCCATGGTGCGTAGTCGCTTGTGGGCAGCCATGCTAGTAAATCGTTAGCCAAAGGACAGCAAACATGCAAATGCAATGAAAAGCAAGAATGAGAAACACTTACTTGAACGTATTCGGCTTGGTCTGCCACCCGCGGTTCAGCTCCAGTCTCATCTTGACACAGCGGAAAATCATCTCCTCGCCGCCCTTGAAGTCAATGCCTAGCTGGACGATGTCTCCGTCATTGACAGGAAATGCCTTGCTCTCCTGCGAAGGCGGGCTGAGTCTGATGTGGTTAAGAAAGGTGCCAGACGAGCTCTTGACGTCCTTGATGAACCATTTCCCATTCTCGTACCAGAACTCGCAGTGTCGTCGACTGACGACCTTGCTCTTGAAGCCTACTGGCGCCGCAGAAGCTTGGTTGCCGGCCACACTGGCTAGAGCATGGTTATCACGCTCCGAGTATCGCCCAACGCGGATGACTTCGGTGCCGTTGGAGAGCGTTCTGGAGATGGGCGGGAATGACAGCGAGGGTCTGGCGGAACGAGGGTCGTAGTACGCGGAGAAGCGAATGGACGGCTGGATGTCAGCAGAGCCAGAACCGGTTTCGTTGCCTCTCGCCATTGCTGCGTGCTCGTCGGCGGGAGTCTCTGCGGGAGATGAAGCGGAGGATGAAGAAGAAGAGTCCCCCTGAGCGGCAGTAGGGGAAGAGGGGGCCGACGAGGAGTTGGCGGCTCTTGTCTGCGATGCCCTGGCCGCTTCGGGAGATGTAGCCACCAAAGTTAAACGGTTGGGGCCGGCGTTTGTGGTGGTGGTGGTGGTTGTAGTTGTCGTCGTCGTGGCGCCTGGCGAGTAGCTCACAGACCGGGTCAGGCCGTTGCCAGACTGGCTTGTCGCGGGCGAGCTGCCGCCGCTGCTGCTGTTGTTGGCGGCGTGATGGCTGTTGTCACGCGACAGGAGGTGGTTGTGGGTGTAGTTGCGCAGGATGCTCAGGCCGCGCAGACGGCTGGTTCTGGAAGGCGAGGGCGAAACCGTCGACGTCGCTAAGCCGGGCGGCGTTGGTGATACCGGCTGTGAAAACATTTCCTTAGGGGAGTGACCGTCAAAGGGCCCTATTGTTTTTTTTTTTTCGGGGGGCGCCTTTCAGTGGAGATGGCGCTGTTGCGGCCTGCTGTAAATGAAGAATTGAGACACTGACAGCCACCAAAGCGGGTTGCGGAATAGTGGCTTGGGCCAGTATAAGTTGAAAGGCGTCAGCAGGGGGGAAGGTGTGGAAAAAAGCTTCAGGCCGAGCTTGGAGTGTGATGTAAGTATTTCCACACAGGAAAGAGGGGCAGAAAATCGACGATAGGAGGGAGAAAAAAAGGCTCTTTCGCGTCTGCGCAACAGTGACTCGGCTCTTTGCTCCTTTATTTGCAGGAATTGCAGTCTCGCGCGGTGGACGGGTTGTCCAGGCAGCGTCGTAATATAATGGCACGAGTCGCCAGGTTCCAAGGTAGATTTCCCGGTATTATAGTGGAGTGAGGCGGGCGGAAGAAGCGCAGCGAGCCGAAAGAGGCACAAGTCCGGAGGAGACCCTGGCAGCGTAGCAGATGAGGAGGAGCAGAGCAAAAGCAGAGCAAAAGCAGAGCAAAAGGCGAGGCCAGAAGGTTTACAAAAGCCCGGCGGAGGTGACTTTTGGCAGGATGTGTCGAGACAAGATGCTCTCGGCTCCAATATGCGACGTCTGGGGTTTAAGGCCAATTCGCTTTGTCGGGGCAGCGCATCGATTGCATCACGCAACGGACGAGGTTCTGAGTTGGGTGACGGATGGCGAGAGGCTGGCCTGGCGCGTGAGCGTTGTGGGAATTAAAAGCGGGAGTCGGCGCTGGAGGAAGAGGCGGCGTCGAATTGGGCCTGGATCTGTCTGTCTGTACGCGGGCAACTTGACGTGCACCCGAAATGCGGGGTGTGCTGGTATTTCAAGAGCTGCAGATTCGATGCTGAAGTGAAGCAGGACTGATAAGAAGAGAAGAGAGAAGAGAGAGAGAGAGAACAGGTGAAGTCTCAGCGAGACGAAAAAATGCCCATGTGAGGATGATATATTAAGCCAAAGACGTCAGTGCTGGCCAAGGCCGTGTACAAGTACAATTATTTGGAGCCAGCCAGAGGGCACCGCTACAAGAGCAGTACCGCAGACTACAAGTGATGCGCGCAAACGTCACTGCTTCTGGACCTTGCCCAGCGCGATCCTCAGGTACCGCCCCTGGTACAGTCCGTGTACTGCGACAAGCCCAGGCTGCTAGCAGTAACTCAGTTCCCACCGCCGGCGGCACGAGCGCAGGGCTAGGGAAAATAAAGAGACACCTGGTGCCTGTTTTCCCTCGTCGCTTTTGTCTCTTTTTTTTCGCCTCCCGTCTGCGTAGACGGCGAGAGAGACCTGCGTTCTGGTTCAGGTTCAGGTTCTGGCTCCGGGGGGGGGTGTGGCCGTAATGTGCCCCAACTCAGTTCGGTTCAGCGCAGTTCAGTTGCTTGCCGCGCTAAATCTGCGCCGCTAGCACCAAAAACCTTGGATATCTGATCCCATGTCTGCGGTCCCTGGTCGGCCAGCCCGCGCGCGGCCAGAAACAAAAGAAAGACAGTGGATACGAAATAATATGAACGGATTCTCTGAGCAAAGAGAGGGGGGCAAGCCGCTAACGAGGGGGCGCCGCTAGCCGCGCTAGGACGGGGTGCAGGCGACCACAGGCACTGGGCATGGCTGCTAGCGGTGGGCTGCAGGGGATCAGCAGCCTGGACCAAAGCAGCCTGTCAGCTACGTTGTTGGCTTGACTCGACTTTGACGGGAGCGTGATGTCGAATTGAATTTGGCGAGTGTGTCGACTGTGTTCAAGTATTGCGATAAGAGAGATGGATCACCTAGGAAATAGCTGAGTTATGCACTCAAAGGGCTTGACTCTCACTTATTCTCGGTGTAATTATTATCATAGATACATCATGCGTAATTTGTTTGCTTGCCCTGCAGCTCAACCATCAGAGCAGCGCCACCAAAAGCCACCCAGTAAAGGCCACCACGTTCCAGTCTCTCGCGAGTACACCGTCGCCTGCTAGTACCCTCCATCTACCCGCGTTAGCACCGCCAGCCGCCTCGCCGCTAATGTACCTCTGCGGTCTCGTTCGTTCCAGGGGAACTCGACTGGACAGAGTCTCGACTCGTGGTCTCGATCGCCAATAAAAGCATCAAAATCCAATCCCTTGCGCCGGCCCGAGGTTTGGGGTCTCTAGTGAAAGATTGGCCCAGTTTTCTGCCTGCGCGCACTGCTGCCATTAGCTGCTCAGCTTCGATTGCTTCAGCACTTCTGAACTTTCGCCTCTTCTGATGAGTGGCTTCAAAGCTGTTGCGAATCTTGTCTGGATCAGGCCAGTAATACGCCGTTTGTGTCCTTCCATCTCGACCTTGGTCCTCGATCTGGGCGCCCTGTAGCCTTGCAAGTGTCAGTTTCCGTGATTACCCGCCCTGGACACCTCATCTCCGCCTTGCCAATAGGATCCAGCCCGTGACGCCGCCGTGACGATAAACGGCCCTCATCGCCATCAGCCGACAAGGCACATGTTCATTGAATGCATGTCTCAGCATCTGTAATTGTCTGTATTAAATATCGCTCCCTTTGGTTTTCCGCCCGATGCCACGGCTACTGCCATCGTAAGTAACCATGCAGGCATCGTCTCTCCAGGTGTGACCTGCATCACGAGCTCCCTCCTATCTACAGTGATATGCAATGCACATGTAGTGCAATGGTGCTAGCCGTCCTTGACGCATTATACCGCATCACGAATCTGCCCGTTGAAGAACGCATGCAGCCCGTCTGCTTCGGAGCCCGCCGCTGGTCGAAGCACTAGCGATGTTTGGCACCAGTAGTGTCTTCTTTATCAAATAGCTGAGCATCTATTTTATACATGACATGTGCGCTTTACGCCTTGCAGCCCAAAGCTGATGCTCTCGTCAGCTCCCAAATCACGCTGTCTCTCCTCGTGGCGCTTGGCTCACTCCAGCTGTCAACTCTTCTTTTTCTTTCGCAAATACTAGCAGTAAACACAAGTCTACATTCACGCCCCCTCCCATCATTCTTCTTTCTCTGACGGCTTGTGCGTTTTTGTGTCTCTCATCCCATCTCGGGATTCATGTTGTACAAATATCCTGGAGTACAAGTACGGCACGTATCAACCCCACGCATGCATGCAGCTTGACTCAGACAAAACAAACCCCTACTGTACGAGGCTTTCGGCGAAACATTGTTTAGCGGCCTCTCTCCTGGACCCCGAATCCTCGATATTGCATTCCAGACAAACAAACGACCTCCCCCTCAGTTTGCTTTTTACTAGCACCAGTAGTTGCCACGTTTTCCCCCTCCCTTTCTCAGGAGTAAAAAAAGCATTCATCGGCTGGTATTGATCCATTTGCGTCCTATTTTAGGAAGCCCTGGTAATGTCTTGGAAGAAGCTCTGGTATAACAAAGATTCTAAATTTGGAACTGCAAAAAATTGAAATGATGCCTGTTGGGCCGACCGATCAGCCGCAAACATGCCAGAAATAAACCAAATGCTGTCTTGCAGAGATCAATGCTATCCGAGACAAGCTGTTGGAAACAAGCAGCCGCCACCTATTGATCCGAGTCTTGATTGTTTTTGCCTCTTTTTCCTCTTCAGCTGCCGAGGGCAACTCGTCTCTATCGCGATACGGGGAACTGGAGCTATTTACCCCAGCCTCTCTTGCTGCTGACTGCATGCGCACACATGCTCAAATACCGGATACCTTGACATGGCCCCCAATCCCTCCTGGCGATTCATGCAAACGGCGACAAAAGGGCCTGCAAGTAGGTAGTAGTAGTCGTAGTCCATATTGCCTTTGCCCCTAGGACGAGCGTTTCCCCACAAAGCCAGCATGCCATGATATGGAGAAGATGCTGTGAGGACGGCCCCGCATTCCCTCCTCACTCCAATTTGCTGAACAAGAATACCATTTGCACAGCATGGATATTTGAAGCGATATGCAAAGACGCACGTATCGTAGCATACATCACGCACGCAACCTCACTTTTCGTATCTCTTTCTTCATCTACCCATACATTAGCAGATGCTACGACGGCAGCAACCAACATCACAGCCCTCATGCTAAATGATGATGCACCAGCCTCTACACGCGCTCGACTCGTGCACACACACTCTCCTCTCACATGTTTTGTGCCTCCTCCATATGACATCAAACCAGCCCCTCACCCACTCACTCCAACCAAAATCACACATCAAGAACATGAACACAGTCCATCTCCTCACCTTCTATTCTCCGCTGCCCCCAGACCCCGCTGCAATATCTCGCACTAGACCGCTAACAATCCATCCATCCCTCCACCCCAGCCAACCACGGCGCCATCAGATCATCCAAAATCACATGGTTGTGCTGCGTGCAATGGAAATGCAACGCTACCGCGTCCCATAGCGCGGGAGGGGAAGGCATCCACAATGTCGACCACTAGGCTGCCTTCCATAATACGGCGATGCCCACTTGATATTATACGGACCGTATCAAATACAGGTCAATGTCCATATCAAATACTCTCCAAAAGCTCAACTACAAACATCCACCACCAAAAAACACAAACGAAAAACAGACATCTCCAAACAATCACGGGAGCCTCCGTCAAAAAAAACACGTGGACATGGCCGATCCCTCCCCCCTACTTAATATCAAAAGTCAAGCACCAACCCCAATCACAGCTCCCCCAATTCTCCAGACCCGCATCACCAGACCAGGGTGGGATTCTCTCAGATCATCCGATAGATGGCCACATCGCCTAACTCGTAGCACAACACGCCATTAAATGCCCTAGTCCTTGTGCTTGGTCCTTGCACAGGTAGCTTTTCTTTGTGGTCTTTTGTCTTTTTTTCCTTCTCCTCATTCGCTGCCCCTGTATGCATGCATGTTCATGGGGAAAATGGGTCGCCTCGGCGCGGCGATATTTTTTCAGTTTTTATGCCCCGCGAGTCAGTTGCATTTTCCTTCTGATTTACCTGATTTCTTACTGCATTCGGTGGCTCATGACGACGAATGATGAGCCACACAAAAACATTGATCATTGCCAGGAACAAGTCCCATCATGTAGGCCCATCTCCCCCGGAAAGCCATAGCATGACATCTGCACCCATCTATCTGTCATGCTGGCCATTTGCCGTGCATCAGCGCATCACAAGCCATGAGCCATAAGGTCATTCTCTCCTCAGACTAGAATACGTAGTTCCATACAGATATCGATTCAAACAGGCGGTAAGGCTGCGGGCTGGACTTGGCCCAATCTCACAAACTAGAGACAACACTAGCTAAACCGCCGGAGCTTCTAGCTTCATATGGAGTCAGGCAAGATCAAGATGTTCAACGACAGTCAAAGAGACCCATATCTCGACCTTGCTCGCCAATCTGTCCATCTCGCTGACCACGCCTAAATGGAGCTGCTCCATACGGTACTGTATATCGCCGAAGTGAATCATCGACGCCATTTATAACTCTGGCTCTAGATCTAGATAAGATACTGCGAGATTTACCATGGTATCACTTCATGCCTTTTTTGGCTACTGCTCAGCCAATGCGGCCCTGGCTCCAGTTTCTCTCAATATTTGTGGTGAATTACTAGCATTCCGCTGTTAGCTGTATAAATCCAACACACTCAACGACCTAACGACTGTTGTTGAACCATCTATTCCTTTGTCCTTGGGAAAGGTGTTCCTGTGAAATAACAGTCAGCACTTTCTCAAAGACAATGATCAACTCATGAAGAAAGCATGATTAGAGGTAGTAGTATCATGACCAGCAGCGGTCATAAGCACCAACCTAGTTAAACCAAGATCTCGAAATTACATGTGGAGTAACAAGAAAAGAATCGTAGCTATCAGTCAAAAGAGGAAACGAGCTTAACTCAAAATCTCCGATGATGGAGATAAGTTCCAGAAAAGGAAGCTCTAGAGCTGCTGTTGAATCAATAAAGCATATCGGATATTTCGCGGTATCGCTTACGACGAGCCGAATGCAACTTGAACCTAACCCTTCAAGGCTGTATTTGCATCCATCTGGCATCAACCTCGTAGAAACATATATTGCAAGTCTACATCTTGATAGGTCAACACCCAGCAACAAACAAAGCAACGCAAACCGCCAGCATCAATAACCCCAGAACAATCTATCCATACCAAAAAACATCATTATATCCTCCCATCTCTACTTCTTAAACGTCGACCCGCCAATCCTCTCAATCTCCTTCCCCTCCGTCGTATCCCTCCCCCCCGCCGCCTCCAACAGCCTCTCATATGCCGCCGCATCCCTCAACTTGACAGCCTCCTCCGCCGCCTTGACCCGCAGCCCGCACTTTTCATACATGGTGATTGTCTCCCCCGGCTCCAGACCCGTGCACTTGGGCACAAACACGGCCGCCAAGCGCGGATTACCCGCCTGTAGCGTGAGGTTGAAAAAGGGCTGTTGTTCCAAGAAGGAAAAGAAGAGAGTTAGCCAAGTTTCGGGGGTTTGCGTGTTTCATCTTAACGCCGTCTCATAAAATCTCACTCCCTTCCACGTGCTTGACTACACCCGATCGATGTGAGAAAATGACAAAACTCTAAATCAACTTACCGCCCATCCGATCGGACTCTTTTTCGCCTTTGCAATATCTTCAATCTCGCCCCACTCTCGCTTTGCGACAAGTGCCCGAAGCCTAATTACACGGCAATGGCAGAAAACGCCCGCCGCCAGTCAGCCCATCACATGTCTGGAGTGATATGCGATATCCGGGAATCGTGCAGATCGGGGCAACCATGACTTACCTGATCCACCAGGCAACCTTCTCCGGCACCTTAAAATCGCTCTGGATCTTCTTTGCCTTCCCGTGGTACCCGAGCCGGATCAGCTTGAATATCGTCTCGTTGACGCTAAGTCCCGAGAAGGAGTCTGTCAAATCGCGGTCTAGCGCTTCCTGCGCCCGAAGGAGCTGCGTCGTCTCCTTGAGCACATACACCTCTGCCGCGTTGTCCTTTGATTCCGAGAGAAGCTTGGCCGCCAGCGCCAGCTTATCGGATGCCGTGCGTGCATCCGGCTGTCGGAGTGATTCGCGGATGAAAACGTTGGCGCCATCGATCCGTCTGTCATCCTGGTAATACATGTCTTTCAAAAGGGTATTGTCTCCTTCCAACTGGGCGGCAGATTCTACCAGTGCCGTTGCTGTAGGCCGAACGTTGATTACTCGGAAGAATGAGGCTAGTGGCAGCTTCTTCTTCAGCTTTGAGAGGACAAAAAGAATGAGATCAGTATCACCGCTCTCAATTGCCTTGTCCAAGGCTAGATCGTCCTCTTCCATGTCTAGGAGAAGAGGAACCTGTCTCCCACCACGAGGTTCGTGGTTCAGCAGCTCAGTAGCTAATCGGGTTCGGCCCTCGTGATGTGCAGCCCTTGCAATCTCTTCGAAAGAAATGCCCGGCTTCCCTGAAAGTCTCTCCACGACCAATCGACAGATGGTATCGTCATCTTGGGCGCCAATTCGGACCTTGGTAGATGCCCAGCTAACGTAGATGCGGTCCGTCGGAAGCTTGAGGTAGCCAGCAATCTTCAACGCCAGCAAGTACTCGTGCCGCTGGATTAGTCGTTGGATGAGCCGCTCAGGCGTCAGCCTGTGATATTGTTGAAAGGACACGGGCATTCCAATTTCAAAGCCGCGCACAGCGTTGAGGACTCGCAGTGTCTCGCACATGTCGACAAATTCATCGCTGTTGTAAATGTCCAGCACCGACTTGCCAAATGATGCAGCTTTGAGCAGTCTCTTCTGCCACTGCGGATCAAACTCGCGACCGGCGGCGTTAACGCACGTGTCGACAGCTTCAGTCAGGTTTGGCCGAATAAGCTGGATGTAGTCGTCTGCTTTGGGAGAATGCAGCTCAAGCTGCTTGACAGCATCAAGCAAGATGGATGCAGGGGATGATTCTGAGGCGGCGCCAAATGCTTGGAGCGTGTCATCGGGCACCCTTTCTAAAAATTCGCAAAAGTCGTTTGTTATTAATCTAGCGCCATCGTGCTCTATTCACAAGTCAGCATGAGACAAACATCATAGTGTGATAAGACCAACCAGATACGACATGCACTCGAGTGCTATCGTATATATAAGACGAAGACTCATCTCCCGGCCCAATCACATGAACCTCGTCCTCCCAAGCAATGATGGCATCGCTGCCACACCACTCCACATACTTGGGCGGGGTGTTTGAGTTGGAGTTGTGTTCGAATAACCTCTCCTGGAAATCGCTCGATATGACGTGCGCCTTGCCATTCTTCCCATAGAGATTGACAAAGCCACCGTTTGGCGAAACGCTAATGTGTGAAAAGGGCCCAACATCCAGGAATCTGTCCTCGCAGTCCGTAGCATCGACAACGTAAACAGTCGATCCAATACTGAGTAGCACCTCCACCGAGCGAGACAGCGTGTGGTTTGGCGCGATGATGCCCCATGAGTGAATCTCACCCGCCGGTACTGACGCGAGCAGCTTTGGCCGCGGTTCTGCATATGATGAGACTGTCACCAAAGTGTTGTTTCCCAGCAAAGCAACCAAGCCGTTGTCGTAAAACCTATTTGTCGCTGCTTAGCTCTCCCATTATCACACCTCTTCCTCGTCGATAACAGGACGTGAATAGCATTTACCGGCAAGACTCAACTCCATAGTTATCTGCCCCGTTCCCCAGCGAAAAGTGGCTAAAGTCCCCCTGCATATCATAGCACCTCACATTGCCATCCGCCGCAACAACAAGCAGCGCCTCCTCCTCGGACCAGCCCAGCCCCTTGATGGCGCCGCTGTCCCAGGCAATGTTGCGCAGCTTCTTGCCCGCCAGGCTGTAGATCTCGATGGCCGGCTTCGTCGACTGCCCCGTCTTGTGAGCCTGCAGCTTGGTGTCGTCCCGCCAGAGCGCCAGAGCCCCGGCATAGGGAGCGCCCGTGACGATGTAGCCATCGAGATCCAGGTCCTGGCCAAAGACGGCGGTATACTGCTCTGTCTTGCGGAACCACTTGTCCCCTACGCGCTCCCAGTCGGCTCTTGCGTGAAGGGTGTCCATTGCGCTGTCACCTCGCTCTCATGACGGCAGACAAACAAGAAAAACGAAGAAGAACAAAGACGTGATATTTATTGTATGAGATGAATGAAGCTCAAGAGAGGTTGGAGATCCGCAGCTAGCCACCAGAGCTCCGTCCAATAAGAGGCGAGGCTATTCGTCGGCTAAACCACAGCTTGCATCATCGCCCCAAAGGCTGTCACTCATAGAGCGCAACCCCACTAGACTCACTGCATGCTTGTACTTTTGGCTTCCATCTCTCATCAACTGTTTTCTTACTTGCATACAGGAGGGGTTTGAGTATGCCTTTGACTGCTACCACTTTATAGAAGCATATACGCGTTATTTTTTGTATTCTTCCGCTTCCGCTCAGCCATGCCCAACTGGAGAGACGAGTACCTCTCTTCCCTCAGGGAATCAGAGCTCAACAATCCCGTCAACATGGAGCTCGTCCAAGCTTGTTTGTGCCCCTTTGCCCTCTTACTTTCATAGACATATAGACTCAAACCATGTATATCCACAGGTTCACAAATGGCAGACCGTATTTCATCACTAGAAGCCGAAAAACTGACTCTGGAATCCCTCCTCGCCGGCCAAGGCAACAACAACAACCGCTCAAAGTCGCCCTCCCTTCAGCCCGGCGAGGCAGCAGCCAACGACCCCGGCGTGGCTCAGCTGCGTCTTGAACTTGCCGAGGCATTGCGCTCGCGAGGCGTGGCAGAGACGCGACTGCGGACTGCAGAGGAGGAGCTGGACAAGCTGCGCTCCAAGACGAAGCAGGATACGCGATCTCTCAAGGATCTTACTACAGAAAGAACTTCTCTTGCTACGAAAGTGAATGACCGAGAGTACGAGCTCAAAGAAAAGAGGAAGCTTGTTGAGGTACTATCATGCTTGAACTTGCTTTACAGCAAAAGCCCTTTCCCTTCCAATCTATAAGTAGGTACTGACGTATACATACAGCAAGTCCAAGACGAGATGATTGCGCTTAATTTGCAGCTCTCCATGGCTGAGAAGGAGAGAGATAGGGTCAAGCAAGAGAACAAGGAGCTCATCGACAGATGGATGAAGAGAATGGCCCAAGAGGCAGACGCTATGAATCTCGCAAACGAACCAACACTGGGAAAGGGGCGGTAGTACCAACAAGACAAAAAAAATTGTTTCCATTTCATAACAGCATGATATCATGGCGGTAAGGATGCTTTGTTTCTTTCATACATATTTTATACAGTCAAGTTTGTTTCGTCGCTTCATCTACTAACGCGTTGATCTTTCGCTGTTGATGACCGCTCTTCTTTCAAACATTCTTTCAAGCAAAACAAGAAAAAAATAATTATCCTCCAATGTCGTTAACCCAAATCCTCAGTTCCAAGAAAGAGAAAAAAAAAAAAAAAACTACCCATATTCCTGATTTGTACTCAATGATTTATATTCTACAATACTCAACAAACATCTTTATGCAGTGCTGATGAAGCTCTAATTAGTCTATTTCCGCGTGGAGATGTAATACTGCCCGCCGGCGTTGGTCCAGCTGACGAAGCCCTCGGGGTACGTGCACTCCTCGACCTCGAGGATGGTGCTGCCGACATCGTTGATGTTGTGGCTGCTTTTGGAGTCGGCCACAAAGGATTTGAGGGAGATGATCTTGCAGCCCGGTTTCAGGTCCAAGAACATTCGGATCAAGTCGTCGTTAAGCTGTGAGGTGAATGCCTTGTTGTTGACGAGGATGACATCGGCCCGCTTCAAGGCATCGTGGATCAAGGCGTTCTTACGGAAATCGCCACGTTCAATGTGCACCTCACCTGGTTCTATGCCCCAAAGCAGGCATCGCGCATGAAACTCCTTCTCTTGAGCCTCTGCGAGGTTGCAGGCGTTCTCCATCATCTCGCAGCCCCAGCTTTCGCATCCGACTTCGAGTGCGGCCTGCAAAACGACATTGCCGACGCCCGAACCCAGATCGACAAACACCTGGTCGGACGTCATCTTAGCCTGCTCAACAAGAATCTTTGTGATGAAAGGATGCAGAAGCTCGCCATAGACAAAGTCTGTTCCGTTCTCGTACTTGGAAAGGAGTTCCACCTTTGGAGCCACTGTACGATCATAGATCTGGTCGAGAATGAAATCGGTGAGTTCCGAGGGGAGCTCGTGCAGGTTTTCAAGGTTATTCGAGACAACACCGGCTTCCACCAGTTCAAGAAGTTTCTCGTTGTAATCGCGCAGCGCAGCCTTGAAGCCAGCCAAATCCTGGATGTTCCTGTTAGACGCTTTTTCCAGTCGTCGGATGATGCCATTGTCATGCTTCGTAAACGGCTCGGCTTCTGCGTCGGTAAGATAGGTTCCGGCGACGAGGCGCACTATGCGTATACTCGCTTCCACGGTGTCGATTTTATCCTTGCCCCAAACGAGCTGAAACCTAGATTCTTGTTAGAAGATTCCTTGAACACCACTGTTACACAAAGGGCGGGGTGAGGGGCCCTTGGAATGCAGATTTCCTTAGCTTGACTTACTTTTCTCGGCGCTGCAGAGTGGGATACTGGAGTTCTACGGCGACGTCTTCCTTGGAAGCCCCCATGATGGGAGCGCATTTGTGCTCCAGCGACGCTACGTCGACGGCGTGGATGAACTGCAGCCCCTCATCCTTCCGCTCGTACGCCCTCGCGCTCCTCAGCGTGCGGTTTGAATCTTCGCTGGTTGCCTTTCGCTGGCGCTTGTGCGAATCCAAGTCCATCCAGTTGTCATCTTCGGCGTCGCTGTCCTTGTCGAACTCGATGCGGTCGCTAGCGGGTGAGCGGCGAGACGCGCTGGTCGGCGCCTTTCGCTTGCGCTGCGGCTCGAAGCGCCTCTCGTCGGTCGATGAGGGGTATGGCGAACTGCTCTTGGCAGGAGACGAGGCTATAGAGGAAGAGGTGGCATTTGGCGAGAGCTTGCGAATCGGCGATGATCGCGCCGACGACGATAGCCCGGGTCGAGCTATAGACCTCGGCTTTGGTTTCGGGGCATTCTCGACGGCGACCTTTTCGATGCGGATCTTGGGAGGGGCGACCTTGAACTTGTGACTCTTTCCACTGAGAAGAGGCATGGCGGCGGCATCAATCTCGAGAGCGCTACGATGCGAAACAAAAAAAAAAAAAAAAAAAAGAGGTGAGAGTTCGCTTTGGTGGAGTGATCGTGCGGCTCGGCTCAGGGGTGCGCCTTATCGACCGAGGGGCTCTGCCTAGGCCTTTTTGTCGTGCCTTGGATGCCTGCCTTGGGAAACCGGCCGACGGCGGGCACGCGATGCGAGAGGTGGAAGCACGGGAGCTGGTGATGGACGAAGCAGGCCTAAGCCAGGGTCGCGAACCGGGCGATGACGGCAGCGGGTGGCGGGGGAGGCGAAAAAGCCTGTCCGAGTTTGAAGGGCGTTGCAACAAGGCGTTTTTGGCAGCTGTTTGGACAAAGGAGTGGCGGTGCTCGAGCAGAGGCTAATGGGAAACGAGAGCGACTATGGCGTTTTGGATGAATGAAGAGCGGGATTACGAGAATGACGAGAAATGCACGGTAGATGGATAGATTGATGAAGAAAAAGAAGGTAGAAAAAAGATTAGTGAAAATGATACTAGTCGTCCAAAGTCTGCCAGTCTGTCAGTAAGTCAATCCATAAGAGAAAATATGGACGAGAGAAGAGAGAAGAAGAAAAAAGAGGGAAGAAAAAGGCCCGGCGCGTCTAGAGCTTGGTCGTAAAAAGGCAGCAGCCGAGAAAAGGACCTTGGCAGGATCGATTTGGATTGTGCCTGCCGCTATTAACAGAGAGGGAACTAATAAATGGAACTTGGCCCAAGATGGAAACACTGAACGGGAAAGTCGCCTGCTTGCTTATGTCACCAGCGTTTTTAGCTGCCAGAAACTGGGGGTTTCTTGACAAGAGAGAAGAGCCATGGCAAAGTTGGTTGGATGGAGGGAAAACAATGGCGGGATTTCGAGCAAGAATTTCCCCACAAAAGGCGTCTGTGGCAAAGGCCTCCGATTCGCGGATGGCGCACGTGCCCGGTGGCGTTCAGGGTCCTGGCCATGCCTTTTGATGTCATACCTGGAGCTGCAGTTTGGCATTGGCTGCATGAAGGATTTCGTCATGGGTATGGGATGGAAGTTTGCCAAATATAGGTGGGTGTATTTCATCTGCAATGCGATACACAAGAATAGTGGCTGGGGTAGTGCATCCTTGAGCTTGATCATGTACCAAGAGCTGCGTTACGTTGGTGCGCGCAGTAGTTACATGTAGATTAGAGAAGAGTTATCCAGCACTCCGGCTAGAGATGGGTTACTACTGCTATACATGCTACTGATGCTACTGATGCTACTGATGCTACTGATGCTACTGATGCTACTGATGCTACTTTAAATTATGTTTGGCAGCTGCATATTTTAATACGCAGATGGGCTGCATTGGTGACATATAGCTGGGTTGTTAGGTAATTAGGGGGCCGGACACATGTAACTTTTCCCTAGGTTTATAGTACATATGTAGATGCTACCTCTATTTACAGGCAATGCCTTGCTCCTATTGTTGACCTATCCCTAGCCTTCATCCTATTTCTTAGAAAAATGAGAAAGTCGCTGCTTAAAGTGCCTCCATCTACCCAGTCTGCCTTTCCCTTGTCGCGAGTCTATGCCACCATTCTCTTGGCTTACAGGGGCTGTAGCAAGTGGTTTTTCTTCTATAATATTTGAAGAGTCCTTTGAGACACTGTGCCCCTGAACATTCGAGATTGATGTGGCCAACGAATCATCGATGCTGGCTTCCGTTTGCGATTCGTGCAGACCCGGCTGCGAATCGCAGTGCTCACTCGTAGCTGATTCAAGCATCGGTGTCAACTGCCCAGCGTCCAAGGTTAAATTGCTCTCATTTCCTTCAACGAGTAGTTGAATTCGACTTGGGCCGGCATCTCCATCCCCAGTTGAAGCTTTTGGGGCCAGTAAAGGCTTAGATTTGGTAGATTTGGTAGATGTCGCAGATTTCTCAACATCGTCTTGCTTAAAGGCCAGCTGGTAGTTGTGGCTAAAGATGACTGCGCCTCGAAGATCTAGCGACGCGGTGGTATAAGCTTTGCTACCGCTGCTATCGTTGCTACCGTTGCTCCTTAATCTCTTGTCGTCTTTTGACTTGCTTAGCTCTTGTACCAGATAAGAGTGCTTCGACGAAGATGCTCGATGGCATCGGCATGACTCAAACGGCCTATTGTGCCAACTGATGTTATTCGTAAGCCTCAGCTGCTCTTCGTTTCCATGCGATCGTATAATGTTGGCAAGATCCGAGACACAAGCCCCAAGAAAATATCCACCCATTGGCATTTGAGACCAGCGATCACAGAGTGTCTCGGTACCAGAAGGCTGAATGATGTCGCCAAAATCCCTACCAAGCAAAGTGACGGCGCCAATTTCCGTAATAAGATTCACCCATCCATAGCCCATTGCTTCTAGCGTTGCAACGCTGGGACGGCAATCTTGGTTCTCGATAATGTCGTCAAACTCCCAGCCGTCAAGGTGTTTGCGAACTCTGCACTTCACGCTCACTCCGTCTCTATTCGCAACATGGTATTGGTACTCCACCATCTTCTCCAGGACGTTATAGAGATCGTCGACTAGATCTTGAAAACGGTAAAATTTCTCCTCTTCATAGACAACAGTCTCCTTTTCTGTTCCTCTCCAGACCACTCTTTCATTATGCTGGCTTTTATCTCGGTATATCTTTAGCTTCATGTTGCGTTCATTTGTAAGTACCTGAACTGCAGATTCTGCCGTTAATCGTTCAGTGGCTTCTTCCATGGAACCAGGCTTGAAAAGCAGCAGAGATCTGAACGGACTCTCTTGTTTGCGCTTTAAAGCTGCTCGAGAAAGGTGTAGTAAAGCGGTTGTGCCATTGACTAGCCAGCCACGCTTATATCTTTCATCCCAGAGTACAACAAACTTCTTATGAATCCACTCAAGCTTTGGCGTGTAACTTCCCCTTGTTAGATGGATAGGTTGGTCTTTAACACCCATCGCAAAATTAACGCCTCCGGTTATATATTTTCCGGCGGATATAGAAATGTTGTGAAGCACACAGTCTGCGGTTGGCCTAGGCAGGCCTGACCTTTGCACGTTATACTTGGCCTCATTGGCTCCTGTGTACGTAGCTATTAGTCATTGGAAACAACCCCAGTATCAAGATACTTACCAGCGAAGAGGTCTGCTTGCGAACACCATCCAACGATATTTCGAGATTGCTCAATGTCAGAAGTGTTGATCGATGCGTGAGGCACGCAAGCATCAAAATAAGAGATGTGATCTCCATCAGCCCTATATTGCAAATGCCATATAATAACGCCTTCGATGAAGTTAGTGGGGATTAGCATAGTCGAAAACCCTTTGATGAAAACTCCGCCATTAAACTCGTCAATCCGTTGCGTCTTAGCAAGTGCCGCCATCATGTTCAATGGTAATTCAAGACCTGTATCAATTTGAGGCTTAGGCCTGCGAAGTACCGGGAATCCTTTCACTAAAATTGGGTTTCTGAACAAATTATGCCAGCATTCCCCATTATCTAACGAGTCCTCCTCGCCCTGTTCAATTGCGTACTCAAATCGATATTGAATATTAGGATTCTGCATTCGCAGTGTTGCATCCTTAGACTCTAGGATGTGGAGAGAGGGGGTGATGAAAGCAATTCCAGTATCGTAACAAGAAGAGCGAAGGCTTGCACTTAGCCATGCAAGCTGCTCTCCAATTTCTGCGATGGAGGCTGCAGTACCAAATGCCTCTACCATGAAATCCGTCTCGGTGTTCCACGCAGTGAGTTCTGTGCCTTCTGGTAAACGGCCTAATGCAATATTAGATCTGCTGTAAAAAGGGAAAGGTTATCCAGCACCCCAGCTGTAGTTCAACTGCCAAATACATTTGAAGTAGCATCAGTAGCATTTGTAGCATCAGTAGCTTCAGTAGCATCAGTAGCTTCAGTAACTTCAGTAGCTTCAGTAGCAGCAGTAGCTTCAGTAGCAGCAGTAGCTTCAGTAGCAGCAGTAACTGGAGTGATGAATAACAGAATTGGGGTGCCGGATAACTTTTCTATTAAAAGCACGATTCTGAACACTCACCTGTGTACTTTTCACCACGAGCCCCCCTTAGCACGTTCTTTACCAGTTGCAAGACGTGCTCGCCAGTTGTTGGCCAAGTTTGACGCAGATATTGCACAGTTGTTAGTGCCTGGGCATTTTTTGCAGATCCCGTTAGAGTAATTACTTTATCAATCGCCTCTTCTGGACTCTCATCGTATAGTTGTTCTGTAAGAAAAGCGATGGGATCCCAGTTGATGAAGAAGGTTGTACGGAAAGCCTCTGCAGGTCTCGACCTACTTATCTTCTGGTTCGCTTTTAAAGAGGAAAGAATCGTTTGTCTGATATCTTCCATCTTGGAACACTTTAGTTCCAACAGTGACTCTCTTCTCAAAGTTACGAGAAGCCAGTGATATGCAGCAGATGCACTGATAAGATCGCGGTGTGCGCTGAGATTGAAAGCATTCGTCTCTCCATCTTCTTCATAACCTTGGTCTGGATGATCTACTTCAAGATCTTCTTCCTCATCTTGATTGTCTGGGACGTTGTAGGGCTCAAGTTCGTCCAAATCGTCAAGGTTATCAAGGTTATCAAGCCAATCTCTGGTCATTTCTTGAGAAAGTTCCGGAGCTATCCTATTGCCAGATTGGTCACGATCTTGATCTCTATTACTCAGCCGTGTTTCAAGTAGGCGAGCGATGTTTCTTTCAACCGTGTCAGTTAAGACTCAGCCATGGTTCAACGATGGAAGGCTTACCTGCTATACTTGTGTGTGTAATACATGATGTCTCTTGTTATTTGAGACTGGGCGTTGAAACCAATTTTAAGCGCGAAACTTTTGAGAAGGTCTTGGAGAGTACTAAAGACAGTTTCCATCGATCGATCATCAAGCCCGTCCAAAAACACTTCGCCAATCAACTGGTCGGCTAATTGCGAAACGAGTTGCTCTATTCTGGAATCTCCCAAGCTTGTCGCAGCTGAGTACTCTGTCCTGTCGTCTGCATCATCTGTCATGTTGTCTACTTGATCAGTAGACGCAAGTTCTTCCAGAACGTTGTTAGATTCTGATTCTGCAATCATGTTATAAGACTCTTCCATTATTGCTTCATTTTTGGAAACTTCAGATCTTTTTGTCGGATCACGTGGCATAGAAGCATATCCTGAATCTGAAAACTGCCCTCTTGATGACAAGTCTGTGGCCCATGCTCCTTCATTTCGAACAGTGCTGGATTCTGTGACCACGTCTTGTTCAGAATTATGTTCCAATTCGGACAAAATCTGTATAGAAGCCTCGGCCCCAGCCTCTCCTTCTGCTGTCAATTCCAGATTAGGCTTCAGCATATCTTCCACTGCTCTCGTGATCGATGGTTCGCTATGTAGCTTCTCCTCGAGCAAATGTACAAAAATTGCCGCTGGGAGAAAACTGCACTTGTCAATATCAATTACCAATTTTATATCGGCTAGATCATACCTTTTATCAACGTGTTCCAGGACCTTGACCAACATTGTTTCCTGCTGCCATTGATCCAGTTCGGTAAAAGCCGGTAGTTGCTCCATGTATCTTTTTACGTATAGCTGTACATCCTTGGCATTTTCTCGAATCTCCAGCGATATGCTATTCGTTCTGAACTGGGCAATTATGTCTGGATCTAGCCTGGAGGTTGCAAAGCAGTTGACTCCAAACTGGTTTTGGAGATTGGAGAGCTCTTTTAAAAAAGTTTGTCGACAGCCAGAAGACGTTGGACATTCATCAAGCGCATCAACAATTATGAAGACTCGTGAGTACTCCCCAATTATAGTATGTAATACTCCCAAAATCTCATTTAGAGATGGACGCGTTTGTCCGTATTTATGCTTTTCGTACATTTGCCTTATGCAATCCGGTAAAGAAAACAATTTTTGGGTTAGTTGTTTAAGTATGCTGGCAATTAACTCGTCAATTTGCTGTGTCTCTTTGTGCCGGTGATCGCAATAGATGTAAGCAATACCAACCACGGGATTGATTTGGAACCTCGTTTTAACATCGTTGATTACAGCCGAAGTGAGAATGGTCTTTCCACTTCCGATATCTCCGGGACAGAAAAGAGTTTGCTTTTTGGTACTTAACCATGTTTTGTATTCTGCCGAGTCCAGGAGCCACAAACCTGTCTCCGGCTGCCACCTTCTCAGGAAGTCCCTATGTCGAGGGCCGTAGTCAACTGGTGTCAGCCATTCTAGGATCTGAAGATCTTGTTCACTAAGTAGAGTTAGTTTTGTTGACAAGTCATCGGTTTCATCTGTAGATATGGCGGCGTGAACTACTCGTGGTGTTAGGCACTCGATGTAATGCAAATAGCATTAGGTTTACTTACTCTCAATGTTTGCGTTGTAAGAGAAGGGCATCCATGGGGGAAAATCTGGTGCATAAGGTTGGGATAGTGGTGGAGGCAGAGGAGCCCGAGGCCTAAGAGGTGGAGGCAGAGGAGCCTGAGGCCTAAGAGGTGGAGGCAGAGGAACCAGCCGAAGCCTAGGAGGTGGAGGCAGAGGAGCCCGAGGCCTAAGAGAAAGAGGCAGAGGAGCTCGAGGCCTAAGAGGTGGAGTAGGAGGAGAAGGATATATAGGGCGGGAGCTTGATTGAGGAACATGGGTTATCAATGTAGTACCTGAGCCAGGTCCGGGATGTTGAGGGGCTGGACGAGGATTTTGGAATATATACTCGTAGGCTGTTTGCAGTACGGCGGGAGCCAAGGGCTGCTGAGTTGGTGGTGCCTGATAGTCGATGGTCTGGCCAGTTACACGCTTCACATTCGGCCGTCGATCAGCATGTTCTATAAAGACGTACTGCAGGAGGTCTTTCGCATATGCTGCCGCCATGATGGCAGCGTGGTCCCGCCATTCCATATTTTTATGGGAGTCTGCATAATCGCAGATTCCTCGAACGACAAGGCATGGATAATGACTCGGGAATAGAATCTTTATCCTTGCTATATCCATGTCAATACACAGAACTTTCCCCCCGAAATTTCGACAAAGCCTATCTCGTAAGGGCGCGCTTTTAATCTCTCGATCGGCCGAAGCGATTAAACCGTAGTGGACACGCATTTCTCTAGGCTTTCTCTTCACAGTCATCGTCTTGTCACAGAATCGACAGTCATTCTCTTCCCTAGGAATGAAACTGAGATTCGCAAAATCTGGTGTAACATGACCGTAGTCTGCATCGAATAACAGATCTTGGAGAGAATCGGATTTGAGGTATCTCGATGCCAATGCCGGAGAGTCTCGTTTCAACCTCTCCAGATATTCTGGTATCCTAGATCCAGATAGTTCATACTCGGTCTTTATTTTTTTGAGAGCTTCGAGAAGTGGCTGTGGTGGAGTAGCGGCCCATGTCTCGACGTGTACCGAATTCTCCGCTTCTACTAGTGGGTTCAACATCATTTCTTTAGGATTGTGGCCTTCGAGTGTGCCAACGACGACGTCGCCGAGTCTAACATCGGGTGGGATGCCGCTGCCAACGCCAACCAACAAGCTGAAATTTATTGCGCGAAATATGTTGGTCATAGAAATGATATATGGTGCAGCTGTTCCCATCGGCGGGCATGCAATAACAACGTTGTGTTTGCCGATAGACCCAAGAGTGTATATATTTCGATCATATTCTGGCGTTGGTAGAGGTTCATGCAATTCGTCCAGCATGGCCATTGCCGCTCTCCTTTCGATCGACGAGGCGCAGATCCATCCCACAGTATAGTCGCCATGTGTTCGTGTCTCGGTAGCCATTTGTGATTGATGAATAGCAAGCTTCTCAGGTGGATTCAGAGTTGACGAGAATCATGAGGTTGCTTGCTTGGTGGTTGGGAGAAGATGAAGTTGGGCTCGCTGCATGCAGGTACATCTAGAAAGAGGCATCCAACCCAGCCTCGCCACGGGTTGCCTTGGCCTGCAGGCAGCACAGCCGCCTAATCAGCGACAAAGGAGGGGTAAACTGAATCCTTATGGCCGTATCAATGACAATACCTTATTGTATTGTCTACATCTATGTAGTACAAAATGCTGTAATCTTTTCGAATTATACCTCATTAACTCACTCATGTACATGTGACTACCAAGTGCCACCAATGCTCCTTTTTTCCACCTCTTTCTTTCATTGGAATCTACTCAGCTTACTCTAGCAACACTCAACATTAGCAAGGATCTTGGGTGTATTTATGAAAGTACATTTCCTACACAAATGTGCCTATAATGTCCCGAGAAACACCTACAGTATTCCCCAAGTGGACACCAGGAACCCTCGATATCCACCACATCGACACCGGGTGCGGCAATGCCACCCTGATTGTCGGACCAGACGGGACAGCCATTGTCATTGACTGTGGGACCTCCAAGGATATTCCCCTGGGACAAGACGGCTCGCGCCGCCCCGGCGAGCTGGTGGCCCGCTATGCTCTTCGCAACAGCCCCAGCACGACGCTGGACTATCTCATCGCCACCCACGTCCATCCGGACCACGTCGGCGATGTCCATTCCGACAAGACCGCCATGGGCAGCGGCTTCCAGCTGACGGGCCTCAGCGACGTCGACCACCTCATGCCGGCGACGCTCGTCATCGACCGCGCCTATCCCGACTACGGCTTGCGGCCACCGCTGCGAGCCCCCTTCGCCGACAACTATCTGGCCTGGCTCGATGCCAGGCGGCGACAAGGCCGTCAAATCGCCCGCATCGCCGTCGGTTCAACCAGCCAAGTAAAACTACGCTCCCCTCAAGACTACCCGACATTCTCCATCCGGACGCTCGCCGCCAACGGCTCCGTGTGGACCGGCACCGGGCACGAGAGCCGCTCGCTCTTCCCGGACCTCAGCGCCTTACCCCCCGAGGCACTCCCGGACGAGAACAAGTGCTCCATGGCATTTCTCGTGTCGTACGGCCTCTTCTGCTACTACACCGGCGGCGACCTCACCTGCGACACGTACGACGGCCGCTATCCCTGGATGGACGTCGAAACGCCCGTGGCCGAGGCCGCAGGCAAAGTCGACGTGGCCGTTGCCAACCACCACGGCTACTTTGATGCCTGCGGACCGGACTTTGTTGGCCTGCTCGACGCCGCGACGTACATCATTCCGGCCTGGCACGTCACGCATCCGGGAATGGCCCAGCTGCAGCGCATGCTTGGGGCGTGGCCGGGCGTGAAGCGCCGCAACGTCTTTGCTACTAGAATGTTGCCGGAGAATGGCCTTGTCAACAGTCGTTTCACTTCTGAGATGCGCAGTCGGCAGGGCCATGTGGTGGTTCGCGTAGAGCCGGGCGGGGGTAGTTATAGAATCTTTGTGCTTGACAGTAGTAGCGAACTGGACTATGTGACTGCTGAATTTGGTCCTTATATGTGTAGCTGAGGTATTGCACCTTTACTTTTAAACCCTCGTTTACTACATGTATATTTACAGTAAAGAATGATAGAACGCAGTGTCATCTTGACATGATGCTCCAGCGCCTAGAAATTCACATCGCGGCCTTCCCCAGACTTGAGCACCGTATCCCGGAACAGGCACTATTTCAAGGGCTCCAAGGAGATTGTGCCCGGTTTCCAGTCAGCAGCACTCCGCCGTCTTTAGTAACCAAGATGGGATCCTCCAGTCTTACACCAAAGCCCGTCTTCTTTCCGAGTAGGGCCGCCTCTTCAGTAGTGACATAAATACCCTAAATCCCATTAGTTATCAGCAAGTTTAACAGCAGAAGAGTAGATCATACCGGCTCATTCGTGGCCACCTCTCCCAACTTCAACTTTTGATCATTCGCACCATTCAGATACGGCGGCTCGTGTCCTTCCAATCCAAGCCCGTGTCCCAATCGATGGGTGTAGAACTTTCCATAGCCGGCCTGTTGTATGACATCCCGAGAGGCACCGTCGACTGCCGAACACGCCTCATCCACATTCATACGCGACAGCCCAGCAGACTGCGCCTCCAGCACGGTTTTCCAAACGGCCATGAGGTCGTCACTCACAGTCGCTCCCGTCGGCAGGATTGTGCGCGTCACGTCGCTGCAGTAGCCATAAAGCTCCGAGCCAATGTCGATAAGCACAAACTCACCCTCCTGCAGCGTCCGCCCAGTCTCACCGCCATGTGGCAGCGCCGCCTGGTCGCCAAACAGCACCAGCACCCAGAATCCATGACCGACTCCAGCACGCGTGAACAACGCCTGAGAAGCGTCAACGACCTGTTCCTGCGTCATGCCAATCCGGATGCACTTTTGCAGCGACTGCACCAGCGCGAGCGTAAACGAGTTGATGCCCTTTAGCAGAGCGATTTCGTCCTCCGACTTGACGGATCGCAGCGTCTGGACCGTCTCCGACATGGGCACGACTTCAATCCCCGCCTCTTGCAGCCCAGCGGCAATCATGAAGCGCGCATGCTCGTCAATCATGACTTTCTCGTAGCCCGTGCCTCTCGCGAGCGCTTCATACGGCGACTCTTCCTCCACCCAGGCGATTGTCGTCTTGTTGTCAAACACCATGTCGAGCTTTGCAATACGGCCCGCCTCAAACTTGGGCACCAGCGTCGTAAACCGGCCCCTTTTGTCAATCACCATCAGAAAAGGCCGCTCGGAGAGGTGAAAGCCGGAAGAAATGTTTGCATAATACGACGTCGACGCAGACGGCTCGGCAATAAAGGCATCGACCCCAGCGGCGTCCAGTTCGCGCGCCAGAGCCGTTTGGCGCGCAAGAAACTCGGATCGCTGAATCGGCGCAACGGATAACAGAGGGAGATGCGGCTCCAGGTGGTTCCAGGCACAAGTTTCCAACGGCGATGTCAAGCCGGGCTCGGAATCGCGGAGGCAGTACAGCAGGGCCGCGACCAGGGCCAGCAAGACGCAGGACTGGCCCATCGGCAGCAAAACTTTCCACAGGGTGGTGTTGCTGACTGCTGGGGGATCTGCCCTCCTTTGGACTTGTGCCTCTCTTGGAGGGAGCAGACATTGCTTCTCTGCATCGCTTCCAACCGGCATCTTGACGTCTCCTGTGGGTTAAACTTGGAGTGATGAAGTATGTAGGTTTCAGGTCAGAGGGCGTAAATTCCGGGCCAGTTGAAGTTGACAAGGCAGGGATGTGCAGCGCACTGTGTAGCGACACCCTGAAGTCCATCAAACTCGGAATCAATGGTTTTATTCTCTAACATTTAAACCATTGGAGAAACCACCTGGTCGCTGTTTCCAGCAGAGGAATATTCCAAGGGTTATACGCATTAGCAGTAACGGAGCGTATCTTTTATTTCTGATTAGCACAGTGTCTTGTTCTCTAATTTTTGAGGCAAGTCAATTTGGATAGCTTCGAGTTTGACCTATAATTCTCTACTTTTAGTAAAACTAGCCTGTCATCTTTGAAGCGCAATGTCTTTCATAGTATTTAAATCAGAGTCAACTACACTGCAAATCACATTGTTTCTATTTCATACCCATTGAGGTGGCTGCGTAGCTAACAATTGTTATATATACAAATCTACCCTGTATTCATTGGAATTGACTTTGAGCCACTGCAACTGAATAGATGGCAACTTCAATAAGCAGTCATTATAATTACCATGACAAGCAAATACACAAGTCTTATATATATTATGCCTAGTCAATATTTTTTATCCAACTTGTTAGACAACGCTAAACTTCACATCCAGACTAACAAAAACACCAAATCGACGCAGACAATGCCAAGTAAACACACAGATGCTCACGAGCTCCCAACACCAAGTGGCTCTCCATACGCATCCTTCGGATCATCCCCCACACAATGATGGCACCAAAACCGACTCCCCGGATCATGCGCCTTCTTCACCGCCAGCAACTTTTCATACTTTTCCTGTCCCCAATACCTCCCCGTCCAGTCATGCATCACATACGAGCTCTCGGAGAAATAGCTATTCGGCCCAATCTCATACAACGTCTCATTCGACTGCTTCGTAGACAAGGTCCGCGCGTTCCACAACATGAGGGCCTCTCGGAAGCCCGACGAGATGGCCGTACCCTTTGCCTGCGTGCTCCCCTTGTTGCCCGTCAGCGAAGTGTACAGGTAGTGAAAGCCACAGCGGCTCCCTCCTGGCCCCGGCGACGTCGAGTCCGGATGCTTCAGCGACGCCACGCAGATATCCAGCACGTCCATCATCGTCGGCGCAAATTTCTTCTCCATGGCCTGTCGCGAGACAAACACCGAGTTTTGCGAGCCCGTGGCAGCGTCGGACGGCGGGTGCGGAGCAGGCAGCGGGTTGAAGACGGCGAGCGGGAACTTATCAGCCGGCATGGAGAGGATGTAGTCAAAGGCCGAGTGGAAGTTGGTCTCCGTCACGGGCGGGCCCCCAAGCACCTCCTGGAGCTTGTCGCGGAACAGAACATAGTCCGGCTCTGCTTGGCCGCCCGCGTAAAAGTACTCAAAGTTGAACTGCCATGTGACTGCGCAGAGCCCGCCCGTCGCATAGTTGGTCGTGTTGATGAAAAAGGCCGCCTGCGTGCTGACCTTTTGGTTCAGCATCAGGTTCCAGGCAGAGAAGCCCTTCCACATGGTCCGCAGCCACTCATAGCCAAACTGGCCCGAGCCGGAACAAAAGGTGCCGTTTTGGGGCATGAAGACGCGGCTGAGGCCTCCGTCGGGCACGGCGTGAGCCCGGATCGTCATGGAGAGAATGACGCCCCACACGCCGCCGCCGCCGCCGCGCATGGCCCAGAAGAGCTCCGCGTTGTGCCGGCGGCTGGCCATCTTCTTGTGCACGGCGCCGTCTTGGCCAATCTGCAAGACTTCAATCTCCAGCACGTTGTCCACGCCGAGGCCCATGGACGGCGCAAAGGGCCCGTGGCCGCCGCCGAGATGGAAGCCGACCATGCCGACGGTGGAGCACCAGCCCGAGGCGATAACGCGGCTGTACTGCGCGGAGAAGGCGTGCATCTCGGCAAAGACTGCGCCGGCGCCAAACTTGAACGCGCCGCTGGGAGAAATGGATGGGTCCTCGTTCCAGGTAGGCAGGAAGGCCTTGTCCTTGAACAGAATGGTGCGGATGAGGATGCCGCCGGTCGGGCACGAGTTGCGGCTGTTGTACTCGTGGCCTGTCCCGGATGTGGCAATGCATAGTCGGTGACGGGCAGCAAAGGTCAAGGCGCTGGCAACATGTTGCTCGTTGAGGGGGAACACGACGATGAAGGGGTTCCAGTCGCGGTACTCGTTCTGGTGGAGCGCCGCCTTGCACATGTCCGATGCGTGGTTCCATTCCGTCGAGTTGGCGGATACCTTGAAGCACGGGCGCTGCATCTCATTCACGTCCTCGTAGTAATACAAGGCCTTGAACCCGGTGGGCGTGTCTCCCAGGCCGTAGAAGGACTGGTTGTTGACAGAGCCCGTCGGCACCGGGGCCGGCTGCGGCTGGGGGTAGCTGCTCCACTGGAGGCCGAGCCGTGGTGCTTTGGGATCCAGCTCTTGCTCCAGCTCGTGGATGGCCGTCTTGGTGGGCCAGCAGCTGGAGTCGTCCGGCGTGCACCAGTTGTGGCTTGGCCTGGGGTCTGCTACGCCTGCCAGAGGAACTTGTGCAACCCTCTCCGTGTTGGACGGCACCGAGTCCGTGTCGGCCGGCCCGCACGATCCGGCCCCGCAGTAGTTGTTCTCCGGGCCGCACGAGTATCTACACTGGGAGCTGCACGGGTTGCATCGCCCCATGGCCCATTGCGTGTGCGGCGACAGGAAGCTGTCTGCTACATCATCAGATGCCACACCGCAGTCAAGCACCGCGTAGGAATACACCGGGTCGTACTGAAAGTCGAAGCGGCAGGTGATGCTGCCACTGGCGCCGGCGAGGAATACCAGGTCGTCATGCTCCGAATGGGTGACGGCATAGCGCTCCACGCCGCGGCTTTTATAATTGGGCCATTCCAGCGACGCCTGGCCATTGGCAGTGAAATTCCATCGAGCCAGACCCTCTTGATAGTTCTCTGAAACCTGGAGCGAGCGCCATGTACCCAGCAGCGCCGGCGGTGCCCCGGCAATGCCTGGCTGATCGGGGCTCAGAAGGACGGGCTTATCCTTGGACGCTTCATGTTTGCTGGCCGCTGGCAGTGGAGCGGCAGGGCTGGCGTCGGGCAGAAAGGCACAGCCCTCCGAGGACGACTTGCAGCGGAACATGAGAAAGTTTCCACAGCCGTGAGTGTCCATTGCAGCGTCGAAACTGGCCGGCGCCGGGGCCCCGGTGTGGTTACACGCCAAAAAGGCCACCTCGAGGCCGCCAATGTCCGGCAGTCGCTGCACCAGGCACTCCTCCAGGTGATGGTTCGCACCGCATTTCTGCAGGATAATCTCCCCGGGCGATCGAATCTCGTACGTGCACGTCTGGGGGTACGGGCTGTCGGTGGTGACGCTCAGGGTGTCCTCGGTGAAGGTCTGGGCGAACTCAAACTTGCCCGACCCAATCTGCTCGGCGCCAAACGAGCGCCATGTGCCTTTCCAAGGGGAGCTGTTGTCAATGTTCCTTGACAGGGCTGGCATCCCAAACTCCACAAGGGGCATGCTGGCATTGGCACTGCTGCTCTGGGGTGCGTTGCTGGGGTCCAGCAAGACGGTGCTGTCCAGATGGGCCGGAGGGCACATGTCCCAGTCGCTGCATGCAAAGCACTGATTGATGCAATGGCCAGACATCCTCGGCACGCTGTCCACCGTCGTCTCCGTCCAGCCGACTGTGGCGAGATACGCACATTGCACGCAGCCGGTGCTGATGAGCGGCTCCATGTTCTTCTTCTTCAGAAGCCGTGTCTGCAGCGCCGGGTTGGCGTTGACCTCGTTGGCCAGCACAAACGCCGTGCGGTAATACGCCTCCTGCGGCAGCCGGAACGCCGTCCCATCGGCGCCGGGGACGACGGCGCAGGTGCCGTGCTTCATCCACTCGGACAGGATGAAGCAGCTCATGGTGTTGTTGCACTTGGCGTCAGTCGGCCAGTAGTACCTCAGCAGGGCCCCAAAGGTGGAGAGGTACGACTCGTCGAATTCCTCGCCGTGCTGGCAGCCCATCGGCTGGTTCTGTGCTCCCTTTCCATTCACCGAGCCGGGCCACAGGCCGTGCAGCGTGACGCTGGGCGAGTCCGGGGCGAAGTCGTTGACTTGCAGCGCCAGCGTGTAAGCGTCGGTGGCCAGCAGCCCGGACGGCCGGTGCTTGGAGTTGCACAGCGAAAAGGGCGGCGGCTTCTGCTGCAGGCCGCCGTGCTTGTCTAGGATGGTGCATCCGTGCGTCCATTTGAAGTTGCACGTGTTGATGTGGAAGTTGAGCGGGTTGAAGCGTCGGAGAGGGCTCGGGTTGGAGGGACAGTCGTCCGACAGGCCGGTGCAGTAGGAGGCGGCCAGATGAGCCAACGCCACCAACACCAGGCCAAGACGTGCGTGCCAGCTCATCTCTGGACGCATACAGTGTTTGTGAAGTTTGTTGTACTACTAATATATTCAATAGCGGTGTAGTTCAGATGCCTGCTGAACGGCTTGCAGAACGTGTAACCATGGACAAACGTATAAGCCTATATATACCTTCTATTTCATACATGTATATACAGCCATTGGCAGCACTTTCTGCCCTCGCCCAATCACAGCGTCTCGGCCTACACAGCCGCAGTGATTTGTTCAAAATGAGCCATCTCTTCCTCCCAGAGGCGTCAACAAGAGAGCTGATGGATCAATAGTGGCTCTTCAGCTTGCGGCTGCGACCGAAACTATCGGACGCGGGAGAGCTGAGACAGGGGTCGGGCACCAAGTGATTGGAGGACAGTTCAACCAAGTGGAGGCAGCCAGTTACAACCGCTTCGGCTCGCATGCGGGAGCACATCTAGAAGTGCTTCGACCCAGTAGCCAATATTGGGCGTTGCAAACTATTCGCTTCAGCCCTATTACCAACCCCGAAACGGGTCGCCCTGTCAGACGGGGATTCCCTTCACTCTGCAGCCCGGCTTTGCGATTGGATGAATTGATGCACTGCCGGGGCTTGTAGGAATCGCTCAGCCTAGAACGTTTCTTGGCATGACGGGTGTGCCGGGCCATCTTTGACTAGTACAACTCTAAAGGTGAGTGCGAAAAGAACTGCCGACACGGAGCCTTGGCACCTCGTTACAGATGGAGTTTTCCAGTGTCTTCATCGATTTCTAGTTGCACTACATCTGTATCACGTTTTGAATGTGTCGGATATTTCCTAGCTTAGCGCGTTCACGCAGGTCTTTCCAAGTGGTATATAATACAGCATCCGCCACCGTGCTTTCCAATACACAGCTAGGGTTCGAGCAGTTCAGAATGTTTGTACTTGTGGGAAAGAAGCCTCAGCATATCTCCATTTGAATGTCTCGTATATGCAACATTGTAATCATCAGCCACAGGAACGACTTACTATATGAGACCCATTATTACGCCTCTTGGATATGGCTTAGTTTACCTAGATAGTTGTCAACCAGACACTCATGTTGGCTGGATTTGGCATCGTGCATATGCGCCGTAACACTACAGCAATCTCGCGGTTACATGTAAGCCGGTGAGACTCAACTCGGGCTTCATCCATCATCTTACTCATACAGATCAGAGTTGATTACCTATACAAGAGTCACTGTCATATGTAAGGCCCAAAACGATGAGATAGAGAGCGTGCATCTGCTCTCGTGATTACCAAACAGCTGATGCTTCTGAATACTGTATGAAAGATGGTCGGTCTTTGAAAAGACACTCTTCAAGACATGTCTCCGGCAGGGACAGAATACTGCGTATTGCAGAGATGTCGGCGGGAGACAGCAACTCTGTCAGTGGGTGGTTAGTTTGGAAGAATGAGGATATTTGTTGGGTGATTCGTCTACGTTGTTGCGAGGCCATTTGACGGATGAACCGATTGACAAAAAACTAAAATAATTGGACAAAGGAAATCAAACGAGGGACATACATCTGTCTCAACAGCTCAGAGGTTAGCAGACAGGACGACAGGGAGAAACAAATTAGAGGCACTGATCGGTGGTGCAATTGCTACCAGTTTGTAGGGTATCAGATGGATGAGAAAGGCATACTCTTTATTATTCTAAAGCAATTAGATGGATCTGTAGGTATTAGCAATGAACCAGAGCTATTATCATACACAAACGGTGTAACAGCACTGTGGTATCCTACCAATACTCATGTATCCCCATCATAGCACCGCCGAGAAGAAACGGATCGGTGCTTTCCATCTAGAGCCATGTGTAGTGTGCTATTCCCAACATCTGTAATCTTAGCCAATGCTATCTCGGTGACCCATTGGTGTTACACGCACCCCGATAATTTGAAGCAATATAGTATTACCTACAAGGGAAAGAAGAGCGTCTCATGATATTACTGCATGCATACACAAAAATGGAAATGCGCTATGCCATCTTTATAGTACCATGTCTCTGTACTGCCTCATTATTTGAAAGCATCTTCTCCCCCATGAACAAAGGCAATGAAGTAAACACTCACATCATTCAATCTCATCACTTCCAAAAACCACAAATCGAACCATTTTTTTTTATTCGTTCTTCCACACAATCCTTCCCCATGGTTCGCTTCACCGCTCTCCCTCTTGCAGTTGTAACTGCACTTGCCTCCTTCGCCGCCGCGTCACACCAATCTGCTGGTGGCATTAATTACTGCTGACATGATCTTCTGAATTTGGCCAAGTTTGCGTGAAAACGGTAAAAATCTTTCACGCATGCATGCATGTAACTAAAATATGGATAATAAACTAGATTTTGACCATGTCCAACGAATTCCCATTGCTCTTAGAGCTGCCGGGCAACCGGTGAACAGCCGTTACATCAGAAACTCTCTTCTTTTGCGACGCCAGGGGAGTCATCGGCTTCGTTGAGCATTGCGAATATGATTGTGGATATGGCGGCCAAGGAAAGCAGGGCTATGGCTATTACGGAGTGTTTGGCGAAGAAAACTAAAATTCACCTGCGGCCCGCTGAGTAAACCATCTTTTGCGGTTTTTGTGAAGCATCGATGGTTGCGTAGCTTGCAACGATTTAATAGACTTTAATGGCTAGGAGGATGCACAACCATCTCTGCCGCGTGAGCTTGGAGCGGGGACACCAAGGTGGTATGAAGCAGAGACTCGGTCGTCGTATGTGGTTCTCCAGATATTCATTTCATTGGAAGTCCCCAAGCCTAATAAGTCAGTAACCAAAGCCTCTACCGGTCTTGTTATTCTGTAAAATACGGAGTATACTCTACCTATACCTATCCCGCACCGGGCTCTGGCTTTAGCTAGCAACGTTTGCGCGCCCTGGTCGGCGAAGCAGCTCTGTTGCCAATAGCGTACATGGCTTCAATAGTATATGTTTTGCCACAAGAGAAATTCAAGCCATCTTTTTGCCTTTGACCAAGACAATGAAGCGCAACTTCAGCCTTCTTGCAGCTGTGGGCCATCAAGCTAGACCCAGTGTATGATATAGATGCTAGTGAAGCAGGCAAAGTGCTAGTTAAGCTAGCAAGGGGTCTACACAAAGAGACCGAGACACAGAAATAACCGGCATACAAAAACACGCCACATGTACATAATGACAGAGCTAATACTTACAGAAAGCATCTCCTATTATCCTTGTCTAGATGTATATTCATTCTACAGTCTCTATTGCTTGCAAACCCCTGTCAAGATATATGCTTAATAAGCCATCCCCGATTTAGCGCTAAGCTAGTCCCAAGCCACGTTAGATCCAAGGCCAAAATAACTGGGTATCAAAAAAATCTTTGCCGTTCCTGAAAATAGTTCAATCTATCCTCGTCCTATCTGCGTCTATTTTCCCGTCATCTCGATTTCAGCAGACCCCCTGGCGGTGAAATCAACCTCTTGCTATATAAAAACAAAAGATGCCTTCAATAGGGAATCCCCACCAATGAAAGAATAGGCAAGACCCAACTCCCTGATAAGGACAAGTGGATCGATCAAACTAAATTTCAACGTTTCGTTGAGCGGGACTTTGTCCTTCTTCTCCTATTTGCAAAAACCACCAAAAACAGCAGGTCTAGAACTAAAGATCCCTGAGCAACATTAGTCATTTGCCGCCTTGATTGGCCGGACTGATTGTTCCCAGGCCACTTTAACAGCTTCAATTACTAATACGGCCAGTGTCGGTGCAGCAAGTCATGTCTGCGATCGTCAAGGTGGACGAATTGGGAACCCCCACTAACAACGACTAATTTTCGGTACAACCGTCCGCCTCGGCAAATGGGTCCTCGCGATTGACGCCATTGTTGATTTTTCTGTTTATATATAAACGTGTGCGTCTGCGTGTAATGTCCAATTGTCTGTTAAATAGGAGTAGAGATTATTTTGCATATATAAATGAAAATTGGCCAGTCTCAAGATTGAAGTTACCCAATCTCGACTTATAACTTGTTACCAAAAAAAAAGGCTTCGTTAGCCTCATACCTAGAAGACATCTCTCCTTATACTGTTCAAGGGGTAAAAAGACAGTATCAACCATGGCCGACTCCTTCACCCTCGACATCTTCCGCGGCACCCCCGAAGGCGCCCTCGCCGTCGAAACCTCCACCCACACCCTCGGCCACGGCGAAATCTACATTGAAACCACCCACTCCGGCCTCTGCGGCACCGACCTTCACTACCTCGCCCGCGGCGGCATCATCGGCCATGAAGGCGTCGGCGTGGTGAGGCAGCTCGGCCCCGGCGTCACGGAGGTCAAGGTGGGAGACCGCGTCGGATTCGGATACACTCACAAGGTCTGCGGCACCTGCGACTGCTGCCTAAGCGGTAATTCATCATCCATCTATACTCTCCTCATTACAAAGATGGATAAACTAATCGTTTGGTGAAATTAAAGGCAGAGACCAATACTGCCCCAACCGCCTAGACTTCAACCGCAACCACGACAAAATGGGCACAATCTCCTCCGGCGTCATCTGGTCCGCCAACATGGTCTTCCCCATCCCCGACGGCTACGACTCCGCCGACGCCGCGCCCCTCCTCTGCGCCGGCTCCACCGTCTTCACCGTCCTCACCGGGCCCGACGTAAAGTCCACCGACCGCATCGGCATCATGGGCATCGGCGGCCTGGGCCACCTGGCCATCAAGCTCGCCGCCGCCATGGGCCACGAGGTCGTCGTCTTGTCAACTTCAGAGTCAAAACGCCAGGAGGCACTCGAGTATGGAGCGACAGAGTTTCACGTCTACGACTCGGAGAAGCCTGCTCCCGAGGGTTTCAAGCCGTTGAATCATTTGCTGCTCTGCGGAAATACCGGAAGCAAAAACTTTAACAAGTAATTACCCCCATGATTACACCTCCAAAGCATCTTGTATCATTGACTAACAAAACATCAGCCTGGTCCAACTCCTAGCCATCAATGGCACAGTATACCCCTTGACCGTCTCCAAAGAGCACGCCCCCGTCGATCTAGTCGGATTGATCGGTCTTGGAGCTTCCATCAAGGGATCACTCACAGCTTCGCGCCGCACAATCGTTGACCTGCTTCGATTTGCGTCCCGACATGGAATCAAGCCTACAATCGTTAAGTTCCCCATGACACAGGACGGAGTTCAGGATGCCATTGATACTTTGAAGGAAGGAAAAATGAGATACCGCGGAGTGCTGGTTCGCTAGAGAAAAGTTGGCCTCATCATAATTGAAGCTCTATCTGCATTTTGGTGTACATATTAGATACTACCCACAAACTAATAATATCACATCCTGTATTAAATAGGCATTCGCCATTCAAAAACGTAGGTTGCTTGTTTCAAGACTCATATAAAGTATGTAAAAATGTATAAACACTAAGCAAAAGAAACAAATCATGACACTCGTTCAAATATTACTCGTTCAAATATTCACTTCTCATAGCTATTATGCTTCACAATGCCAACTCTTTCCCATTCATCATAGCAATGCCTAAAACGATCTTACGTTTGCTCAAAACTAACAATGCCAAGTTCATCAGCGACCTAATGGCTGATATCCAACTCCAATCCGTGTTCCAAGTCCAATATTATACAAATCCCAATGCAACGCTAATAGCACTATAACAAACAGCCAGTTAAATCATCGTCTCGCTTGTGTCGCAAGTCTTGCGGCCATAGCGCGGCACATGGAAATGAATATCACTTCCAAAATAATGACTCCGCTGCTCTGGCTTGTTTGCGCCCTCGTCGTTCGCCCAGCCCTTTGTATAATTCCCGCAGATATTGCATGGCCCCTCCGGTGCAACAATGAAACTTTCTTGAAGCACCGATACTTCAATTTTGCGCTCAATCCACGAGTTTCGGCGTCCTTCTGGTGCAAGTTCCTGGACCGACACCTCTACGTCCTTCTCACACATGTCTTCTTCGTTTGGGTCGACGACAATGGTGACTTCTGATTCAGCAAGACTGTGCTGCCTCGTTGAGAATCGAGAGGAATACATAAAGTCATTGAAGCGGGCATCTTCAATATCCTTCAGGTCCGGAGGATAAGATGGCTCCTGTGGATGGTAAAAGCACTCTGTCAAGCCAACGGTGGAGATCAAGACAAAAATTTGCCAAATAGCCAAAATTTCTGCAGTTTGCTCTGCGCCTGGGTTATGATTCTACAGTTTTAATTAGTTGAAGGCTCTCATCGCGTAGATAGTTAGAGAAAAAGACATACCGAGACTAGAATAATTGCTCGTGTGAGTGCAGCTGCTGTGAAAATGAGCCCACACACGAGTGTTGTAAGCCACTGTAGTGTGTCCCGCATAGGCTTGCCTCGCTTCAGGGCGAGAGGCATAGCCGCCATTGCCAAGTAGAGAGTCGTTATCGTGTCAAAGCTAAAGTAGGCCAATACCAGCGCCGGAGAAGTAACAGGCTGGCAGTATCGGCTTGGATCCGGATAGACTTGCGACATGTTGGACAACCGGCGGCAGCTTTGTGAAAAGGCTAGCGTCGTTGCCACCCATGTTACAAACAAAAAGCCGAAGCCAAATGTCTGGTGAGTCTGTCGTCGGCCAGATGCAGCAGTTTGGCGAATGACGTATGCCAGAAAGGCCGCTTTCAATGTCCACAGGGCTGTAGAGTAGGAGAGCCAGTTGTACAAGTAGAGCTTCGATCCAAGTTCCCTGCAACTAGTTAGCATCGCAATGGTTGAGGCAGCCAAGTGAAAAGTGATTAATTACATCAGATAGTGTTCATTGCTGTTCGGTTGTGTCCCGATGAAATCGCCTTCCAAGGTAGTCTGGTTGCTCATCCAGTGTGTCATGGTATTCGTCAGATACGCCAAAACAACGTTGGGAACAAAGAAAATCTAGAGCCATAGTCAGTATGCCAATGAGCAATACCAAAAGGAAGAAAACGGCAGCGTACCACTCCTGCAACAGCAAAGACATCCTCAAGGCCAAGGCTCTTCCAACCACACTGCCGAAATCGCATAAAAGATCGTGCAGCTATGCAGATGACGGCGCTCCCCAGGAGAAGGAAGATTTGAATCGTCGACGCTTGCGATTTGTCCATCTCGTTTCGATTCGTTGTTGTTGCCTCAAAGTCCATGGCAAATGTTTCGTCTTGGGGCGGTATCATCATCACCGTGAGTTGTTATTTGTTACACAAGGCGAGGTCAGAGGTTGGGTAGGAAAAGGAGGAAGCAATTTGCCACCCAGGGAAATCGGGGAAACCTCAGCTTTAATGAAGCTCGGGATCAAGCCATCCACAACACAAAAGACAAGCCCACCCGCCGCTTCCCCAGCTTTGTCCAGCCTAACTCGACCCACACACGAGGAGGGATCAGCAGCGGCTCTTTGACCCCAGTTCTTGATGTCTCTCATGTGCATTCTCGGGCATGCAGCGCCATTGGCAGAGCGGCAGAGCAGCGGTAGCCCAAAGCAACAGGCCCGGTATCCAACCGCCCCGCGTTCAACGGACCGAAGAGTCACTGTGCAGCAAATGGCATGACTCGCTGGTTCCTGCGCTCCTCTTTGTCGCCGCTATCCTCCGATTCCCTTTGTCCAGCTCCCAGATATGATTCTCCCACGGCCTTGCTGCGCACAGAGCTGAAGTGGCGCGCGAGAGGGGCAGCGCAGGGAGCTGTCAGTGCACAACAGCTAGTAGTTTGTCTCACGCCACCAAGGCCGCCAAAGCGATGGGGTTGGTCTCGTCCAAGGCTGAAGAGTGGATAACGCCTTTGCAGTAGCGCTCCGTTTTCCGAGCGCCAGTCGGAAGGCTTGCTGAGGCCCTGCCTCGACCCAGTTCTCACCAGGCCAGACTAAAACATCCCATAAGACTCCTGCTTCGTCGAGTGATATGCGGGGGAAACCCACTGCTGCTGCTGCTCAGATGATAGCGCGCTGTCTAGCGCCGAGTCTCGAGCCTTGGATACGACCGATCTCGCTGCAGTTACTGATAGTCGTCATGTTAGCATGGGTAGCTGTGCCCGCAAGATCCCAAGCAGACGACGCAGCATTACCGAAAGCCTCGTCGTGTCATGTTCGCTCTCGGGCGATACTGCAGTACGTGCGACAAGGCCACAGGCCAACGAGAGCTGAACAAAAGAAAGGAAAAGGGTAAAACAAAACGAAATTACATGGTTCGATAAGATGGCCGTGGCTGGGCTAGGACCGCGGGCCGTTCTTGCCGCAGTTGCTGTTGGGTCGCAGTGCTACTTGCCTTGTCTCACTTGCACATGCTTATGCTCATGATGGGTACAGTACGGCAGGCAAGAGCGGCAGAGCAGCAAGAGCAGGATCAGACCAGGAGCAAGAGCAGGGGCCGCAAGAAACAAGCAGGAGCTCCTGGTCCTGCAAGGCCTGGCCTTTCCTCGCCTCCAAGGCTTGGCGCTTTTTAGGGCGCTGCCGGAATTAGCGCAGAGGCCCCGCCAGCCAGCCTCTACCGTCTGTCTGGGACACACATGAAATTGGCATCCTAATCAAGCCCCGATGCAAGGCTCAAAGCAAAAGTCAGGCGCTTATGGAACAGGCGATGCGTGTCGGCGAATAACGATCGCAGCCCGGTCCCAGGGCAGGCGCACCAAGCAGAATTCGGATTGAATCACATCAAAGAAATTCAAGGTGCATAATGCATAAGCGTGCGTTGGCCACCGCTCTGGCGCAGAACTCGCAGCCCGCTCTGCTCTGCTACCTCTCGTATGTACGCATCAGCTTCAACCCAGTCAGGGATCCCCCGGCCTTTGAAAGAGACGGCAACCTGGACCGGACGCAGTCATCCGCTCACCGAGCCACGGCGTTGTCTGGATCAGCGGAAAGTAGACACTCGTGATCAGACCTGGGCGTGGCAAACTATTTGTCCCTCTGCCCGTTTTGGGACTGCTCTAGACTCTCCCCCGGAGCATAAAAGATGGCCTGGAGCTTGGAGATCGGCCGCGGCTGGGCTTACATCTAAGCCTTTGCGAGATCCGCCAAGTGCGCTACAGAGGCTAGATCGCTGTCCAATGGCTTTCGCTCGCCGTGGCTGTCGGCACTCGTCTGGCTGGCCTCTCCGTTTTTAGCGGCAGTGGAGCAGGCCGCGCGCAGAGTCAGTTCTTGAGCTAAAACTTCAGCCCAGAGCTGCATCTCCCAAAATCAAGGCAAGGCAGTGGCAGAGGACAAGATCAGAGTCATGTCAAGTTTGTTTTTACGCTTGTCTCTTGGCTTCATCTATCGGTCTACACAACGCTAAAAAAACAAGTAAATACTTACTTTCAGTGCTGTGGCCTCTACCTCTTGAGCGTCTTCTGCTTCTCCGCATCTCTGGCCACGGTCCTACCCTCCACCAGCAGGCCCTTCTTCTTCCGCACGCCATCCATGTACCGCTTCGCTACATTTTCCTTATCCGCCAATTCTCCGAGGTCCTCCAGGTCGTCCTCGGTAAACGGCACCCAGAACGGATCTTCGTCCAGGATCTCAAATCCAGCGAAAATCAGCTGCGGCTGGGCCGCTCCGCTAGTCCGCTTGCGCATCTCGTCTGCAAAGCCAAAGCTCTCAGCTACCGGCAGCATGGCTTGGATGGTGAAGAACGGTGTTCCCTCCTTCATTGCCTCGGATACCACGCGGCCCCTGCGGCGGGTCAGCACGTCGTAGACTCGTCCCAATACCTCTGTAGAAGTCTGGATTTCAACCGTGTACATGGCGAGCATGAGTCGCGGAGACCAGTCCAGGAAGGCTGCGCGTAGTGACGATTGGAACGCCTTGATGACCTCTCCCGTAAGCCTGTTCAGCTTATCGCGGGCAGATGTATCGTCTTCCGAAAGGTTCAAGGAAACGTCCTCGATGAAGACGGCAACGCCTTGCATGGGCTCATTGCACAAAGGTCCCTGTGCCGTTCCTAGCTGGAAAGCATGTGTGATTTTATCGGAGAGATGGCTGGGACGGAGTTTGTCGTCAGACCCAGGTGTCGCATCAGGTGCCTTGGCTGCAGCAAAGATTTTTGGAAGAATGCCATCTTTGGTGGCATCGATGAGGAGATTGGGGCCTGTCCGCCTCGGCCCAAAGCCCGCGATTCGGTCTACCAGGCCTTTCCATCCTTCGCGGCCCTTTCCAGTCTCCAGCTCTTTCTGTAGCTGCGTCTTTAGCTCTTCCACTGATATGGCTGCGCCAGCGGTAAGCTCGGTATCTGCCTCAATGGCTTCCTCGTTGCTCTCTTCCCCTCCCTCCTCTACCAACTTTCGTACATTGTACAAGCGTTTGATTGCATCGCCATTCTTGACCAAGAAATCTGTGACATTCGTAGGCAGTGGCTGCACACGTAGGGTCAAGTTCACCTGCTTGGAGCTCGTAGAAGACACAATAGTTCCACGGCCAAGCTCCTTGTTAGCAGGAGGGCGCATCTCCTCTGCCTTGACAATCGTCTCTCTGTAAGGCACAATAGGCGCACCAGCCTGGATATCGCATCGCGCAAACCTTTCCTTCAGATCCAAGAGACATCTCTCGAGGTGAAGTTCACCAGCAGTTAGCAAAACGTGCTCTCCGCTGGCAAACTGCTCGTACTCCGCACAGGGGTCGCTCTGCACAAGTAGATGCAGGCCCTGGATCATCTTGTCCAGATCAGCTGGGTTGACGGGCTCGAGTGCAACACGCACGATTGGCTTTCCGGCTAGGCTGATACCCGCCAAGTTGACAGCTCCTTCGAGTGTGCTGCAAAGAGTTCCTGATTTGAGAATCTTGCCTTCCAGGCCCCCGATACCGAAAACGACACCGGCGGGTACGCTGTTTAGCGCTTCCAGACTTCTTCCCATAAACATGTACAGTGATTTTACAGTGATTTGCTGAGGCTCGGGATCTGCGTGAGGGTTGGCTGGTGACCACTTGGGCGGGATGACATATAACGTGTCTCCCACGGAGAGCGTTCCCGAAAAGATTCTGGCAAAGCCAATCAAGTGCTCCGGATCAATCTTTTCTTCTTCAGCAGCTGGCGTGATATCGTCGAGGTTAACAGTCTCTAGCGCCTGGGTCATCATATCCTCCTCACTCGGGTTGTTAGCGGCCGCCAAGGCAGCAGCCGCTGCACGCTTCTGCCGAGCCAATTCTCTCGCTTCCTCTCCAGTCATTTGACCGGTGCGCCTCTTATTTTCAGGTAGTTCGCTTTCGGGAATAGACACCATCTTGCTCACGTATGCAACGACGGGGTCCGATTTTTCGGTTTTGAAAGAGACCATGGCATCTCGGACTGACTTATCAATACACTGGGCATCTGGAGATTCGTCGATGACGGAAGGAAGTCGCTCGGCCTGTGCTGTAGGGGGTGACGGGAGCGATTCGATAACAGAGACCAACAAGGCGGTTGAAAGCGGTAGCCACGAAGCGAATACTGTGGTCAGCAAAAGTCGGGGATCTCGAGCTCGAAGGATGTGAGGAGCAATTGTGATGTTGAGTGACTTTGTGACTTTTTCGAGGAGCGCCGGGTCTCCTCTGCCTCCATCAGCGCCAATAGTGGCTTGGTACACGGTCCAGACGGGCTCAAGAACCAACTGGACAAACATGGGTTTGAGGTTACGGCCCTTTAGATGTTTCTGCCCTAGCACCTTCTTCGTCTTGGGATCCAAGTAAAAGTTGCCCCATAGACATCTTTCCATGATGCCTCGTTTGATTCCCAGCTTCTTTTCGTACAGGCTTGCAAATTGTCTGCAGGTAAATGCCCAGCCATCAATAGCGCTGCTGAAAATGACATTGTTCTTCTCTGGAGCGAAATATAGATCTTCGTCATCGAGTTCTTCAAATTGGAGGTCTCCAACTTCGCTAGCCGTATCGCTAGCCGTCGAAGCCTTGGTTGCGGCTGTGGCATTTACACGCTCCTCCATTCTCTCTCTCCAGTTGAGATCTTCTTCCATACGTTCGCCCTGGAAGAAGCTGCCCAGGACTGCATTGACCTGCTCTAAGAGTTTGCTCAGGTGGACATATGCCTCTTGAGGTGTCATTTTGAGCTCCGTAACAAGTCTATCGATCTTGTTAATGACCAGGAGTGGCTTGAGCTTTTCGATCCAGCTCTGTCTTAGGACGGTGACGGTCTGACTGCAAACTCCTTCGACGGCATCCACCAGCACAACAGCGCCATCACATAATCTTGAGGCGGTGGACACTTCGCTGCTAAAGTCAATGTGGCCCGGTGAATCAATCAGGTTGATCAGGTACTCCTTTGCCTCAGGGGTAGCGTCGGGAGCAGATCGTCGTAGCATGGAGAAGTAGAGTGAGATGGCGGACGACTCCATGGTAATGCCTCGAGTTTGCTCATCGGGTCTCGAGTCCAGGTAGCGGATCTTGCCGGCCAGCTTGGGAGATATGATGCCATTGGTGGCCAGTAGGGCATCTGTTAATGAAGTTTTGCCATGATCCACGTGAGCCAGAATGCAGATCTGTTTTTGATGTTAGATACGTAATCTCAGTAAGCGAGGAAAAGGATTGCTTACATTTCGGACATCTTGCGACTGCTTCTGCAAGCTGGCCAGCTTTTCTGGTGTTACAACAGGCATGATGGGCAGATGATGTTGTGAGATGGATTAAAGTAAAAAAGTAAAAGTACAGATAAGAAAACGGGTGCTGAAGTGAATGAAACGAGGCTGGATGTTTGGTGACGCTCGCTGCTCTCTGGCTTGTCTGGGAAAAGCAAGTCGATTTAGATTGTGTCTGCAGCCCCAGCTTTCTATACGGCGGCGTCGATTCGCTTGTATCCTAGAAGTGGCTTGAAATCTTTTCGAAGTGATGACACTTGGCAGTCCTTGCTCATCATCTATGACTCTTTGAAAGAGTCACAGGAATAAGAAGCGGCAGGGATTCCTTGGGCTCGCAAGTTTTGCAGCTTGCTTATTAATGATTCGGAAGGCCACCAGCGTAGCTTCTGCTTGGAATTTAGCTTCAAGTGGACTGCAAATATTGATTTCAGCAGTGAAAGCTTGCCACTGTATTTCGATTTAATAAAACTTTGCCATATGGAGCTATAGAGAAAAAAAAGTAATGCTGCCCCTCTGCCAAGTTCTTTTTGACCCCTCTGTATCATCGTCCATTTTGCCTTTTGCCAGGTACCTCGATCTCGGTACCTCTAGCTGCCCCGCCTCGAAATCTTTTAAAGGGCTATCGGCTACTTAGCCCCTACAAGTGCATAATAAATGCAGCAAAGCGCTAGTTCCCCCATCGCTTAAATCTCACATGCGCTTAGCGGTGCACCAAGCCCTAACCAGTCACGAAGGCAAAATTCGTGAGAGCGTCAAGCCCCTCCCGCGCAAGGCGTAGAAAAAATTGCTGCCCCTCTCACCCCCAGCCTCGACAAGATCTCACGACGGGCCACACAATATGGCGACGTACCAGAACGGAGGGGCTCCGGCCCGCGCGATTGCTGACGACAGCGACGTCGAGGAGGAAGCCCTGGTGGCCGAATACAAGGAGCACGTCCAGTACGAAGACGGCGACGAGCTCAGCCAGACGACGTCGCTCAACCTGGCCCAGCAGACCGACGATATCCAGTCCCGCCTCCTGCAGGCCGCCCAGCCCCTGGACTTCTCAGCACCCCTGGAGGTCAAGTTCCAGAGCTACGACGCCTACTGCAGCTTGTTCCACTACATTTTGAACTCTGATGGCCCTGTTGATCTCGAGCCTCCTTCGGTGCGTGTGCTTGATGCGGACTTGCTCGCTCAATTGTCAGGGGTTTCCACGGCTAACGCTCGAGATGATGTAACTTATAGTACTACTGGGCTTGGGATGTGATTGATGAGTTCATCTATCAGTTCAACTCTTTCAGCTCTTACCGAAGCCGAATCGCGAGACAAGCCAACAATGAGGAGGAGATTCAGATCCTGCGCGAGAACCCCAACACCTGGGGCTGCTACAGCGTTCTCAACGTCCTGTACTCGCTGATTCAGCGATCTCAGATCACCGAGCAGCTCGGAGCCATGAAGCGCAACGAGGATCCCATGGCCGTGGCCGGCGAGTACGGCTCTAAGAACCTGTACCGCATGCTGGGATACTTCTCCATCATCGGTCTGCTGCGCGTTCACTGCTTGCTGGGTGATTTCGGCCTGGCTCTCAAGACGCTCGATGACATTGAGCTCAACAAGAAGGCCATGTTCGCCCGCGTCATGGCGGCTCACTTCACGACCTACTACTATGTCGGTTTCTCCTACATGATGATGCACCGATATGCCGATGCCATCCGCATGTTCTCCCACATCTTGATCTATGTCTCAAGGACCAAGAACTTCCAGAAGAACGCCCAGTTCGACTCCATCACCAAGAAGAACGAGCAGATGTATGCTCTGATTGCCATCTGCGTGGCTTTCCACCCCACCAGACTGGATGACACCATCCACAGCGCCCTGCGCGAGAAGTACGGCGACCAGCTGCTGAAGATGCAGCGTGGCGGCCCCGAGTCGCTGCCCATCTTTGAGGAGCTGTTCCGCACCGCCTGCCCCAAGTTCATCTCCCCCGTTCCTCCGGACTTTGACAACCCCGAGTCCAACATCGACCCCGTGGAACACCACCTGGCCATCTTCATGGACGAGGTCAAGACCAACATGTACAGCCCCACCATCAAGTCTTACCTCCGACTCTACACCACCATGGATCTCACCAAGCTCGCTGGCTTCCTCGAGGTGAAGCCCGATGAGCTGCGATCCTGGCTCCTGGTCACCAAGCAGCGCACCAAGCAGCTGCGATGGCAGGACCAGGGTCTCCTGGATGGTGAGCTGATCAACGTCAGCGACCTTGACTATGCTCTCCAGGGAGTATGTTTCCCCTCTCCTAACCTAATGTTCCGTTTTTAAACGGCTCTCTTGCATCATAGACCTGTGCTAACATTCTTTCTACAGGACCTCATTCACATCTCAGAGGCCAAGGTTGGCCGAAAGTTGGTTGACTGGTACCTCCGCAACCTGTCTCGCACCTACAACTAAAGCGAGCAGACGGATAAGTCGAGTTACCCTTCACGCGGTAGGAAGAAAAACGCCGCCGGCCTAGCACCAAAAGTTGTGTGTGATGTCCGGTTGTGTGTAAATCTTCCCACCCCTTGCCCAAGTGTACGCTGGTTCGACTAGAAAAAGGTACCATGCGTGGCAAAAAATTACGAAAATTGTTGAAGGGAAGATGGGGCGGGTATACTGGATCAACAACTGGCCGGTTGCATGGCTATGGCGTCACGGAGTTGGTTGGAACTCGTATGAGGGCACGAGGTTTGCTCGGAAGTGGCCCTGGGGGAGGTGGATTACAAATTTTGAGGTAGAAATATCTTTGTAGAGTGTTCATAATGTTGACGTGGAATTACGGCTGAAATAAAAAGAAAGGAATGATTCAATTTTCATTATTCACTGGCCGAGCCATGGTGCTGCGAGTGATGCAATAAGTTGCCATGGCGTCTCAACATCTCAATATACCTGACCACAATGCAAGGAGAATCCATGCCCAAGGCTATGAGTCAAAGCCACTCACAATGGCATCTGTGAAACAGCACTAGCGTACACAGCCTGGATGGAAGAAGCACGTTGGATTTGACTTTACTAGGAAGCTGAGCTGGTTGGCTTTCTTTGTTAGTGGCTTTGAAACGATGCTACACTATCCACATCCTAGTGAGAGTCAAACAAAAAAGCGTGGCACAACGACCTAAGCTTCTCCCGGTAAATGTGAGCCATCAGCTTGAAGCTAGGGTTTTTTAAAGTTGGAGGAATACTACGACGGTGCTATGTGCTACAGGCATTAAGGTTTTGGGGCTAGCTAGGGCTGAAAGGGGGTGGTGGTGATGGGGTTTGGATGTTGGATTCTTTGAAGGCGGCGAAAAAAAAAGGGAGAGAGTCAGGTGAGCAGTTGCACGGGGCTAGGAATGGCCCCCTTGCTGGGCGGGAGATGACACGAATGAGTTTTGACATGGCTCGCCTTGCATATAGAGTACGTAAACCAAAGCTGTTGCTATTGTGTTTACGCCTTGCTTGTCTGTGATGGGTGAAGTGAGAGGAGATGCTACTCTGTATAGACGCCAAGCCAAGACTAGTAAGTGCTCGGACGGCAGCAGATGCTTTATAAACCCAAATCTCGGGGAGTTTCCGCCACCAAGCTGATATATCCAGTGTAAAGAAAAAGAGCAAGTAAAAAGGCCCCCAAATAGATCAGCCCCGAAAACATCCTGCAGCCATCATCAAACGTGTCAATGCTAGAAAAGCTGCGGCCTTGGCATGCCCAGCCTAGACCAACCGAAGATTGGTGTATGTGACAGCAGGCTGTAGCTGCATCCAAGAACGAGGGTTACACCGGAGCTTGAAATGGTGGTGGCGTTGCAAAAGAAGAAGTGATGACATGGTATATGCCCTTATTGGCTCACCTCTTTTCTTCAGCAGAGAAATGGCATAATGAGTCCTTGTCGTTTGGCGAGAATGAGGGGGGACAAAGGCCAAGCTTCTTGGCGCTCAAGCTGTGATTTTGTACGGAACGATAATTTCCCATTGACAAGTGTTGTGATAATCCGGATTTCTATTCGGAGACTTGTGCGCGGTGCTGGTGTCATTGGCTGAACGTGCCAAGTTTTATCCCCATGTGGACATGTCACCATTACTCGATGTGGTGATGCCCCCGTATCTAAGCTCTGCCGACAGATGGAGCGGCACGGGAGGCCTGAGTATTGCTTCTTACTGGGTTGGGCGATTCTTGGGGAATCCATCTCGGTGGCGGCAGCCGATGGATTAGCACGCATCTAGTAGTTGTAAAGCTGTCATATAATCTTGCGAGTATCAACACCGTTTATTTCTCCGGTGGCCTTGGATGCTACGGTGCTATCGACGGGCTCCGCATTTAAGCCGCTTTTCACCTTGTTTTCCATCTTGACAATTTATTTCGCCATTTCTTCTTATCTTGTTCATCGTATTCCTTGTTTCTCAGTTTATAATTCATGCTGTTGTGGGCTTGGCTTCACCGCAGTGACTACAAATTACAGTCGGGGCGCTGCCCAACCAACGATATATTCTGTCTCAGAGACAGTCCACTTGCTGCACGATACCAGACGCACTCCGCATATTGGATATTCAATCACATTAAAAACACCGTGGCGTCTTGTCCTCCATCTGACGCTGCTACTCACCGCCATTGCATCGCCACGATTCACACCGGTTTCTTCGGAGAGCCATTCCGGGGATTGGCATTGGCCCTTTCCGCCCGACTTTGGAGGCCTCGACCTGCGTTATCGTCGTCTCCAGCACAAAGAGTGCTAAACACCAGATACTATCCGCCCGTTCCGACTTGTCACTGCCAGCGAAACAAATAAATAGAGAATTCAACAAAAACAAATCACCGGTGAATAGCAAGTCAGATCTCCCATCGACAAGCTCCCAGACACGAGTGGAGCAACAGCTGCCATAAAGCGGAGGCAAAGAGGAGTCTTTTTTGCCGTGAGCTCTTGATCAGTGCGCGGCACCCAGACCAGACCAGACCAGACCCTCGGTTCTGCGCCCGCCAACTCAATATTCCGGCGGCACCATCACATGGCAGCTTCTTGATACCTCCTTTTCTCCCACCACCAGGAAGCCGCTGCTGCTATATTTTAGCGACCAACGAGCTGAAGAGGCTGCTACTGCTTCTCTCCCTCCCGCACTGTCGCCATCGCTAGAACCACGCCGTCCCGAGGAGTGCCGCCGGCGAATCGACTCGACTCAAGACCCCTCGTGGCTTCATCATCGCTGCTACAAGCTACAGGCTACAAGCTACAACAGCTGCCTTTTCCTCCAGTCCCAGGCACCGATTGCGGGGTGATTCATCTAGGTCGGAAGCGGAAGAGGCGTACCGCTATCCATCGATTTCCCTTTTTTTAAAAAAAATAAATCCAAGAAAAAGAAAGCAAGGTACAAAGAGAGAAGAGGCACACCACCCTAGCCCTAAATAGGGACAAAACTGAGATATCCGACGGCGCAACGAAAAAAAAAAAAAAAACTAAGAGGCGCTGCTTGTTTTTATGCTTGTCTTGCCTTGTTGCAACGTCGACGATCCGTGCTTTTTTTCTGCCTGCTGCTTTTCTTTTTCCTCCTGGGTGCAAAAGAGAGTCTAAGTAAAACGAGACGTCTGTCTGCTGTGGGTTTCAACAGTTGCTGACAGGGCGATAAGACACTTTTGCCAGAGACTCACTCCTGGTGCCATTTCTTTGCGTGCTGCTGCCTATTCCTTGCTTCTTGCCTCTATCCCCCCATCTTCATCTACTTTATTTGTATGAGATATCTAAGAAGGATAAGCTTGGAGCGAGATATTTAGCGAGTGCACCCATCCATATTCGGACTACTCACCTTATTTTACTGTTTATTTTCTTTTTTCTTTTTTTGTTCCGGCACGTTTACGCCGACCAACAAAGCCAGGCAGGAGCTTGTCTCGCAACCGCAGCTTCCCTTCTTCTCGTCCAACTCCCTTCCTTCCCTTCTCTTGCCGCACTTTCCGTCCGTCACATTTTTCTTCTCCCTTTTTTACTCGTTTGAAGTGGAAAAGTCTTATCCAGGGTCTCATCCACCTTCCTCGCTTCGCACTTCTGACGCTCATCGTGGCCCAATCTCGGAGTCCACCCTGCACCTTCCCGCAAATCCCGTCTGCCGTGCTGCGCCAGCTCGGCATCTCAGTGCCGGGTCGTTGATATTGTGTCTCGCCTGGATCGTGGTCCTATTTTATTTTATTTCCTACGGACCTCAGCCCGGAACAGCCAAAACTAGGATATTCATAAAGGCTCAGCATCTTTCCTCGTCGGGTTTCGTTTTTTGACCCTCTCCTCTTCTTCCTTTTCATTCTTTACGAATAAAGGCTGTACGTGCTTTTCGTTTTTTGTTCTTCGAATCAACCGCCTGGGACGAAGGATCTTGTTTTAGCCAAGCCAAGCGCATATTGCTTTTGCATTGCATTTGTTTTACGACTTCATTTTTCAGCTACCGGAATCCCTCGCTTGGTTATCAGATCGGTCCTTATTACATCCATTCTCCAGTTGCCGGGAACAGCGAGTGAGCTACCAAGCCGAGCCAGCTTACACAATAACATATACTAACATTGGGCAATGCCACAGGCAAAACAAGTAAACCATTTCCACCATGCAGTCTCCAAGGTCTCCCCTTCCAGCTTCCGACTCGGACGTCTCCCCAGCATCGATGGTGCCGTCGAAGCAGTCTCAAGAGGAGTATTTCCCCCCGTCAGACGCCAGCGGTAGCCAGAATTCGATGCCTCTCACTTCTAGCGTTAGCGACGCTTCTTCGCGACGACAATCGAAACTCAGCTTCGCCACTGCGCTGCCAAAACCCGACGGAGCCCCGTTGAACAAGACCTCGTCAGGCTCGTCGGCCACCAAGCGGCGTCCCCTAGGCGTGCAGAAACGATCGTCTGACGGTCCCAAAGCGCGTCCTCCTTCTCCTCCACCACACACCAGGTAAGCCATGACATTTTTTACTCTTTTCTCTCCCACTTTGCCATTCTCTATACATGTCCATTTTCGTTTCATGTGTTTCTGTACCCCCCGTTTTGGGTCTTGTCTTCCCTAGAACGGCAATACGGCAAATGTCGAGTGGTGTCAGGGTGGTTCAAGGGCACGGCTCTCAGACATTGTGCTCAGTGAGATGGACTGTCTCCAGCTTCAGAGACACATTTGTGCTTCTCCGGGCCTTCTTGACTCCTGCTCTCGGCAAAAAATTGCCGACCAAGGGTTGACGATCCATTTCTCTTGACATCACCTTCCAAAGCAGCCGTTGCTGTGCAATGCTGCACCGATATAACCTTCTCCTGGGACCCCTTGCCGTCCATTTTAGAGCCATCATAGTGTCCAGTCTATGTGGGCCGGAAAGACTTCGATCTTTACGCTAGCAGCACTCCCAAGTACCATCACGGGGATTTCAAAGCTATCCTTTTCTTGCCGCGAGGCTTGGCAGAGAACAGCAAGTGCGGTATCTCGAGAGAACAGCATCAATTTGCTTGATGCGGCCAAGTTGGGCTCTTTAGTGTCACCAACCGTGTTCACGTGTCACTGTGTTATATCATGGCCCCGTGCTAGGGCTGGATACCGTCTTCAATTCTTCCACAATGCTCACCTCCAATAACTGCGAACAAGCGTTATCCAATGTACAAGTGATCCTTAGCACCAAGGATGAAGCCAGCAATTATCTGCCCCACTAATTTGATGGCTTCTTTTTATGGCTGTTCCCTTTTCCCGCTGGGAGACACAAACAGAGATGACGTACCCCTATATCTATGCCATACAATCATCCGAGCCATCCCAGCTCAAGCCTCTGGCATACCTCGTGCTTGGCATACGCATGATTCTCTTACTGGCTGCTCTTGAACTCTGCATGTCATGTCGCATAACATCTTGATCAGACAGTCTCTTTTGTTTATTCCCTCACTTTCCCTTTTTATTCTTGTTTCTGGAGTCATATAGTCCTTGTGCTTTATTGATGCCAACTCGTTTCTCCCTCAAGCTTTAATTATACAATGGGTGTTATAATGCTAACCTCGCAACCACGCGACAGATTTGAGCGCCACGTTGGCTTCGACAATGTGCCCATCGGCGAATCATCCAAAAAAGTTCCATCGTCAGTTGTACTCACTGTGAAGCACAATGGATACCAACCGCGTCGAAGATCACGAACATTCATGGTTGGCCTCGACGAGAATCCATACTCAGAGTACGCTGTCCAATGGTTGTTGGATGAGCTTGTCGACGACGGTGACGAGATTATTTGCGTGCGCGTGATCGAAAAAGACATGAGACTCACCGAGAAATCATATTACAGCGATGCACAGCAAGTCATGGATAGCATCATGGCAAAGAACGGTAGTAACAGAGCCGTTGCTTTCATTCTGGAGTACGCCGTGGGCAAACTACACTCTACTTTTCAGTCGTTAGTAAGTAGCCATGAGTAGCTTTCTTCCATTCTCTGATATATATCCTTACCATGTACAAAAATCTAGATCCAGCTCTATCAGCCAGCCATGCTGATTGTGGGCACCCGAGGACGATCTCTTGGCGGCCTCCAAGGACTTGTCAACAATCGCAACTCGTTTTCCAAGTACTGTCTGCAGTACTCTCCTGTACCCGTCGTCGTTGTCAGGCCCAGCGAGAAACGAAACAAGAAAAAGGCAAAGCGTACAAACGATAATTCGCGACAGACATATGTCAGCATGCTAGCCGCCACTCACGGTAAACATGAAGCCGACAGCGAGACCAGTAGTACCTACGAACTGGAGGTTCAAATATCACCCGACGAGGAGGCGCATCAGGTAGCACAGGTTCTGGGGCTGCCTGCTAAATTCGACCCAACCATTAAGCCTCACCACGAGTCTGTGCCGCTGAGGTCGAAATCCCCCGACGCGGCGCCCGGCCCCCGAACTAGTATTGCGCGTCGCGTCGTGTCTGATCCGATGCCTTCTAGTGCTCCTCCCAGCGCTCCCAATAGTGAGGATGAAGAGGATGACGAAGAAGAAGAGTTTGAGGTCATGACGGGAGCGGAGGCACTGGATCAACAGCAGAAGCTAGACCAGCTTCACAAAATGGAGGCTAGCGAGGCAGCTGCTCTTAAGCATGGAATAAACGCGGAGGAAGAGGACGAATCGGATGAGGCCCAGGGGCGAAATTCTGAGAGCACATCCTAGAAGATGCTCGCCGTTCCAGGCCGTGCCTCCGAGCCTCAAGACATGAAGAATACGGAAAGTTTGGAAGGCGCTGAAACAACGACTACAGAATTGCGAGGTGACAACGCAAAAGGTGTGGGAAACAGCGGCACGATTGTTACGATGAGAGGAGGCGGCGGTTCCAGGCCACGCAATCATCGACGCAGGGCTAGCTGGCAGGAAATGCCAACCGACACATCTTCTATGAGGCCTGATCAGAGGGAAAGAAGCTTAGAAAGTGCAGGGAGAGTGGCTCCGTCACGAAGACAACCAGCTTCGGCACAACAAACTCCGAACGCGCGTGGTTAGAGAGCGTCAGTTTTGGAGGGTAGGCCACCTACGGGCGGACCATCAAGACCGAGGCCATCGAGAGCAGCAGCTGCAAGAGTGGTCACTCCACGGGTAGCATCTTCTGGATCACGGCATTCAAGAGCGTCATCTTTTGGAGCAGAGCCTTCAAATTCAAGACCTTTGGGACCGAGGCCATTAGCACACACGCCTCCAAAGCCGTTGTCACGCTCTGTTGGCCCCTCTTCAGCGGTCATCAGAGCCAATTCTGGCTCAGGTTCCTCTAGATATAGGTCTCGGGACTCTGCAAAACATGGCTCGTCGGATTCTTCAAGATATAGGCCCTTGGAGCCTCCCATAACGGTACCACCGAGGGCTGCACTTGCTCATACCAGAGCTTTATCCAGGACAAGCGATCCCGGCCCTTCAAATGCTGTGCCTTTGGTAGCGTTTTCATCTACACCCCGGCAACTCCCAGCTGAATCACGTTCACCTAGGCACACAGAAGCCAGATCTCAATGGCCTTCTTCGCAGTCGGAGCAAACTCTGCGGCCTGCGTCTTTATCATCCAATGCCCCAGCTCGCCCGACGCTGATGGAGTGTTACATAGACAACAAGGATGGCTTGAAGGATGCCTTGGAAATGCTAAATGAGAGGGCGGGGGAAGCCTCCAGAGCGTCGGATATTGCGAGGGTGTGCAACGACAACAATGTCGCTGGTTTGGAGAGAAGTCGAGTGACCGGACTTCCGCCACGCTCACGTGAGTCGGACAAGGTCTCGCTTATCACAAAGATTGATAAACTGAAAAGGGAATATGGAGTAAAAGCAGCTGTAGAGCCGGAGGATTCTTGGGAGCCGTGGATGCAAAATGAGGTTGAGGCTGAAGCTCCTGAACTTGAGCTTTTCTCCCCCTTTTCCCAACAGGAGCTAAAAGGCCCTGCTCGAGGGCAATCGCAGACCTGGCAAAAAGAACACCTACGGTCATCAGATCCACTACAGCGAGAGATTGAGGAACTTTTGGAGGAGCCATCAAGCGTGCCCAGGCGATCGAATAGGCCACGGCAGTATCCATCTCGACCAGCGTCATTCAATTCAGTGTTGGAGCAAAGAAATTTGCAGAAGCCTCAGCCATCTCAGCCTCGATCTAGAGCAGCATTATCTAGATCAGTAACATCTGGATCACAGCGACCTGAATCGCCGTCATTGCAGTCACAGGTGCAGCAGTGGAAGCAGTCTCGGCTATCCCCCTCTCAATCTGGATCGCAGCCGTCGGGATCGCAGCGACCTGAATCACCGTCATTTCAGTCACAGGTGCAGCAGTGGCAGCAGTCTCGGTCACCCCGCTCTCAGTCTGGATCGCAGCCGTCGGGGTCGCAGCCGTCGGGGTCGCAGCCATCGGGACGGCAGCCATCGAGACGACAGCCATCGAGACGACAGCCATCGGGACGACAGCCATTGGGACCGCAGCCATTGGGATTACAACTAGCTCAGTTACCTCCACCTGGATCACAGCGGTCTCTGTCCCAGCAATCTCAGTATCAGCGGTCTCAGTCTCAGATATCTCAGTCTCAGCGATGTCAGCCACAGCAGTCTCGATTACAGCCGTCTCAGCCACAGCCGCAAGGGCTTCAACAGGAGCCAATGCAGTACAAACCTGCGCCCCAACTGCGACAACGGCAGCAGCAACGGCAGCAGCAACGGACTCATTCATGGCCACGTAATCAGGAGCTGCAGGGCTTTGCTGCCCATAGCTTATCATACGTGCCAGAGGCTCCTCGAGAGGAGTCTGCGCCTTCCATCCACCGTCCAGTAGAGACAGCGACGTATGAACTGAACGAGCTTCCCGAGAGCTCCAGCAAGGATAAGGGTAAGGGCAAGGATAAGCTCAGCCTAGCCGAAGAAGGCCGAGCTGGATTCGGCCAAGATGCAGCCAATGATGCTGAAGAAGAGAAGAAGAAAGGACCAAAGCCCTTTTGCTCGATACGCGGCCATTGCGTTATAGGCCCCTTTCCGGGCTGGAAAAACTGGTTCACCAGGAGGGGTGATGACCCTTGAGGATGAAGATGAAGACGAATGCCAGTTGGAGAGGGCACTGGAAACGGGTGAAGCATTGTGGAAGTAGGGTAGTAGTCTAGCGATTGATAGAAGATTAGATGGTACTTGGAATAGAGCGATGGATTTAGTTGACATGATTTCCCGAGCTGTCAGTGCCAAAGCATCAAAAAACATGTATTGGGGAGCTGAGCGTGAGTACGACAGGCGGTGACAAGATTGATGGAGCGTGACTTTGACGCAATGGAGTCGTCGTAAGATGGACTTTACTTTATGCGCCGAAGAGCCCAAAGAAGAAAGCGATTAAGCAGTCAATATTGGGACTGTGCCGTCTTCCGTGGACAGGGAGGATCCGGGCCAATGAAATGGCGATGGATAATCAGTCTGCGGATGAATAAATGAATACTATTGACATGTTGCTCACATGCATCTGCCATGTATAGTTTCTACACCCATGTTGTTTTCCATGTGCATCTGATACGCATCTCGTATAACCACATGCAAGCAAGGGTCTCTCTTTTTTTTCTGGGGGAGGTTTACGCGGCTTCTGGAGGCGGGGTTGAGGCTCTGGGTCTTGGCTGTGCCCGGTGAAACGGGGCGTTGATGCGAAACACGAGGCAGTGAGGGGAAGTTGTATCGGATGCTCAATAAGGTTACGGATGGATGGATGGATGAGTGTGTTTGAGCTTGAGTGGATATCTGTGATTGCATGATATGCTGTAGGTTGATCTATACATGTTGTTGCTAGACCCAGGTACGGTAGGCTTCGTATCAGCTTTAGCGTGCAGAGAGTGCTGAAAATAGAAGCACTTTGACTGGCACGGAGCCTGGTGGGCTCTAACAGCGGAGAAGATGAAATGAAATCTGACTTGCGAGCGTGTGGCAAGTAGATTGACCTGCCATTGGCTGCAGCGGGGCGTCGTTTTTAGCGCAGGCCATTGATGACGACGTCAGAGTTCTATTGTAGGTCGCTTTATTTTTGCTAGCACAGGCACAAGGCACGGCGCAGTACCGGTACATGGACATGAGGATCGTCGTTTTTTCGGGCAGCGGTTATTAATCTTTGCTCTTTTTTTTTTTTACACTTTTCTCGCTCTTTTTATTTTTCCTCTCTCTTGAGGTTACATTTTGGACGGAGTACAAAAGTGATGGTGGCGGCGATCTTTGTACAACCCACCGACTGCTACAAAAAGAGTACAGATTGTTCGCTTGTGCCTGGGACGATTCGCTTTCGGCTGTTTTCTCGCTGGTTCTTGTGAGGGACAGAGACGGAGACACGAGGCCAGATTTTATTGAAGCTGGGACTTTTTTGTGATTGAGTGACGGGGGGTATTTGGGATGTTTGCGTGCATCCCTGCGATAAAACAACGAATACTATACACCTTTTTCTTTTTCATTTTTCTTCAGCCCATCAATACAGAAAGCTTAGACTCTGATTGATACGTTTCTATTCGACAGCAAGTTACCTAGGTGGCTTGAAGCTTTCTGGAGCTTGTTACGCTGTGGTGCCCTGTGGCTGCCTGCGGTGCTGTTGTGCTTCACTTTATCCGGCTTGGCGGGAGGCTTTACGGTTTGCGACTTGATTGCGACGACGGACTGGATTGGATTGGATTTGCATACGGACGATACGAGCGAGAGAGAGAGAGTGGACGATTTGAGCGGAGGCAAGGCCGCGACTGAGCACTTTGATACAGGCAACAAGGGCGTACAGGGAAGAAGAGACACGAAAGACACCAACAAGACAATCAAACACCAGCACCGATGTGGCCCTTGTCGCTGCTCTCCTCGTGCGGCCAAGATGCCTGCGCTCCGCCCAGCAGCGTCACGACGGCCGCGCTGCTGTCGGCGCTGCCCTTTGCCGCCGTCTTCGTCGCGGCAAACACCGTCGCCGTGCGCCTCGTCTTCCCGAAGCTGAGCGCCGCGGCGCACGACGAGATGCGCGACGGCGAGGGCCACGTCCTGCCGGCGCACGCGCCCGCAGCGCTGCGCCAGGTGCACGCCGAGCACGGCTCCAAGGGCTGGCGGCGGCGAGGCGCGGCCTGGGCCTTTGGCACGACGGTCGGGCTGGCGGCGACGCTGGGCGCGCTCATCATGGCCGAGATCGTCGAGGCGGTCGATGCGGCGGCGCGCACCCTGGCGCTGCGCGTGACGGTGCCGGCGCTGCTGTTCATGCTGGTGGTGCTGGTGCCGTGGCTGGAGTGCCGGTCGCTGGTGGCCAGCGCGGGCTGGAGCTTCCAGCCGACGGCCAGGGGGCGCGTGCCGCGCATGGCGCTGGGGCTGCAGGCGCTGCTCTTTGGCGGCTGGCTGTTTGCCTTTTGGTCCATGGGCAGCGTCGTGCCGCGCGCCGAGATTGTGCTGCGGTCGCCGCCGCCGCCGGGCGATGGCAGGGCCAGGGGCACCGTGGGCGAGGACCTGACGCGGGCGTGTCTGGAGCGGATCGGCGTGGTGGGCATCTCGCTCATGGCGCTGCTGTCGGGCTTTGCGTCGGTGTCGGCGCCGTGGCACACGTTGAGCAGTGCCGAGCTGCGGAGGCGGAGGCCCCTGACCGAGGCGGACCTGAACCGCAAGCAGACGGGGCTGGACGCGACGAACGAGATGCTCGTCACCAAGAAGCACCGGCTGCACTATCTGGAGAGGAAGGTTGCCGAGGACGCTGCCGCCAAGGAGGGCAGGTCGGGCGGGCTCGTTGGGCTCGTCATGGGGTCGATCCGCGGCCAGTCGGGCGAGCAGCTGGAGATGCAGACGCTGCGCATGGAGATTGCCGGCCTGGAGGCCATGGAGGCGAACCTGTCGTCCAACCTGCTGCTAATGAAGAGCCAGCGCGCGGCCTCGGCCCGGGCCTCGACCACGCTGGGCCGCCTCCTGCTCGTGCCGTCGTACCTGTTCAGCGCCTACTGCGTGTACCGCATCCTGGCCACGTCGCTGACGACGCTGCGGCGCGCATCGTCGCCCTCGGCCAGCTTCGCCAGCAGCGACCCCATCAACCGCTTCCTGGGCCTGCTGGCGCGCCACTGGGACCCGAAGCTGGACCAGATGGCCTGGGCGCGCCTCATCAGCTTCGCCCTCAGCGGCGTCATCCTCGTCGCCAGCGCAAACAGCGCCGTCCAGACGTTCCACCTGTTTGCCAAGTGGACGCCGGGCCTGCTGCGCCACGCGCAGGCCAACCTCGCGCTGGCCGTGGGCCAGGTCATTGCGACGTATGTCATCTCGGCCAGTCTGTTGCTGCGAAGCCAGCTGCCCAGCGAGGCGAGGAGTGCCGTGGGGGGCGTGCTGAGGGGGGCGCTGACGCCGGCCTTTGTCGATGGCTGGTTTGAAGGCTGGTTCTTGCTGGGGAGCGTCGTGACGGCCTTTGGCATCTGGGTTGGGAGGAAGATTGGCGCGGCGGAGGAGGGGTGGGATGATTATGGGATGGAGGAGATGGGAGCCAAGAGGTCGTGATTCTTTTTTTTGTTATGCTGGCCTGGCGTTTTATTGTTTGCGGGATGTCTTTTTTTTTTTCATTTTGTTTGTCCCTGAGAGGACTTTTATATGACTTCAATGCTGAGCATGTACGTTGGAGCAAGTATGTAAAGCATGCTTTGGTCTATCAATCTAGGCAGCCGTCTCTAACAATACAAAAGAAAGGAATAAAAACAAAGTCTTCACATCATCGACAGTCCTCCACTTAGACAATAATCCCCATCTCCCTCCCCACCCTAAACGCCTCCAGCAAAGACCCCCAAACAGCCCGGCTCGTAAACTCCATGACCCGCCTATCCCCATCCACAAGAATCTCATCAGAGAAACTCGCTTCCGTAAAGATGTCTGCCCTCGCAGCCCTTCCCGTCCGGACCTGTTCCTCCGTGAACCATCCCCATTCGACATGCTCCTCGGCATCAATCTTGACTTTTGGATCCTGACCCTTTGCAGTGGCCAGAAAGTTTACTTTTCCCCAAATCCCATCCGGTTCGTGAAACGTTGTGAAGAGAACCGTCATTTGCTCCGAAACCTGCACTTTTATATCCTGTGCTTGTTCGTCGTTTGGGTCAATGCCCCAATTAGCCGGCCTTTCTTCCTCCTCATCCCCAGCCGTAAACAAATCCTCAGCCTTCTGCTTCGTCATCCCCAGCACGGCGTGAAAGTGACTCTCCGAAAGGGCAGTTTCCTCAAAGAGTTCCCGCGCGGCGGCGGCGAGGATCGATGCGTCGGTGACATCGGCTGAGCCGCCGGGGGCTTCCCATTTGAGCGGGTAGGAATCCTGCGGGGAGCGGCGGAGGAGGAGGATCTGAGGCGGGGATGGGGATTGCTGGCGGAGGAGGAAGACGCTGGTCATGAGGTGGGCGATGGAGGGGGTTGATTTGGACGAGAGGGTTTGGGGGGTTTGGAGGGCGAGGGGGGAGAGGGAGGGGGAGAAGGTGAAGTTGTAGGGGGGCATGGTGATGGTGTTTTTTTTTGGTGTTGTTGTTGATGTTGTCTATAGTGAGTCAGAGGTTAAGTAGAGATATAGACGATCAAGAGACAAGTTGGTCAATGATATGCGCGCAATATATTATATCCGATCATCTCCTGCAGCACAGAACAAGGCAGCAATCCCCTTAAAACCAGGCACCTTTCCATCTCGCTGCCTAGATAGCTTCGTAGCCTGATAAACAAATGAATCATACCAAACAGGCAAACACATTTCACACAAACACCATCATTTTTTAAGTAATTTTATTCATTTTTTCTCAATTTGCCTCGCACCTCTATCAGAAAAAAAAAAAAAAAAAAAAAGACTCGCTTCAAAGCGAACTGCAAACTTGGCTGCCTGTTCTCTTTTTTGTTTGCCAGCCTCCCCCCAGGCTCCCCTTTTTTGTTGTTTTCCATGCCCGCCATTTCTGTCTACCCGCATGAGCCTGTCCAAATTCCAAGCTTCTGTTTTTTTTTTTTTTGTTCCCGTCTCTCGTCGCAGCCCACCCTTTGTCAAGCAACCAAGAAAAAAAATAATGTAAAAGATCAATATCAAGCGAAGAAACGAAAAGGAGTCGAAGAAATGACGAAGAAATAGACACTTTGTGCAGATTGTTCCCCTTTTTGATGCTCCCTCCCAAATGTCTGTCCGTAGATGAACTCATTAGTCCCCCACTCTTCCTCCGATCCACACATTGCGTAAAGCGTGAGCCCGTCATCGTCATCAATCGAAAGCTGATTGCAGAAAATCACCTCTCCCTCTTTTTCAATCTAGTCTGCCCCGCATATCTTGAATGTCGTGAAAATTGTATCGTATTTCATCTGTCTCCTGTCCCTTTCTCCTCCAAACTGTAGTAAAAAAAAAAGTCATTACGGCCGATATATACCGGGCAGCTGCAATGTTTCATTAAACTCGCTTGCCAAGTAGCAGATAAGCCTCTATCAAGCTCATTCAGCAACCACGGGCAGGGCAAGTAACGCAGTAATGGGCTCCACCAATTGATACCTGGGAAGCCATCTTTAGTCGAGGCGGCATCATCTGGCTTTGCCGGAAATCATGAGCCATATCCAAGCAGTTTTCAGCCTGGAGATAGCCGAGAATAAAGGCTGCATGAGCCTTCTCCGCAAAACAATAAAGCGTAAGGGGGAAAAAAGGCAGAGACAAGTGCACAGGATGTCAGGACTGGATCTGCTGGCGTAAACCTTGCGACGGCATCTCTAGTCATGGAAACTGAAAGGAAATGGGGATCAAATTTTACAATCGCTTTTGTTTTTTTACACTCGACCGGTGCGTCCCTTTTTGCCGACCGCAACGGTAGTCCAGCCGTCCTCATCAGCAGTCGGGGCAGGGGCAGGGGCAGGGGCAGGGGCATCGCCCTCTGCTACAGGTGCAGCAGCCTGCTGGCCGTTGGATCGAGGTGCGCGGTTCTCGTTGCGAGGTCCTCGGGGCGGGCCTCCGCGGCCGCTACGGTCAGCTCGATCACCACGGTCAGCTCGATCGCCTCGATCGCCACGGTTGGGAGGTCCACGGGGTGTTCGTGGCTCAGATCTCCAGTTGCCAGACTCAGTGGCTCTTGATTTGGGCGCCTCCTTGGGAGCCTCCTTGGGCTGCTCCCGGGTTCGGATGGGGACTTTCTCTCCTGCCGCATCATTTGCCGCTTCTCCCTCTACCTTTGCCTCTCCCTCTGTCTTGGTCTCTGTCTCGGGTTCAGCTTTTGCTTCAGGCTTGGCCTCAGCGGCCTCAGCGGCCTCAGCAGTCTCGGCGGCCTCTTTGGCCTCAGCCTCAGCTTCAGCCTCAGCCTTGGCGGCGGCGGCGGCGGCGGCGGCGGCTTCCTTAGCCAGACGCTTCTCATCCTTGGCCTTCTCATCCGCCTCTCGCTTCTCCTGGATAGTTTGCAGTCTCTTCTCCTCAATCTCCTTTTCCCTCGCCGCAGTGTCGATGGGGCGAGCAGCACCAAAGGGGCTGGCCTTGGAGTCCGCGGCCGCAGAGGCAGAGCCGTCAGCAGCCTCTGAAACGGTGCGCTTCTGGAGGTTCAGGCGGGGGCGGCCGGCAGGCTGAGCTGGGGCGGCGGCTCCAGGGGAGGCCGGAGTTTCGGCCGCGGGTGCGTTGGCAGCATCCGGACGCATGTTGCTGCGCCACTGGAAGTCCTTTTCAGCGGCAGTAGCAGTGCGCTCGGCGCGCTCAGGGCGCTCAGGGCGCTCGTTGTACTGGCGAGGAGGACGGCCATTGCCCTCTCCCCAGGTTGCAGGGTCGCGGCGGTTTCCACGGTATGATTCGCTGCGCTCGCCCAGACCCTCCTGGGGTCCACGCGCACGGCTGCTCTCACGGGATCCAGACTCCTGGGGAGCAGTGGGAGACAGAGGTCCTCGTCGCTCCCAGGTCATCTCACGGGGTGCGCGGCCTTCGGAGGCGGGATCACGAGGGCGTCGTTCGCCAAAGTCGGATCGGGGGCCCCTTGATGGGCCAAGATCGGGCAGAGGGCCTCGGCGAGTCCAATCGCTCAGGTCCCGGGTGGATTCACCTCGGCCATCTCGGCCATCGCCACCGCGAGCTACATGATTGAGTTAGCAGAGAGGATTTTGAGATTAAGATGGTTAGACACATACGAGGATCAGCAACCTTGATCTTGATCATACGGCCCTCAAAGGACTCTCCATCGAGGTCCAAGGCCTTCTTGAGGCCCTCGACATTGCCAAACTCAACATATCCAAAGCCCTTGGGCCGCTGTAGCTCTCGGTCTTCGATGATACGAACGCTGACAACGTCACAGCCCTCGAAAAAGCCAGACACAGACTCGCTGGTTGCGTCATACGACAAGTTGCCCAAGTGAGCGGTATAGGGTGGCCTGTCGGGAATCTTGGAGGGAACGGATTCGCGGACAGAGTAGCCTACAGTCATTAGTTACACCGGGCAACAAAAAGTGTCAAGATGGGAGTTGGACATACCACGATCCTGCCACGAAGACATGCCACCACCAGAGCGAGCGCTATCTCGAGTCGGAAGCTGTTGAGTACCTGCAGCATGGGTCAATATCTTCTGTATCATATACCACCACAGCCCGGGCAATGCCTAGGTCTTTTGCTTGTTTCCGAAAATCATCTTTTCATCCGGGCGACTTACCAGTAACAACTAGTATGAGTAAGTAGGTTAGCAATGGTCCAACTAGCCACAGATGAGCCGCAGAAAAAACGTACCATAGGTCTCCTCGACCTCATCAGCCCAAGAGCCTCCACCAAAACCTAAGCCAAAAGTCAACACACATGTTCGGAGACTGCCCTTGGAGCGCCGGCGCGGGGTGTCGATGCGACCCGCATTCGAAGGCGGTCGGCGAGGGTCAAGGGAGGGGTGATGGCGAGGCGGCGAGACGGAGACACCCACCTGAATCATTCATAAATTCCCCGAGGGACATTTTCTGCTGTTCCTTCTTCTTGGGAGCTACAGAGCGGCGTCAGCAGTGGATTCTCAGGCGTCGGACTCAGTGACATACGCATGATTGCGGTTCAAGGGCGAGCCCGCGCAACGATATCAAGCACCGATGCGCAAATCGAGCAGCGTCAAGGGAACAGGCGGTGGCCGAGCGTCGTCTTCGAGAGCAGCCAATGGCGGGCCCAGGCTGGCTACAGGCGGACGAAGAGCGAATGCGAAGAGCGGTTGCGAGGCCCAGACAAGCGGTGTCGGGTCTGGGGTTGGCGAGGTGAAATTTGCTCGTCGTGGGAAAAAAACGATGCGGCGTCGTGAGAAGGGCTGGTTTGCCTTTTCCATTTCCAATTTTCGCCCGCCGAAGAGTGGGAGGCGCCAGGCCGCTTCGGGGCTAGCGCGTGATGATACCGGGACGTGGGCCAAGGTAGAGTACTCGCAAAAGACTTGCGCCACCGGTGGTGCATGGCTGTGTTGCCAAGTTCCTGGAAAGTCTCTGCGAGCAACCGCCGACTCGTTTTGTGCATATCTGCAGAGCCCCACCAATGCCAGGCGAGGAATTTGAATCGGTTTTAGGACAAGGTACAAGCGCGAGGTACTCATTCCCGAGATTGACATCCATCAACGCTGTCATTGTCATTTATACTACTATTAATAGCCTTTATATTTACCATGCCACGATAATATCAAGTCATACATAGGTACATACTGACTTGTTATCATTAGTCTTTACTTTCACATCATCTCATTCGATTCTCCTATCCTAAATCTCTGCGTTCTCGTTTAGCCTCAGCACCTCAGCCACTGAAAAAATCCATCATGAGTAACAAGCCAGAGCCCTCGTCCGGCGCCATTCAGCAGCAGCAGCGCAAAAAAAGAGGCTTAATACCTCCAGAGCTTGTAGATCTTCTGGTCACTCCCGTGCAAGTCGGGGCATGGTCCGGTGCGTTGTCCGACTCACTACGCATGATTTGACGCTGAGCTCTAACATGTACAAGGTGCTGTGGGAGTAATGGCCGGTGTTGCCGGTGCCATTGCGAGAGACACCAGTCCTGTTGCCAGTGGTGCCGTAACTGGATTTCAATGGTTTGCTTTGGGAGGAAGCTTCTGGTGTACGTGAAATCCATCTTGGAAAAGGCGTCATTCATGGGTTCATCGCTAACTCCATCAAAGTCACTAGATCCGTCACCGTCAGGGCAATGGGAGGTGACCAGCAACTAAGGCCCGTCGACAAAACTATCGCAAGCACAGTAGGAGGATCAGCAGCTGGAGCAGTGGCCGGATTGATACGTGAGTATCTTCACCGGCTTGCTTTTGCATCAGCACTTGCCAACTAACTTTTGATAGGCGGACCAGGCAAGATTCTACCCGCCATGGTCATGTGGGGAGTGCTGGGGGCAGGCGGACAGATGGCTGTCAACGGCTTGAGTAACAGGAAACCTAAAGTCAAGGATGAAAATGACAGCTGGTTCAGGTCGAAATGGAGCCCATTGAAGAAGCTCACAGACCAGGAGTACATCGACATGATGGAGGAGAAGATTCTGAGAGTAGAGGCGGACATTGCTCTCATCGATGAGCGGATTACAGAGCTAAAGTCAATTGATCAGAGAACCAAGGATGAGAATAGGACATGAAATATCATAATTGAACAGGATAAAATCAAGGTTTATTGATTGTGATATCCGGTAGGGCGGCATCTGTAGTTGCACTTTGTACACTCTAGCTTCAGCGTACATGTACGTTGGCCAGCGGCCTCCAATGCTGAACCATATCGTACGATTGACTTTAACGAAAAATTAATTTTCCTCTTGCATTCATTGCGCTAGAGCAGGGAAGATTTTGAAGTTCGTATTACATATTTGCTTGCTCGGGATAATATCATCTTGTCGCCAATGTTGAATAGAGTTAGCGGTAGCCGTTATCGAGGCTTATATCAGCATCTAATTTGAGCAGCCAGTCGCCGCCATTGAGATTGAAACACATCTTCTGGCAGCAAGTTTAGGACAGCTGGCAACACGATTATATCAGCACTCTACTTGACAAGACGCTTGGCGCCAAGTTACCAAGCATTTTGCTACCCGTATTGTGTGGCAGATACGTGAAGATACGTGTATTTTTTACACGTTTTCAGGGTAAGCCTAAAGCTTCAATGGCTGGACTAAAGCTCCCAAGGGGCTCCTTGCAGATCGGATGGCCCGTGAGGCGTTAGCACCCGCCGCAATCTCGTACAGTCGCACTACCGCTCCCTACAAATAGAGATTGATGCAACGCTAAATCTTGGGTGACGCGCAGCCGTTGGAATGTCCCAGCAGAGATTTGACAGGTCGAGCCGAGAATATCAATGATCCTGGCAAGGCGTGGACGATGGCGTGCCGTGTTTATTTAGTTCAGACGTTTGGACAGACTAAGAAGCATCTTACAGCACTGCCAACAGTATTTTGACTTGTACGCATCCTTGGTGAAGCATCACGTCTATTTTGAGCAGCAGTAGTCAGGGCTTCTGAAATAACAAGAACAAGCCCGTACGAGGCCTCCTATTGTGCTCCATCTGGGCAAATCTCCCGCTGGTAGATCTCACCACTCACCCACTCCCTATATTCTGGCAGCAGCTTGTTAGCGCTCCAAGCACTACGCCCGCTAGCACAAGGCCCGTACCCCATCGGCATAGCTCTCCGCACATTTGACTTCGATTTGATATGCGGCCAACGCTGCGCTTGTGAAGCTCGGATTATGCTCTGTGCCTGCATATGCGTGGCTGTAGCTCCGGCTGTAGCTTCGCATCGTACTCGGGAAATGCTCTCGCACAGCTCCCGCGCAGACCATTCAGAGAGCTTCATCGCATCGCAGTGTGTGCGTTTACAGTTCTTAGCGGCTCTGGCACAGCTAGCTGCGTCGATTTGATACCACTACTACGGCACTGCCGGACCGTCCAGCTAGGGGCGAAATTGAAAGTACAGGGCACAAGCTCCCCTTGTACCCCCGCCAGACGCCGCCTAATCCCAGCTGAAAGCCACATGCTTGATAACACTTAGATAACAGCTTGGCCCTGCATAGAGTAAGTCGGCACACGATGTATTGAGCAAAACGGCGGATGATGGTGTCGAATATGGTGTACGAGTCTGCATATGCATCTGCAGTCCTTGATATGGAACACCGTGGCTTCTAGTTGACTGCAATAAATAAAAGAGAGAAGAAGCAGAGAAATCTTAGATATTTACGGGCTATCCCTATCCGCATCCCTATTTTCCTGTGCCTCCCCCTATTCCGCTGCGCTCGCCGGCTGTGCTCCAGGTACTTCGCTGTGGCGGGCCATTCAAGTATCCGGTACCTCAGCCCGCCGCCCATCTGCCGCAGCTGCTCCGCCCGGCCTCACTGAACTCGCACCTCGCCAGCGATTCGATTCGATTCGCAACTCTCGTCGTCAAAAGCTCGTGCAGCTTGCCGCGTACTCGTCGCCAGAACCCGTGTTTCCTCGTGCGACGCGGGTCGCATCCTCGATCCGCAGCCCTCCCGGACGTCCTGCGGCACAGCCTGCCCCGATCGTCATCCCGGCGCCGGCACGCCTTGGCCCTCGTCGATTCAGGGAGCTTTCCGGCGTCCCGACTGTCCAGGATCCTCGTCCCTGGCCCGGTGGTTCGGCACCCCTCCCCTCGTCCAGGCCTGTGTGCTGACCTGGCCGCGTCTTCTAGACGTCTTCTTCTTCTTTTCCTTCTCCATCTGCCATGTCGCGTCTCTCGTGTGCCTGTTCTGCTTCCCGCTGAAGTGTTTGTTTGTGCGCGAGAGAATGGTCGGCCTGCTACCGGCGTCATGTAAGTAACTACCCAGTCCCCTCCAAGCTTGCGGACTTGTGCGGAATCTCCTGACGCTCTGCTTTGCTCCTTATCAGCCAGGTAGTATTTGCGGCCCTCCCCCTTGCGCGCTGCAGCAGCAAACATGGCGCTTCTGAGCCCGACCTTTGCCCTCGGTGTCTTTGTCCTACTCTACCTCTCGTCCTTTGTCCTCTTCGCCGTTCTTCGAATCGTCACCGGCGTCTCGATCCAGCGGATAGGCTACTTTTCCCTCCGCCGACTTGCGTACACACCGAGAGATGGAATCCGCATCGAGATCCGCGGGCTGGGGCTCAACATCCACCGCCCAACGTTCGCACAGCCCACGTGGCTCAGCATCGTCCTCAGCGACTTGACCGTTACCGCCGATGTCAAGAAACTCGAAGAGCAGAAACCTGCCAGAAACGAAACACCCGAAAATGTAGATACCGACAAGGAGGATGTGGTGGAAGCAGACGAGGAGATCGACCCGCTCCTGGAGAAGCCAGAGAAGCCCCCTTCTCCTCGGCGTCAAAATTCTGAGCCTCGGGCTGAGACCGAGACGTGGTCCCGCCTCCAGAAGATCAAGGAAAAGGTGAAGAAGCTACACAGCAAGGTGAAATGGCTGCGCATGGTGGACGTGGTCGTGACCAACTCCGTCATCAACGTGGTCGACGTGGGCAGCCTCCAGGTTGGGAGCTTGACGCTTGCAGTGGATACGAGACACAAAATGGCCGATCGAGCTCGATTCTTCTTCCACCGTTCCGAATCTTCAAAGGAGAATGCCGAGGCCGAATGGATCTTGACTGTGCGGAGCGTCTTTTTCGCGGCCGACGGCTGCGAGTCCCTCCAAATACTCGACCATGCCTTGCTCAATGTTCACGGCTACTTGTACCCGTCGCAAGAGGGTCTCCGAGATGCCACTGTTGCTTTGAAGCTTGGCCGAGTCCAGATTCCCTATGATGAGCTGCAGCTCTCTGCAGCCAAGTTTAAACTGTCTCGAAAGCAGCCCAAAGTTGTCGATTTGGAAGACCCGGTGGACATATTCGTTAGCAAGGTGCAAAATGGAACTGCGCAGAATACAGATCACTTGATGAAGAGCGTTTCAGACTCCAAGGAATTCTTCAGCTCCATTTTGCGAGGTATCAAAGAGGTTCAGTTTGCTGTTAGTTTTGTTGGCCTCGTCAAAAAGGTCGACTCTGTCCACCCTGCGGCAAAACCAGTGCACCTCACTGCTTCCATGAAGGAAGTCGGTGTTGACCTGCACCGCCTTGACCCAAAGTCGCCTGCGCATCGCATGTATTTTCCGTCCAAAGATATTGCCCACGAAGCACTTGTGGCGGCGCTTTCAATATCGGTTGGAATGGATGATGGCTGTGACAAACCGCAGCGCATTCTTTATATCCCCATGGCCACCACGACCGTCAGAACCACTTTGCCCTCCAAGACGATTCAGCTTTCTTCGGTAGACAGCTTCGAAGAGAAGAATGCCAATATCCTATTCGCCAACTCTGTTGTCACCTCGCCATCCATCGATCTTGACCCGCGACACCTTCCTCTGCTGATAGCAATGATGCGACCCAAGCCCAAGCCACCGAAGACCGAGCAAAGGCAGCAGCAGAAAGATTTGTTTTCTCGGCTGCTTCCCAAAGCAAACATCAAGTTTACCATGCATGAGCCTGTACTTCGAATCAAGCTCAAGCCGCTTGAGAAGACCGAGGATCCAGACGATTATGGTCTCATTATATCATCCATCTCATCAGTTGCCCTCGACGTCGAGTCATCCCACTCGCCTCTTGAAGATCTACATTATTCTCTGGATGGGGCAATGCGACTGCAATCCCATCACTTATACTATCAGGCCGTTTCTGGCGAGAGATTCGACCTAATAACAACCGAGTCTTTTGACCTCAAAGTCCACTTGGCAGCCAACCCCGAAGTTTCTGTCGATGCCACCAGCAATATCCAGTCGTTTGCCGTTAGTATGGTACGGCCGGAAATTACAGATGGCGTCCGCCAGATTGTGCGACAGCTACGTACCGACGTTGAACCTACCAAACGAGCTGCCCCCAAGGCTAGACGGCATCAGAACTTCTTGCGATCTCTCCCCGAATGGCTTTTCCGTTACCAAATCACAGCAGAGGATGTCAACATTGAGATTGCTGGCATAGACGAGGAAATCTCGGATGATAGCAAAGGCATTTCGCTGCATCTCGATGGCATGTCTGCCGAGTATCGTGCTCAGAGATTGGATGGTTTGCAAAAACGAATGCTGAGACGCCGGACCCACAGTCGATCTCTTACTCAGTCAGACTCAGATCTCGCGTCTTCGAGTCCTACTAGGGCTAGGAAGAAGACTCAGAATGTTGGTGACGGCCGTCGACTAGTATTCAATGCCAGAGGTATAGAAGCTCAAATTATTGAGACTGCTGAGCAGCTCGAGGTGGAGCCTTTCATCAACCTGCCTCGCCTTGAATTTTCCCTCGCTGCATCAAGCGACAGCCATGGTTCCCTATTTCACGTTCAATCAGCCGTACGCTCAATCATGATTCAATACTCTCTTTATCGCCATTACTGCGTGGGCGTTGCCATGAAGACGGTCAGGAAGGCTTTTATGAGAACCAGTAGCGATGCTCCAAGACCATCACAGCATGACTTGGCAACAGCACAGCATGATCCGGCAAAGGCAGAGTTTCTCGCTCCTCCCGGTAGCGGATCAGGCTTCTCCCCTGCCGATCCAGCGTCTACCATGACGGAGGCTGTCGTCGTTGACATCAAAGTTGCGCTATTTCAAGTCAAGGCGGAGATGCCGCATGATCCTATGCTGATGCTGCAAATCTATGGTCTGGATGTCGGGCGTCAGAGGTGGTCAACGCCGTATCTAATGTCTAAGCTGATTCGGCTGTACGTTGCAACTCCGCGCATGCGTCATGTATGGTCGCGAGCAGTCAGCATTAAAAACGGACGGCTTGATCTCCGAGAGTCCAAGCACAAATCGAACCAGGGGGCTTACACAGAAGAAAAGCTGTTTGACATTTCGACAGAGGCGATTCGGATTGGCGTCCCGCACGAGGTCATTGTTCACCGAATTACCGATAACATCATCAACATGATTAAAGCAGTGAAACAGCTACATCACCGCTTCAAGACTGGTACAAACGAGTACATCTTAGAAAAGAGGCCCGAAGAGCCCAAGCATGTCCCGAAAGTATCTATCCGGTCACGGAATCTCCTTTTCGAAATAGAGGACGGAGCATTTGAGTGGAAACTGGGCATGATCTATCGCGCTGGGCGTATGGAGCAGGTACAGAGATTAACTAGAGAAGAGGCATTCCGCGTCAAGCTGAATCGCGTGCAAGAAGAGGAGTCAAGGAGAGGACATAATGGCAAGCATCGTTCTCGATCTGCCCACCCAAGGGGAAGATCGGATACGTCCTCGCACTCATGGTTCCGAAGTCGAAGCTCAGACGCGACGAAGCAGGACGAGCGGATTCGAGGGTCTCGACATGGCGCGTTGCCAAGATATGACCCGGAAAATGAAACTCTGAGCATCAACGGAAATTCAAAAGTCTCGACCGAGGAGGCGCGCCTTCACCTGGACATGTTTAATGCTCAGGCGTGGAAGAAGCGGATTGATCGAGCCTATGAAGTATCTCGACAAGGCGTAAAAGAGCTCCGTGGTCTCTTCTGGGGTCAAAACGAGATGCCGAGTGAGATTGAGGAGACGGAGAACATTTTGGAAGTCCCTCCAAGACCGGCGTTGATGGCCACTTATGTGTCTAACCTCCACATTATCGTTGATAAGCCGACCTTTCCCCTCAAAGATCTCCCCGATTTCATCCACAATGTCGGCAAAGGCGTGCCCAAGGATATGCTGTACAGCCTCCTGGTTCCCATGCACATCGCCATCGAGATGGGCGAAGCTCGTTGCTCACTGCGTGACTACCCTCTCCCGCTGTTACATATTCCCGGACTGAAAACTGGACAGTCGTCCAGGCTGCAAGCAGTCTCTTTGAAAACAAACTTTGTCTTGGCCGAAGAGTTTAGAGGACACGAGTCGTCACGAGAAGTTCCGGTGTACATTATACCTCCAAAGAACCCTTCCGTATCAAAGGAGGGAAGCTTCGCAATCGAAGTTAGGCGAACCATTGGTCCCGTCAAATCGTACTCGGATGTTTTCATGGATATCAACACTGCTCTCCCAACAAGGATCACTTGGGGACCATGCTACCAGCCAGCAATTCAAGATATGATGATGGCCATTGAATCTTTCACTAAGCCACAGATTGATACCTCCGAGCGGGTTGGATTCTGGGATAAACTCCGACTCAACTTCCACTCGCGCATTCATGTTGCTTGGAAAGAGGACGGCGAGATGCATTTCGCAATGAAGGGCACCCGCGATCCCTACCAGGTCACTGGGCATGGTGCAGGCTTCATCATGTGCTGGCGAAACGATATCAGATGGGACATCAATGCAGAGGACAATCCGAAGAGATTCATGACGGTGGACAGCGGCGAATATATACTTGCTATTCCAGACTACAGCATGCAGGTGCGAGAAGCTGCGCGGCTCCGAGCCGATGATGATAGCCGTCTTGCAGATGATCATTTGCGATGCGGCCCGGCTCAGTTCAAGAAAGTTGTCATGAAGCTATCCGGCAAAGTACAATGGCTAGCTGGCCTCATATTTGAACGGGCCATTGAAGATGGCAGACGGAGTTTCGATTTCAAGCCACATTACGAAGTGGTTCTCAAGAACCCCATCTATGCAAAGCCTGAGAACGGACTCCCGTATGATGCTATGCGTGGATTCAGGAGTCGTCATATCCATCTCTCCATCGCAGTTCGCGCCCCAGCCGACCGCGAATGGATGTCGCAGAGCCTCGAGCCTTCCCGTAGCTACAACACCATCCACCTGACTCCTCGTTTCTTCACCCACTTCTTTGCTTGGTGGGGTCTCTTCAGCGGACCCATGTCGCTCCCCATTCGGCAGGGCAACCTGTTTCCTGGAAGAGAAAAGAACAGCAAGAAATTTGGAAGACACTTGGCCTCGGTCAAGTATAACCTCCTGTTTGCTCCGCTGTTCCTAAGTCACATATATAAACATAAAGACGCTGAGGATTACGCTGAGGATGCGGTTTCTGCCACTGGCCTCAAGGTTCGGTTTGATAGCTTTATGCTTGACCTTCATCAACGCCGAGAGGAATTTGATACCATTGCCAAGACCAAGAACTCGCCGAGTCGAACTACGGGAATCAAGATTCATGCCGCGCATCTGGATCTGGCTTGCGCAGATATCCGAGCCGTATCTGCCAGTTTGACAGGCACCACAACGGAAGCCATCAAGAAGGGATCAATTTCGCATTTGACTCTTGACCAGGACGAGAAACCAGACCTGTCTCGCTTCAGCATCCCTGATGGAGACTATAGCTGGATCGACATGGACGATTTTGTGGAGTTGGATTGGATCCTGCCTACCGAAGCTCATCCTGAGACAAAGATACTTCCGCTTGCGTATATTCCTCGGCTGACTTACTTCCGTCAGACTGATATCGGAGGCACCATTGCCGGCGACCCGACGAGGACAAGTCCGTTTGGAAACGAAGATACCCATTATTGTTCCATGAGCGAACAAAATGACCCGAAGAGCGTACAATCGCAGCTAATTCAGGAGCGCCTAGATCAGCTTGACGAGCAGATAAGAGCGCACATCAGACATGTCGGCGAGGCTGAATTGAAAGTGATACGCACCGATTCAAAAGATCAAGAACTGCTCGAAGACTTTGACACGCTTCGTCAGCACTCCAATGTGCTCCGCGATAAGAGGGCCTTTTTGGAGACCATGCTCGAGCGGATGAATGCTGGCATATCAATCAACGGCCATGTATTCAGCGAGGTGCCGAGTATACGTCGCTCAGATGTAAATGTGGATTCTCCGAGTGATTACATGGACATGCCATCGATCCCTTCCAACGTCGAGTTTGAGAGCGAATTCGAGAACCGTTTCGTTGTTCACAATATGCAACTCAAATGGAACAACCTGTTGCGTAATATTGTGCTGCGATATGTTCATCAGAGCAGTCAACGGCGTGGATTTATATACTACCTATCTAGACCGGCCGTCAAGTTTATCCTGGACATGGTAGAGGAGCAAACCAGGCTTAGGGACGAGAAACTTGGAGCATCAGAGTCAACACCTGCATCAACACATAATGGAACTCCCCCATCTCCGGATGCTCCCTCAGAGAGCGATGCCGCCAAGGACCTCGGAGATCGTATAAAAAGCATTTTGTCAGATTGTCGCAAATTTTCGACAACTCGCGGCTTTGCATGTAACGCCAATGGTGTTGTTGAGGGCTCCATCGAAGACTTGGAAGATGGCATTTCCGACGAGTTCAACCCCCAAAGCAGCTATCATGTCCGACTCATTGCTCCGCAGATTCAGCTACAGAGTGAGAAGAACAAGAAGCACGTTGTGTTGGTCACTTCAAAGGCAATGGAGCTGAAGGTGGTGGAAGTCATGGACAAGTCGAGAATCGCAGACAATGTCAGCGGTCTTGTCCAGCGCCGTTTCTTGGTCAACATGGACAGCACTCAGTTCTTCGTCACGCACCAGAAGTGGTTCCAGACCAACCTGGTGTCTATGTATTCGGGCAGCAAGTATGGTACGCCAACAGGCTCTTCGTGGCCACCCTGGGTCCCTATGGAAGTCATGTTTGATTTCAAGACCGATCCCTTTGGCTTCAAACGTGTCGTGCAGAAGACTTCAGCCATGCTTCGATATGACAAGTACAACACTCTTCGTTTGAAGTACAACGACGAAGTCAGTGGAGAGAATACTGACGGAGCCACCAATGAGCCCACAGAGAGACGTGTGGATAATCTCTGGGTGGAGTTCCCGCAAGCGCGCGCTCTCTGTAACTCATCGCAGTATTACGCCATGTATGTCATTGTGCTTGATCTGCTCATGTACAGCGAGCCCCTTGAGAAGACGAGGAATGAGCGCTTGGAGAAGATTATCCTCGCGTCCGATTTTAGCGACCTTAGCGGCACACCGGAGATGGTGATGAAATTGCAGGATCGGATCAGGCAAATGGAGGAAATCAAGTCGCATTTCCAAATCTACTCTCCGTACTTGGACAAGAGAGGATGGGAAGACCGCTTGGCTTTGGAACGTGATTTGGCGGCTTCTGAGGATGAGCTCTTCTTCATGATGAAAGCCATCATGACTTCACAGACGAGGCTGGAGAAGAACGCCCACTCCAGCGCGCTGTTGAAATGGAGCATTTCTGCTCGAGATATCGTGTGGCACCTTATGCAGGATTCGAATGAGCCGCTGGTTGAACTTCAACTTAAGGATTTAGAGTACGACCGCACTGATCATTCGGATGGCTCCCACATGAATCTGGTCCGTGCTGGCAAATTGCTTGGCCTGAACCTGTTGCCTGACGCGACGTATCCGGAGATAATAGCTCCGTACCACGAAGGCGAGAGGCCGGGCACCCGAAACGGGGAAGACACTGACATGATTCGGGTATACTGGTACATGCTGGAAGCTATCGCGGGCATTCCAGTCATGGAACGATTCGAGATTGAACTGTATCCGATGAAGATTCAACTCGAGCGTGAAGTGGGCAAGCGGCTGTTTGAATACATCTTCCCCGGTATGGACGCGGAGCAGGCGGAAGATGCTGCAGGAAAGACTGGCACTCCCAATCCTTCGATTGTGATCCGACGCGACTCGAACAGCTTGGATGACGAGGGTAATGAGTCGCCTAAGAGCACTGGTAGTAGACGTAGCACACGGAGCGGGCTGGATACCTCCTTTTCAACACGTCCAGGCTCACTGGAGCTGCGGCTTAAGCCGACCTTGTCTTCCGGCGTTGCGGATGAACGAGGCTCGAAGAAGCACCTTGGAACCAATGGTTCCGAGGGCGGCCATTCGTTCCGACTTTTCCGTTCTGGAACCTCGCGAACGCTGGGCAAGAAGTCTTCAGTCGAGTCTATGCGGCCAATGACGGGCACTCCACGACCTGGCGCCATTGGTCGTTCGTCCACTGGGTTTTCCTCCAAAGACAGCAGAGACTCGGACACGAAGAAGTCGTCACGTTTCGGCATACGAAGCAGACATAATACCGATGATAAGCAAATGTCTGATGATCTTACCAAGATGATTAGCCGTGCCAACAACTACATTACGTTTGCGCATATCAAGATACCTTCGGTGGTCCTGTGTCTTAGCTACAAGGGCAAGGATCAGCGGAATTTTGAGGACGTCCATAACTTTGTGTTCCGACTTCCGGTGATTGAGTGGCAGAACAAGACTTGGTCAAACTTGGACCTTGCTTTGGCCCTGAAGAAGGCGGTTGTGAGGGCTCTCATCTCACACACGGGAGCCATTATTGGAAACAAGTTTTCGAAGCACAAGCCCAACGCGGAGCAGCGGAATAGATTGCGGGAGCTGGCGAATAGCTCTGTTCTGATTTCCACGCCTTCCAGCATATCCCAGAATTACACGCCGAGTATACATGACAGCGATGATTCTGCGAGCTTGTATGGGACATCCCCGGTGGACTTTTCGCGGTCGCCTCCGAGGTCTACTCGCAGCAGCATCCGCAGCGGAATCCCGGCTCCTCGATCGGCTAGTCGCAGTAGCAGCATTGCCAGCAGCAGGTCCCACCTCACGACTGGGTCTGCGCAAAACATCATACCGGTCCCGGCATATCTGACCATGACGCCGCCGACGCCAGTGGACCATCCTGGCCGAGGCGAGGGCCACCATAGTAGTTTGGCCATGGAGCTTCTCCGGCCATCTTCTAGTCATGGCGGATCACATCACCACCGCGGTCCGTTGAGAAGCTTTACGAGTGCCGAATCGAGGCCGTCTACCAGTGCTGGACATGCCGACGCAGGTGATGAGCACCATAACAAACCAACTGGTGGGAGAGGCTTTGGGCTGCGCGATAAGCTTACTGCTCTTACGCAGAGGATGAGCCATCGCGAGAACAATAATAATGCTGTGGTGCAGACGGATGAGCCTGAGGAGATGAATGAGGAGGAGGAGCTTGCTTCTCCTATTGCTGCTGCTGGTGGTGGGATGGAGGGTTTCGACGAGGATAGGTCGGAGAGAAGTCATAGACTTAGTTGGTCTCATGGACGATCGAAAACGACTAGTTGAAGTTGAAACGGAAGAAGAAGAAGACGAATTTGTTTGATGACGATGGCAATATCTGATTAAGCGTGCCCCTATCTATACCTTGTTTCTTGTTTAATTGGTTGATTTTGATTGAGCGGTAACAACAAAAATGTAATATTAATGGTTTAAAAGCGATGGAGCTGGCATTTCTTCTTTGGGGGCATGCATGTCATATCCAATCGTTTTCAGCTGGTTATTTCGTTTTAGGTAATAAAAGAGAAAACGGTGTTGGAAACTTGAAGTTTATTACAATGGGCTGGGAAGGGGAGTATATATATATATATGGGTAGAAAAATAAAAGGGGGGAGGAAGAGTTGGAGTGAAATGGATAGGGTATAGCGTTTTTATTTATTCTATTTTTTTATTTTATTCTTTTTTTTTTTTTTTTTTTTTTGATATTGATGTTTTTCCTTTGTGTGATGCGGGGAGTGGAGGGATTGAAGGCAGTTTGGATATGTGGATGATAAAGATTTTGTAGATATATATGCTTTTATATCTGTATAAAAATGATGTTGATACTCTATTGTTCTTGTGTTGGGGTTTGAGTTTGAGATCTGTTGTAGCTGATTTGCCAAAATAATTACATACGGGATTGAGATCAGATTTTGTTTCCCTGATAATGGATTTTATTTGTGCTGCACTACCAAATTCCAAATACTTGAGCAAATTGAGCAAATTCCCTTTTCAAATTCTCATTCTCAACCATCCCGAGGGGATATCCGCCTGTGGTCTCCCATCTAAACTCTAGATTTCTTGCCCTTCTTCAACATTCGCATTCGCATCTTCTCTTTCGCTGAGAGCTTTCCATTTGCTGGTGAATCATCCGTTGCTGTATCATTCGCGACTGTGCCATCTGCTACCGTTGCATCCGTTACTGCATCATCAACAACAATGCCGTTTGGTACTATGCCGGTCGTCTCTGTGACATCGTTTACGTCGAGCCTTGCAAGAAGAGAGTCAGCCTCACTGTCGTCATCAGTGATCCCTGTCAAACAATGTCCAGCGGACCGCCATTCAGCTTTCCATATAGCAACTGGGTTTTGAGTGGCTGTTTTTTTTTTTTTTCGTTTACTTACCCAAGACTTGAAATCCCGAAAACTTCTTGCACGTCTGAGCACCCTCGCTGAGAAGCTTGAGCTTGGCCTGAAGCGTCATTCGTGCTGTGCGGATTGCGTCCTTTTCGCCGACAATGGCTTCCATGTCGTCGTCGCTCATCTGGGCGACGACTAAGGGGCTGAGAAGTTGACGGATCTCGCCGACTAATCCTGTTTCAATCACTTGGATGGAAACCTCATCGATGAATCGCTTGAAGGCTATCTGTTTCGGTGAGGAAAAAAAAAAAGGGTCAATAGAGAGACTTTTCCAATGTCATTGTGGTGGACTCACTTCGTAATATGCATCGGCACTATCGAGTGCATCAGAAGCGCTGGCGCGATACACGTCTGGTTCAAGACGTTGAACTAGTTCCTCTCTCAGTCCTGCAAAGTTGAAATACTCTGCGGCACAATAATGGGAAGTGCTTTCTAGAGCAACTCCCGGGAAAAACTTGTGCAATATCTCGTCAAGCGTTGGCCCCTGCCGTTTGAGGCGAATTTTCTGAAGAGCGTCGGTGAAATCCGAGTTGTAAGTCACCGGATGACTATTTTCATATGGATATAAGAGCGTTGCAGTCTTTTCCTTGAGGCTAGCCAAGAGAGCATCAAGCTTGGGGTTAATAATCATGTCCATAACGGCCGCCACAGTAGCAGAATCAGAGATGTGAGCAACCAATTGGTTCAGAAAAACCTTGGTGGCCTCCCAAACTCTCTGAACATGGCGCTGGACGATTGGCTTCCATGGAGCTGACTGCATGCGAAACAGATCTGTGACAACTTCGGGGCTGAAAGAGTTGGGCAGCTCTCGGCCCCGTCTGTAGGACATCATTTCGACAACCTTTTTCACAAAATCATCTCTTGTCATTTCAATGGCTTTTCCAGACAACACACGCTTCTTCGGGGAATCAGTGATTTTGTAGTATTGTCCATCGCTTTTCATTTCATTCGCGAAATCTCGATTCAGATTTTGAACAACGGCACGAATGCGCCGGCAGTAAGTCGATTCATCATCATCGTTGGAAGCGCTGAAGAAGGGGTTGGTGTAGGTGCCATCACTGGCGGCCTGCATCAACGACTGGAAAGACGAGCTGATCTGGATCAGGTAGATCCGTTGCTCCTGGGGACTTATACGAGGCTGGCCGAACTTTTCGAGTTGCGCATTGCAGTCATCAATCTCAGAGGCAATCTCTTCCACCAAGCTTGGCAGCTCAGAGGCGATTTGGTGGAGCAAAACTTTGCTCAGGCGACTTCTCAGAGCGGCAATGCCCAAATTGGAAGAAGACAGGGAAGACCAAGCACCTTGGGAGAAGAATGTCTTTTCGTTGGCATCGCGCTGTGCCTGTGTCCAAGAGTCTGCGTCGGTGTCTCTGTTTCTCAAGACGTGCCATCCCAGGCGGAACTCGACGTCCATGTTTTGGGCCAGAGAGATGTACGTCTTCTCGCTGCTGGAGCCTGGGACAAGAGTATCTGGCTTTGTGATGACGCCGAGCGTGCGCATGCCTCTAGGATCCGTATCGCGGGCGAGTTTCAAAACAATCTGGTTCGCATAGTCGTTTTTGGCCGATATGACTGCCAGGATGATGCTCCTTCGTTTTGCCATGTAGCTTTTGACAATGCTGGTGATGAGAGCAACATCTGAGGCGGACTGGTTCTTTGTCTCAGAATGAATGAGTCCGGGGAGATCAACAATGGTAAGATGGGGACGATCCGGCCCACTGATCTCGATCCGAAGAAGGTCATTAGAGAAAGCCTTGCCAAGGGTCTTGATTCCCATGACTGCTTTGGCGTTCTCAATCAGTTCCGGAAGCTCTTGGAGCGAGTCCAGCTTCTCGTGGAAGTCGGATAGCGAGTCCTTTCCATTTTTGCCCAGTGGCTTGTGGGGGATGATGGAGACCTTGACAGAAGTGTTTGTTGCCGTTCTGAGGATGAGCTCTGTTGGGAACCGAGTGCAGAGGCCGCTCTTGACTGGAAAGGAGACGCCAGATATAGCCTCGAGCACAGAGCTTTTGCCCGACGATTGGTCACCGCAGACGATGATTTGGGGTAGAGAGATGTAGTGGCTGATGCCCTGGGAACGGAGTGAGTCAATCGTATTGAGGAGCTCAAGCTGCTCCAAGGAGCAGAGGCCCTCTAGGTTCTTTGTGTTGAGCTGTGTCAACACCATGGCGAAGTGGTGATGTTGAGAGTGATGTGAGTTGTAGAGATGTTTCCAAGATGAAGTCGGGAGAGTAGGCAACTACGTGTTTTTATAAATCCAACTGCCACAGTATTTCTATTGAGCTCATTCTAGTGAATTGTTATTCAAAGATTTGTTGTTGTAGGCCTCCCGCATGCAGGCGCCCGTATTCACAGCCATTTCTGTGGTGTTGTGCGACTTGATTTGCGTCGCTTGCCGCACTTCTGCAAGGGATTGATGCTGCATGCAAGGAGTGTCTTGTAAATGGAGTGTAGTGGCAGCATTCACCGTTTAGGCCCCTCAGACATTTAATTAAACTGTCTTGAGTGGAATATTCACTGGCTTTTGGTGAGACAGCGCTTGCATGTACCTGAGATAACAGCCCGTGTAATACTTGTAGGCAGAGGAGTATACAAGTACGAAGTGGAAATAACTGTTTAAGAATGGGTTTCTGAGGTTTATGCGCGGAAGTATCAAAGTGTAGACTGAATGCAATTACTCACAACACTGAATGACGATAATTTGCGCATCTGTCGCCATTATCAAGACGGTCATTTTGGAGATGTACTGATGATGTCAATGAATAAGCGCTGGAATTGCAAAGCCGCAACCCCTCTTTCTCCAATCGCTTTAAATTCATCAGCTGGGGTTTACGAACTCTGGCCAAGTTAATTCTTTATCAATGTTGTATTTTCACGGAAGAAGAAAAAAAAAACACTAAAAGTCATTCATGTCAATTGCTTATAATCGTAAAATAAATTCATGCCAAAATGCCCTCCTCTGTTGAATGCTACCTCCTGGCTCCGACAAATGATGTTCCAAATAGTCGGCTGCCGGTGATTCTTTACCGAGACGTGTTGCCCGAGCCCCGAAACGAAGAGACGACGACGCAGTTCTTGACAGCGTATGGCTGGGAAAAGAGAGTATGGGGCATATATCATTGAGTAATCGAATTATATCGCGTAGTGGCTAATAGAGAGGCGCGATCTAGGGAACTTGGGGGCACATCTCAATGCGGCACTTTCACCCAAATACGCATGAGTGCTATGGTAGGTGCACTTATCATCAGTGATACATAATATGATGAACTGATTGTATTCGAAAAGGCGTCTTCCAAGGCAATTCGACGCTGCTCCTGGGAAAGATACAAGATGGAGAGGGGATTGAAGTCGACGTGCGTACTGGCGACGTGATTGTCCTTCCAGCCGGAACAGCTCATTCCTCTCTAGAGAGCCATGACGACTATCGGTACATTGGCGTCTATCCAAAGGTGAGCAGTCATCCAGATTCAGCATACTTCTTTACTTGTTTACTTTATAGACTGATATCCGGTACAGGAATGTCCTAAATGGATAAATGAAAGCGGCAAGCAGCCTGCGACTTCTTTTGCCTTGATGATTCGAGATGTCCCCACGCCAAAGGCTGATCCAGTATACGGAAAGCAAGGGCCGCTGGTGGCGTTGTGGAACACCAAGCTTGAAGCAAAATTGTAGCTGCGAGTATGAGTACAAGAGAGCGTTTATCACTCCATTTGCCGTGAATAAACGCTTGGTCTTCAATAACTCGGTTGTTAAAAGCGTCATCAGCTTTAGCTTTTCATTGTAGAAGAGCTATCACGGTCTATTTATGGCGTTGTATCCCCGTTCCCGAATTAGTCGCACCTAGTGATGCACTCATTAGATGGAGCATTCTCTTCCTGTTGGGAGTTGGCATGGATCTATGATGATGCGGTCGAAAGAGCTGGAGCTCTCCCAGATGCAAGTGCCGGACGTAGGAAGCGCTTGGCGAACTTGGCATGCACACCGTGAGTTGAAATGGGTAAATGCTAGAATACAAGCCAAGGATAAAGGGTCTGATCCTTTGAATGAAGACAAAAGGTATATTGGCTGATGCGGATGATACACGGCGGTACTATCAACACAACCCTTCAATAGAGCAATGGCTACTTCCGCACGGCTTCCTCATTTTATAATCTGCCAATTGTCCAAGCATGAAAGATAACATGGACAACAAAAGAGGTTAGATGCCCAGGTGGGTGTATTCCATCAATGCGAGATAAACCGGCATGGGAATAGCTTGCAGACGCTTGCGGGCAATACGTAAACAAGCCACACACAGATACTACCAGCTGGATACCTTTTGTAGAAGAATGATGCCGCATGTACATGATACCTGCGCAAAGGCATCTTGGCTCATGACAGATTGATTCTTTGCAGGGCTGACAAATGCTCTGTTGAGTGTGATGCTGTTAGTAGATGAACCAAGACCAGTGCCAGCAAGTACCTCTCGGTGATGGCGTGTCCGCTGCATTTGCAGTGGCATCTGCTCCTTCGGCCCCCTAATCGGCGACTAAACGAGCATCCAGAAGCCGGAAAGGCTCGCTCCTGGCGCCAATTTGCATGTCGACGGTACGCACCCTCGCCCGTAGCGAGTACCTGTGCGTGGCTGGTTCCCGCCGTGCCGCTGTGGGGTACTCGGTACGTGGCGCTAAGGTACCCCGTACCGTAGCTCCAATCAGCTGACTGCAGCTCCCAGATCTCGAAATTGGCAGCGCTCAAATGCCTGTCGCAAACATTCTCAGCCGATTCTTACTTTTTTACTTTTTGGTTTGTGTCTTGTTTCTTTTTTTTTGCGCAGTCGAAGCGTCGGATTGATCGGTTTTCTGCACGCGGCAACTGCAGGACGGATCGTCATCGCGAGGAGTTTAGAGGCGCAGCGCTGAGCACCAACAGGCAGAAAAGGCGGGAAAATTACAGCATGAGATGACCCAGATTCTCTCGTAGCATCAACCTCTTATTCCCTGTCGAGTTGTCGATTCTCCAGTCTCTAGTCTCCAGTCTCCACCGCTTTCGGCGCGACGAGAAGCACCATCTCGCTGCCATCGGCCATTAGACAGTCGGCCTCGCTGTGGTTGCGCTGCTGAAAATATCCATCAACCATCTGCAGCCATCGACGCTGGGTGGCGCAAATATACACGCACATACCGCATACAACACAATGGGAGATCCCGCGAGGGACAGTGAGACAGATCGGCCGAGTGCTGGCAAGGCGCCAGCAACAGACTCTGAGCCCACAGAAGCAAAGGTTGCCGAGCCTCGAAAACCAGTCACAGAGGATGCTCCTAATATCGAGGAACAGGACCCTCCGCTCGAAGCCACCGACAGCGAAGACGTCTACGACGACGACGACGACATGGAAGACACGGACGAGTACTCTGCGGCGTCGGTGACCGTGAGGAGCAGCATCTGGGAGCACGAGTTTGAGGGCGGGCGCAGGGTGCGTATGGCTGTTTAGCCCAAAACAACATGTCGCTGATTCTTCTTTTTGTTTGCTAGTATCACCACTACCGGCACGGCCGCTATCCATTACCAAACGACGACGAAGAGCAGGAACGAGAATATATGAAACACGTGCTGCACTTGGAGCAGACTGGCGGCAAGCTATTCAATGCGCCCATTGCGCCCAATCCGCAGAAAATACTGGACCTTTGCACAGGAACAGGGCTGTGGCCAGTGGCAAGTATGATTGCGACTCTCTTCTCTTTGTCCTCGAGGAAGTACCAACTAACGGCTATAAAAAGTCGCCAAAATGTTCCCCAGCGCAGAAATCGTCGGTCTCGATCTCAGCCCCATCCAGCCATTCATGGTCCCGCCCAACGTGCGCTTCCTAGTCGACGATGTCGAAGACGAGTGGATGGATCGCGGGGGCTACGACTTTATCAACCTGCGCCATTCCTGCATGTACCTGCAAGACATGGACAAGCTGATCAACAACTGCTATTCTCATCTAAAGGAAGGCGGCTGGCTCGAGATTACAGACTATTGCACCTTTATCCGATGCGACGACGGCACAATGCCTCCAGGCCATCCGGTGGCGCAGGTCGCCCGCATGATGCACCAGTGTCTGTTGAACTACGGCATGAACGGCTACACCATCAACGAGCTGGAGCAAAAGTACAAGAATGCCGGCTTCAAAAACATCCAGTGCCGGGTCATCAAAACGCCAATCGGCCCTTGGCCCAGGGTACGTTTTTGCAGCTGTCCTCGTGGAGAAAATGGAACGATTAGACTGACATGGGCTCTCATTGTAGGACCCCAAGCAGCGAGAAGTGGGAATCCTCTTCCGCGACATCATCCACGAGCTCATCCGCGCTCTGGCCGCCAAACCCCTGAAAACTCTAGACTGGAGCGAAACCGAGATGGAAGTGTTTCTCGCCGGAGCACGAAGGGCTCTTTGGGATAAAAAGGTGCATTGCTATACCAACTTTATATCCTGGTGGGCTCAGAAGTGAGAGTATCCTTTCTTTGCTTCTTCTTTTTCTTTTGGGTATTTTTCGACATGGCATTTACGGCAAGCGATATGTTGGATTATTTAACATGGGCTAAACTTGGATATTTTACAAACGCGCGCGTGTGTACGATAAGGGATACTGGGAATACGCATCCAAGGCGTATGGATGGCTTTTTTTTTTGTACAAGGAGAAGAATCTCCTTTTGCGTCAATTATTCTTTTCAACTCATTCTACGGAAAGTGTAGAATGTTATATAGAATTGCTCTGTTAACAGGTCAACTGACCAGGAGCTCCAAATATACCCCCGAATTTTTTTTTGGTTTCTTTCTACTTGGCAATTGCCATTTACTCGGCGTGCGATGAAATTCATTATTCTATATCAATGTCATTTCTCATATGCATATACGGTCAAATCGTTTAAACGCCATCCCATTGACGCTCCATTTCAACATTCGATTATATGCATACTACCAGCCCTTGCGTACCAAATTCGCCACCAGGCACATCACAAACATCGATTGGCTCACAAACAATTAGAGTTGAAATAAAGTTAAAAATTTCCCATTAGTTAATCAGGATTCTCTATATATCCAAAACATGTGAAGTATCCAAAAACAACTTCCCAAATCATAAAAAAAAGCGATATTTAAAAAAGGTAAAACCGCTATGCTCGCCTTGCGACGATATCATCCAACTCTTTATCCCTTGTGTTCCTCATAAATGTCTTCTCCACAAATACCTCTTGTACAGTCCTCTCTACTACCCCAAAAAGAAAAATCTTCAGATCAATCAATGGTAGCGACTGTGTCAATAGCTGAGCAGCCCTCAGCCAAAGACCACCGGGAACTGAATCCCATCTTTGCAATCTAATAGGGATAAATCATACAAGATCAGAGAAAGAAAAAAAATAGAGGAGAAAAAAAGCCCTGTACACCATACAAAGGGTATCCCGATTCATGCGCCGTCAGTTCGCAATGCTAAAATAAACCCAAAAGTGTTGTTGCATCGCAATGTGATAAAATTGATAAGAAAAACATGGCGGGACAAGGATCATAGGAACTAGTCCAAGAATAGAACGCATGAAATGCTCCAAAAAAGTGAAACGAAAAGAGGAAAAAAATTCGCAAGAGAAAATGGCGCAAATAGTCCAGGGTTCCGTGTGAGCCCAACTCCGAAGGTAGCAGACTAACATTGGCCTGAATAGCTCCGAATGCCGCCGAGCTTTTAGAAAAAAAAGATTGACTCAACAAACGATGATCATTGAGACCCAAATCAGGCAAAGATCCAGGGTCTGGAGAGCAGAAACGAGCAGGTCGTAGACCAGTTCATCTGGCTGCCGTTTCGGAAATTTGCGTCCGATAAGCTCATCTCTCTGCCTTCCCAATTAGGCAATGGCTTGTGTTGTCAAAGTCGATCTTTTGTCTCGCCCAAAAGTTCGCGACGCTGCAGGTACTATTGTGCAATGGAAGCGCCTTAAGAAATCCAAAAGGTCCTGCGACAGAGTGGTCCCTCTTTAGGCCCATCTGCAATTTTTTTTTTTCCATGTGTGCCTTGGGCCGTACCGCAGGAGCTGTAAAATTTTTGCATCTGCAGCGTCATCCACTCAAGCATGCCAGCTGTTCTCTCAATGCGATGGGACCCTGTCGCCCAATGCCCACAAAGTGGTACGGCTCAATCATGCCCATCGACGCTTGTCCTCGGTATGGTTCGTGACAGGTTGCCCCTGTGGGTGCTCCCGACTCGTGGCGCGTGGCTTCCAAGGGCTCGGAGGCTTCCAAAGCCCTTCTAGTAGGTGGGGCCAAGGGTATGTGGGCTCGTGTTCCGCTCCATCGCAGTACCGAATCTGCCATGTGTCACCGGGACCCAATTGCCACTTGAGCAGAAAGCAAGTGGCAAGCAATTGGTAAGAGAAACCGCTATTCCCAGGCAAACGTGTGCGGTGGATCGATCGTCGCTTGTGAGAGGAGAGCAAAACGTAAGGGTCTTTTCCTCAGACCCTTATTCGTGTTCGCCGACTTCTGAGTGCTAGCCGAAAGCCAATAGAAATCCGACAAAACGCGTCTGTGTCGCACCGTGCACGGAGAAAAGGGCTGTGCCGAGTCCAGACTGACGGTTCCAGCTAATCAGCCATTGGCAGAGGAACCCATCGTTCTGGAACACCATCGGCTCCAATCTCATACGGCTTGGCCGATGTTTTCCTGG